CTGACAAGTTATATATCAAACCGTTCTTGTCCATTACCGTAGAAGTAAATAAATGGGAAAAAGCTTCATTTCCGTCGCACACGGTCCCGGAAACCACAGTTGCCACGATAAAATTCCATTACCCGTTAGACTGTTTCGTGCATCGCCGGAAAAGAGAAAGGCGAGAAAGTCAGCTAACGGACCAAGAAGAAGCTTGGTAAAATCTCATTCGATACCCCTTCCGTTCTACGATTCAGGAAACGATTTTCTTTCCTTTCACGCGTTAACATTAAGTAAGTCCAACTAGTGATTATAGTTGACGATAGTGATTCAATGGAACAACCAGTCTTGGATAAGTTTTACCCGTTCTACCGACCGTTTGACCACACACGGCCTCATTCTACTTGGCCGACCACACGTGGCACTATTCTACTTGTTTAACCACAATTGACCCCATTCTACTTGTCTACTAACCAGTTCCTCTCGGCACACAAGAAGGTATTCTATTTGCCTGATCACGCATGGTTTTGTGCTATTCGCCTGGCCATATATTGACATATACTACTTAAGTACAAAAATATCTCGTTTGTCCGACTATCAGCGGCTCTATACTACTTGCCCGACTACTTACGATTCCACGGCACTCGCCCTGCCTGTCTGACCATCCACGATCTATTCTACCCCTTTTCTAACATTTCAAGGTCTCCTTGACGGTTTTAAATGGAACACGTTATTTCCGTTCAGTTTAATTCGGGAACGCGGAAACGTGTCCCGATTCCTGATTTCTAAGGGAACACAGCGACGTCGACCGGTCTATTCTTACCGCACGGGGGATTATCCCATAATCCGTGCTCGAAAGTATCGTCAATATTGTGACAACGTTCGATCTTTTCTCCCCGGTCTGTCGCGAAAAGCACACGGGTTATTCCTATGGAATAAAAACATTTTGAAACGCGATTCACCTAGGTTGATATATGCTAAATACACACGCCTCGAGGATTTAGGAATGTAAGATTTGAGAAATTTCAACATTACCTGGCTCGAAGTTACATGGTAAACGTTGCTGTTGTTCGTCTAACTGGGAGGATTCGGTTGACAAGCAGTCTGTTACGAGCTCGTTATCTCACGCGAGCAGACGCATTTAATTCGAGACACTTGAACTTTTCTCGCGCACGTGAGCCTCGTCGAGCTCGCTTTTTTTTTTTCCAGTTGACGCGAGACTAGTCAAGCTCGACAAGACTTCTATTTTAATACCCAAAAAATATAATTTCCTGTCAGTCAATTTGATTCTATTATAAAATAAAGCCAGACCGAGTTATTTGATACACGCTTTCAGTTAACATCGTTTGATTATTCGCTATCGAACGGCAGACGCCCCTAATTGACGATCCTTTTGCAGAAATTCTTCCTCCTTCAATCGAATCCTTTCTAACGTCTCCTTGCTTTCAGTTAGACGAAGTTTCTTTCTATTTTTTTTTTTCTTTTTTTTTTTTAAAGCAGACGTTGCCTCTTCTTAGCGAGTTCGTGTTGCATCGGAAATTCGGTCCAACGTCTCTTTGTGTCCCTCTCTCAGCCCCAGGAGGCTGCAGACTCCCACGCCTCTAGCTGCTCGGGCTATCGATTGCGAGCTGCCAGGGCCACCAAGACCCCTGGCTTGGCTTCGCCTCGCTTCGCTTCGTTGTGCTAACTCGTTACGCGGTGTTACCGCCGCGTTCCCGATTATACCACCACCACATTCTAACCTCGATATATCCCCTTTTCGCTCTCCCTCACCTTCCGCCTTTTTCTTTCAATATCCTTTGTAACGTTCCCAGCTGTTGCTCTCTCTCTTCGTTCATTTCCAAATGAAACAAGTTTTGTAAATTAACCCTCTATTGCATGAATTTTTATGACCAGTTGAAAAATATGTATGACTGTTAGTCTACTTAAAAATGAGGGTGGTTATAAAATAAATAATAAAATTTTATTAGAAAATTGCGCAATGTTCCCACTTGGAATATTTGAAATTTAAGTAAACGGAATGCGATAGGGTTAAGAGAAAAAAATTCGATGATTCGATATTTCTTTTTTCCAAAGCACCCTTTTGTCGCCGTACCATCCGATTTTTTCCTCTTTTGTTCTCATCACTGTATCGTCTTATCGTCGCATCTACGGCTCATTTTGTAGCTACTTTTTCACGCTGCCCTTCTCATTTCCCGCGTGCTGTCGCTCGTTATCTTCGCCGTTTTTACTTCCGCCACCGATCCGTCTTTGTCCAGGAGCTTCTTTCATCCCCGGCGCCGACTACCCTCCTTCGGCCATCTCGAGAAAGAAGGAATGTTTCCGTCGCGTAATCCCGAACGAACGGGGAGTCGCTTCGAATTTCGATTGCTTTCGGTGAAATATCAAGGGTTCTTCTTAGAAAGCTGATCTCGTGTCGGGTTCAAAGGATCGAAAATGTTCAACGATGCGTCGAGCGGAGATAAAGTCTTACGTCTCCCCCGTATCAGCATGCTCGTGCCCCTAGGGAGCTATTGCTTAGATGCGATTCACTCGGCTTATCCCCGACGCGTTAATTAGTTACGCGCGTTAACGTCGTCGTCGATTATACCACGAGCGGGCTGCATCAATTCCAATTAAACTGGCCTACACCCGAGGGAATGCGATTCCTTCGCGTGCCAACAGATGCCTTGATTCGATCGTATCGGAAGCTTCTACACAACGATACCCGGTTGTCATCAAAGATTTGAAAATCATTGGACAAAGCAATTTTGCATTTATACAATGATTTTCAATAAAATATTGAAAGATTCTTTGACGATTGAACAAGAGAGATTGAATGGGGAATTGATCGACGTAGGCGTGAAAAACGTCGTAGAGAGGTTGGTAGACGTCGATGCACGTTCGCGACGGCAGGCGTCGACGTGGACGTCGCCGTAGGACGACACGGCGACCCACATTCCGTCGAATTTAATTTCATGCCTTATCTCTGGTAACCACGGTACAATGCTTCAACTGGGGCGAATCCTTCTATCTTTCCCTCCTCGTACACACGCCCCACATACATCGCTGCAAAACCTGTACACCCCTTGTCGACGGTGTCTTCGCCAACCCACCTTCCTCTTCGTGTACACGGTATTTCAACCTGTGCTCGTTTCTTCCAAGTAATCTTCTCTTCTTTTCGTTATCCTGGATTTATCGACGATTACAACGGCGAAACTTCTGAAGATTCTTTTTTTCTTTTCTTCTCGCAACAGAAGCGATAAATTTTTAATATCGAACTGGGTGTAATCCCTATCAAACGGTTAATAGGATACAGGAATGTCGAAAATAGATTAGAGTTACGTAGCCAAACAGAACGGGAACTGTACACATTCGTTCGTTTGTTGAAACCGAGTACGCGGTAACTAAGCTTGCAAAGTGGCGGCTATGCAAATATCGAATCGTGTACTTCTAAATTCAATTAACTATGATGATACAGATTATGCGTTTCCGTTTGTACGCGCAACACGTTACATCGGAACAAAATCGTGGAAAGATGTAACGTTGTAATCCTTTTATTGAAAGCAAAGGGTGACGTTCGTTTATGTACACGTAATTCTCACCCTTTGCTGACCCATCGATTCTCTATTTTATTTACATCGTTACATGGTAATTGAACAGGGAAACGGACGGAGAACTTTAACCCTTTGACGATGTTGGAAAATATTGGTAGAGAAATGAATCCTCTTTAATTGGTTTTTATAATTTCATTAGAATTGTATCGGTCTCTTTGGAGGTAATTATTCATCAGCTGATCGCTGGAAGGCCGATATTGCCTTCAGAGGTGTTAGCCGAAGACTAATGAAAGCCTGATTGCTTCTAAACTTGCCGAACGTTAATCAAAGGCTAACCGGAAACTGTGTTTGTCGGAAGGTTGATTATTTAAATTGATGCCCAACGGGAAACAGGCTGATCAGGCTGGTAAATTAAAAGTACTCGTTCTAAAATCGTCGCGTTTGAAAGACGAAAGAGAAACGATAGAGTGTATTAAAACGAGCACGAGGAGAGTAGTTTACGTTGTACGTACACAGAGCCCGTCCACCGATAGCGACACGCAATTGTACAGGTACATCTGTTATAAAGCGAGCGTACTCGCTGTTCCAACGTGTCGGAGGCGGACACGTTTGCTGGAGGTCGATTGTGGCTATTTCTGTTCGCGACGTGGCTCGACGCGTACGAAACGATGGGACAGGATCGCTTTATCAGGCCTACTGTTCTATGCCTACGTTGAAAGCTGGTTAAAAGCGCGAAAACGGGACGTTTATTTCGGGACATCAAACTGCTCGATTATTAACTTCCAACGTCGACGGGAAATCACGAAATCCGGACGGGTTCGTACGCTTTTCTAGATGTTAAATTTGTAGAAAGCTGGATATACAAATTGAAAGATTCCTCGAAGAATGACGGAGGGAAAGTTCTTGTTATAGCATCAAAGATCCATGAGTTACAGACTTTCCGGCTCGAGGTTTATGTTTCTTTTTCCCTGCCGCGTCGCCTTGCCGCGCGAAAAATCCTAACTACGTTATTTCATCGAAAGAGGATTCCGCGAAAGAGATACTGAAAACGATAGAACGCACCGTCGCTTCCCTCGTATCTGAGAAAAATCACGCGTCTCGTTATCCGAGACCGAGATTCCTTAAATATAGAATACGATTTCGAATGGAAGTACGTAAACTGTTGCTGATGTAGCAAATGTTATATACAATAAAATCTAAGAATAATTCGGTGAGCTTCAAATAAGAGCTCAATGATATTCCTTATTCTTTCAATCTATCGGTAATATATTAAATAAAATGCATTCAGTTGTTCAAAGGACTCACCATCACCGGCAGTCCAATTCCATCCGCAGTCTCCAAATTCCGCTTTGTATCCTTAGATCCATCTTAATTCCTAAAAAATTATAAAAGACACTTTTCATAGACTGTCCATTTTAAAAGAATCGTCCATTTAATAATCTAATAATTACCTCCAACTATCCTAAGCAGCCATTCGGTAGTTAGTCCTCAGATTCGCACATCCGATCGTTGCTGAATTAGCTGAGAGACGCGTCTTGAGCGACGCGTAACCGGAGCGCACTCATCAGCACCGGCTAAGATACGGTGGTATCCAGCGAGCATCTCGGAAGGGCTTAATTGCCGTTAAGGAGCAATTAGGCCCATTAAGCGGAGAGACGAAGGGTTTCTGACATCTAATGGGATCGCGACTAATCTGTGCGACAGGCTTGCCAGCGTACCAGATGGACGAGGCTCGAGGAAGGATAGTAGAACGATAGGAGGCGATCGGTTGCGGCTGCAGCTGCGGCGTCGGTCGCTGCACCTGCAACTGCAGCTGCGGCGACGACGCTGGCGGTAGCGGCTGGTTAACCCAGACGGCAAAACGATGCAGGGGACCGGCGATTACTATCAGAGGGCGCCGCGATGCTGTCCAGGAAGGAACGCGAATACGAACACCGATACTCTGAGGATCAGCGCGTCGACCAGAGGGGCGGAATTGTTGTGTTGCTGCTGCAGCTGCAGCACCGCCACCTCTACTAAAACGCCAGGCTTGCTGGCCAGCCTTGGGGTCTGCGTCCTCGTGCTGGGGTACACGTTGCTCGGCGCGTTCGCGTTCATGGCCCTGGAAGGTGGTCTCAAGTCGGTAAGTACTGGTCTTGGCTTATGTAAAAGGTTTAAAAGAATACCTTGAATTAATATGCAAAAGAAACCGTTGCAGGATTCAACAAACGACTTACTCGTTCCTGGCTCAAAGTCCGAGGGGTCTTACGTGGTGCCGAGTCTCGACGACGACACCGCGGCCATGGAGCTCAGGGCACGTACCGTTGAAAGACTTTGGAGCATCACGGAGGACTTGAACGTGTTATACAAAGAGAACTGGACCCGGCTGGCGGCGAGGGAGGTGTTCGAGTTCCAGGAAAACTTGGCCCGCGGTCTCAGGAGAACTTCTTCGCAATACGAGCCGGTTGGGACATCCACTCGATCGAGGGATCATTCGATGGACAGGAGACCGCATCGTAGGTGGACATTCAGCGGTAGTTTGTTGTATTCACTGACCCTGATCACCACTATCGGTAAGCTCCACTGTCGGCAGTTGCTTTAGTTCGTATGTAACTTTGAGATTTTCAATCTACATCCGTTCAACCACAAGCCAGATTGCCTGAAAACACACCCATTAGATTAATGGGTATCCTGACCACTCGGTTTATCAGCTGACGCGGCAATAGTATTCGATTGGCGTTTCCAGGATATGGCAGCGTGGCACCTCGCACGGTCTGGGGTCGATTGATCACGATAGTTTACGCTCTGGCCGGGATTCCTCTGATGCTGGTCTATTTGAGCACCGTCGGAGATGTTCTCTCGAGAAGCTTCCGCCGTTTATACGGTCGGCTTTGCAGGCCCAGAAATTGCACGAGGAAGCAACAGCCACCACCTCCACCGCCACCAGTCGGCGGCATCATGAGCAAAACGTACAGATACGACAACCACGTGGACTCGAAGTCTGCTAATTATTACTCGGCCAGCAGGGAGAGCTCTTGCGACGATCTGGGAACCAGAGGCACCAGTAGCGCGATTCTGCTCGATTGCGGAAGCGAAGGTCTGCTTCACGCTACTACGAGCTCCACCGCCGCCCTCCAAGTACCATCGTTTTCTCTAAACAGACATAGAAATTCACGAACACACAACTACATACGTATAATCATTTTTTCAGGATGTAACATCTGGTAACGGTAAACGCCACTTTCACCCTTGCTCGTTGTCCCTGTCGACCAGTTCGTCGCCGGGTTACGTGGTGGAGACAAACGCCGTGAGGATACCGATCAGTCTCTGTCTGGTGATCATGCTGATCTACATATGCGGCGGAGCGGTGATGTTCAATCGTCTGGAAGGTTGGAGCCTCCTGGAAGGTGGCTACTTCTGCTTCACCAGCCTCGGAACAATCGGTTTCGGGGACCTGATGCCAGTTGGAAGAAACGCGGCGTCCACCACCCTGGAGGAACTCAGCCTGTGCGCCTGCTCGCTCTACATACTCGCCGGGATGGGCCTGATCGCCATGTGCTTCAACCTCGTCCAGGAGGAGGTGGTACGCGTGGTCAGGGTCTTCGGTAGAACCTGCGGCATGTCGTCGGGGGTGGTGGTCGGACCTATCGGTGGTACAGGTATCCCTGATGCAGGCATTCGACGGGGAACCGCTAGATTCGGGCGAGATGAAATTTCCTGGCTCCGCTTTAGTCAATTGAGCGCTTTGAGCCTGGCGATTATACCTTTGCTTCTTTGTTAGAATTCACTTTTATCCTTCGTTCTTCAGTTAATGCGTCTCTCTAACCGGTCCATCCATTTCGAACAGGGAATACTATCATAGCAATGGTACCTTGTTGAGTAAGAGGATCCGATGGAGAGCCATTCCACACCGCAACGCACCTCGTTCCTATTATCCATTCTCTGCAAAAAAAAAAAAAAAAGTAAATTAATTAACTGAACGTTGAAGAAAATGGCCGGGCTCAAAGTACATCGAATCGACAAACCATTCGCTTGCACGTTGAGCGGTTCTGATCCACTCGCGTCGGGGATTTCGATCGGGCATCTTGACCACTTTGCATAACCCCTCCAATTTTAATCGCGAATTAACAACGCGGCCGTTTAATCGTAGAGATTGACTGGTTCGTTGGTGTTCAGCAGGTGCCAGTCCTGGGCTCAAGGGGGAGCTCGACGATGGTGGAGGCACCAGCGACTCGCGATTGTCCGAGCAAGAAGAAGAAGCAATCGCCATGTCCATGGTGCCAGCATCCTGACAGCATCAGGCCAGGAGTCCCGGTGACGGGAAGCTCCTGGCCCACGCGTCCAACACTGCCGTAAAACCATCGCCCGGTCATCATTCCCTGCCGCGGAAAAAGACACCATCCGAGATTAGAAACTCCTCGACCCAGCAGTTCCAGCGTGCCCAATCGTTAAGGCGAAGCTGTTTGTCGCCTACGCAGTATCATCATCAGCAGCATCATCATCAGCATCGTCAACAAGAGAGCTCGTTGCACTTCGAATACTTTGTACCCAGAAGCGTGAGCGAGTTTAACCTAGCCGCGGCTGCGGTCACCGATATGGCGGTACCACCGCCGCCACCCACTTCCGTTCTAAGACCATCCTCAGCGGTTACGCCTCCGTTGTCCTCTGCGCCTAATCCAGCCTTGTCCAATCAATCTCGACTGCTCGAGTGTTCTGGAACGGCTACCAGAAGCCGTGAGAAGATGGTCACGTTCGAGGACGAAGGGATGAACACCTCGACGCCAACCAGGAAGAACGTTTCCGGGCTGGACAATGTTTTCATGTGACGCTGCAATCATGGTTGAACTTGTGAATCAATATTTCAACGGAGGATCTATCTTACAAGGATCTGGTTACGGTATTTCAAGGGTGGATTAAGAACGATTAAGTTAATTATGAAATTGTCAGGATTTAGGGTACTTTGATGATTGAATTTAAGGATACGAGGGAGAAGAATGAAAATGAAGCGAAGACAAGGAATGGACGTAGAGTTTCGTACTCTGTAAAGACACGAACTTCAAACAACGAAGGTGTCTTGAACGAAGGAAGCCGGGGTTTTACTTTTTCGAAACTTTAACGGCGATATCGTTCGTCGTGACGAAAGACACTAGATTTCTATCGTTTACATTATAACTACCGTTACTGTAACACTAATTAATACTCTTATCGCTGCTGATACTCTTCTTCTTACCATTATCGTTGCTAGATTACGTGGTACGAGCGGGAGCTCGTGAAATTGTGAGAATTCTTCAAATGTATGCGATTACACTGCCTCTTTCTCTCAATGAACAGCTTGTACAGGGTGAGACAATTTGAAGAGATACAGTTCTTCCTGAAGGAATACACTTTCTTAACGTTGAAAATGATTTCTATGCAACGGTAGTTTCATATCGTTACATTATCGAGTAGATATTTTAAAAAATATAATTCATCGAAATTAACTTCAGAATTTTTCTTTCGACTTTTTATAATGTATTTCTTCGGGAAAAACTTAATCTCTTTCGTACTATGTCCCCCTTGGGTGTACTTATAACGAGAAACACACACAGTTCTTTGAAGAATAAACACTTCAAAGGGTCCATGAATTTTCATACTCTACTCTATTCCCTCGAGAAACATAGTTTAAAATATTCCATGTTTCCCATGGAAATACGTATATTTGTGACAAGAAAGAGGCGACGTAAGAGAGAAAAATAATGAAACACACAGCCTTAAAACGCGCCTCACAAGCGGTTCAATTAATTATTGTCACAACAAAAAAAAAAAAAAGACAGATAATATAAAGCATAAAAAAAAGACGTGCATAGCTACGAGGCGGGTCTGTCCTAGTGTAATTGATAAGGAACTCGTTTTAATTGTTGAACGTCGCTTAACTTTAATACGAATTGATAAGCCAGTGTCCGAATAAAGGTAATTATGTAAATGATTCTAGTATCATAAAGGATCGTGTCCAATCTTTGTGCGCACGGTGAAAGAAGCGACGTCACTCAATCAACAGGTTGAATTATGGGGCTCAACGAGTGTTCGGATACTCTGTTTCTACGCGTATTTCACGATATCGAATGAGTTTTCATTAAAGAGAGACGAAGTATCGAACAATCAGAACGGAATTGATTTTTTTATTGACTGGATCCTCTTCGTTACGTTAGTTACGATGAAAGTTTTGAGAATTCAATAAAGTGAAATTTTGAGGTTAACTAATATTGATCTATCGAAAACTTCTTAGTAGAAATAAAGCTAGTTTGTGGTTAATAGTTGAGTGTCTTTTTTCTTTAGTTAAATTTTCAAAACTTTCAGAGTAAAATTCCTCATAAACCTTCGGGTAGAAACGACTTCATATTCCCTGGGTTGATGCTGATAAAATGATGAATAATGATTCCAGAAGAACAAAGGTAAGACTGTCATGATACACAGCAGGAAGTATCATTTTCTTCTTCATTTATATCATAATAATTATTAAGCTGTGGGATAAAATTAATTTGTTAACTTCTCGTGAATTTCATTATGGAGTTTCGAGAAATTTAAATGTCACGCTATTTTCATTGATAAATTGTTTATTAAGGGCAATATAGTATATCTTTGATATCAAATTTTGTAAAATTCATGCAATAGAATATGGTTATTTCGGTACCTAGGTATGGCTTATGGTATCATATGGAAAATTTTCTTCTTTAATCGTCATCCTCTTCGCAGTAGTCCCATTCCTCTTCACGAGCATTCGGCCTAAGTAATTGTGGCGCAGTACACTCCGTGTTTCTTAAATTATTGCTATCACTTTTGGACGCCAAATTGCAAACAAATGCTAAAAAATAATTTGTAAAACTCACAAACTAGCAACCATCTTCGAAGGCACTATTTGAAGCGATAATGGCGCCAAAAAAATACTAATTGCCCTCTATGGGCTAAGTTAGGAACTAATTAGAAAGTGAACTTGACTTGTTCGGTAAAAGAGTTTTCTACTTAAAAAATAATCATAAATACCCCATATCTAAATGACCCCTTTTCTCATAAAATTTATATTAATTAATTAAAATAAATGAAAAGAAAACCTTTGATTTTGTCCATCAAACTTTCACCCGGTTCCTTTTCAATCGACTCATCGTCTTCGCTCGAACTCTGGTTGATATTTTGATAAATAGTGCATCCAATGTCCACCATATGATTAATTATAAATTGAATAGTACAAAGAACCATAACCAATAGTATTGGTAAGCATAAATTAGTTTCTACATCGTCCAGCAACAAGTTTAACCATTCCGGTAGCAAATCGTTGCTCATCTTTGATCAGGAACGTTTACGATGAGATCTTCTGAATATTAATTGATTCAGTCCTCAATTGTTTCCTTTATAAATATTCCTTCCACACTCGTTTCGTTATCAACTCGTTTTTAAAACAATTTCGTGAACCATATTCTTGTTACGAGTAATTTAGGCGAAAGGAAATCATTGCCGAAACACACTTGAAAAGCGTTACACCGGATCAAGAGTTGACTGTTTTATAAAATTGAGTATCGATTTAAAGTAAATTTCGATTATGGATATGTGGCGGCAACATTTAAAAATAAGAAGCTGTTACGAACATCATTACTGTTATTGAAATAAACATTTTCAGTAAATTAGGAAGAATTCACATTTCAATTTATTTAAATGAAAATAGATGTTCTTAACAAAAATTGTACTCGAAAAGATTCGGCTTAAATTTTAGTCGCATAAAATTGAAATAAACAACATAACTACCCTGATCGTAGTACGCTTTATCTGCCATCTATTTTGTACCAGTTATAGGTTATATTGTAACCTCTTTACTATGTTATGAATGAACGCATCATTTTAATGTTTATTTCATTACAAAAAATTTACTGACTGTATTGTTAAAATATATATGTATATAAACTTTTTTTGGTAAAGGCAAAATGTCTACTCGTTGGTAAATACGTAAATCATAACATTAATATTTATAAATTGTTTAGTATCAAGAAATGTTAGTTGCGGTTATTTTGCAACTTTTTAATCTGTTTTTCAGGTATCCTTTCTATCAAGCAGGTAATCCACAGCTTAGAATTTTCCTTCCAAATTTTTGGTTAAAACTTGTAACACCAGAACACAAACAACCAAGCAATGTAGTGACATTCCATTGTTCGATGGAAATGACAATGTTTGATGTAAAAAATTATTTAGAGAAGATCTATGATGTACATCCTATTAAAGTAAATACTAGAATTGCTCTTGGAAAAACATATATGCCTAGAAAGTATGTTTGTAAAGAAGATGATATAAAGATAGCTTATGTCACTTTAGTAAGTATAGGTGTTAATTTGTAATATTTGTTTTATTGATAAAATTTACGTTAAACGTAAATATTTGGTAAGTTAAAGAAATTCATATAATTACAGCCTAAGGGTCAGACATTTACCTTTCCAACATTATTTCCCCCAGAGAAGGATAAAGATGAACAAGGGGAAAAACAAATGGATCAAATACAAAAGGAATTTAAGGAATTTTCAAAGAATAACAAAATACCAGGGGTTCCTAGTTGGTTTGCAGTGTAATAAACTTGTTAGTAGAATATTGAATAGAATAAAATTTGTTTAAATCAATTTATATTTTCTTTCTTTTATATTTTTACATTAGTTACAAGTATTAACTTAATGTTTAACAGTTTTATATTTAGATATACTATAAGTAGAATTAATAAGAAGAAAACAAAAACAGATATATATATATATATATAACAAAACATGTAAGTATCTTATACGTATTCAAAACTCAGACAACATATGACCAAAAGATTTGCACTGAGGACATTGTGTAATATCAAACAGAAAAACAGTCTGAAAGAAAAAAAAAACATTATTAAAAAAACAAACATATAAAAAAAATTAACATAGCTAAACAGAAAATAAATAATATCTGTTAAGTTGTATTTATTTAACTGTATTGTAACTTAATAAAACATACCTGTGGATGAATAGGGCAAAAGTAACGTACTCTGCCTCTTGTCCAATATCCACAAACACTGCATAATACAAAGCAGTATGGCCTGTAACACAGACATCTGTTTGATGGCACATTACTTTTGACAACTCCTCTCCCTCTTCCTATCCTTCCCATCACAGAATTCATTTTGCCAGGTTTTGGAGACAAATCCATTTTGGTCTTAATCCTATGCAAATTGTTCAATATCTATTAATATTTTTTTTTTTCAAGCATATAATATAGAGTAATCCAGTCTTATAAAGAATATCCAATATCCTTGGAATCAGAGCATAAAACAATTAATTTGATTTGCTAGATACTTTCTAAAATACATTTTCGCGTTCATAATTGTATATAATTTTCGAAAGACGCATTTTGAATCGTAAATTCATGGCACAAATTCCTATGCGCAAACGTGATTCACTTGTTGCAATCGCGCCGCTTTCAGTACTCTTTAAGTACGGTTTAATTTCCGGTACGCAAGTAATAATCTTTGTACGTTGACATTTAACGTTTAATTCGTATGTCTTTAAGAAAATCAGCCACTTTCGGTAACACGGAACATCATTATGCTTATTGTCATCGAAGTAACACGCACTATTTCACGACTTATTTAAAATAAAAATAAGACTGATAAAAAAAGAATTACCTTCAAAGTCCTTTATTGCTGTATTTCTTCCTGAATCTTGTTGTATTTCTTACAATTTCTCAGTAACGTCAATGTAGTTAACGTTGTTCTTAAACGTTCGTCCTTTGTAATATGATATATCACACAATTATAGTAGCGTTATTGTAGCGACACTTCTGATAATGTATCCTACAACAAACTGCAAAACAAATGAATATTAATATAACACAAATTTAAGTTGTTACAAGCTCTTATTTCGTAGAAAACAGCCACAATCGCAGACTTCTTACCAGGCGAGAGACCACTGCGTTTCTGGCACATCGGTCGCTCTCCGGGTAAAGAATGAAAGACAAGTACCTGCCTAAGTCCGTGTCGTAAACACACTTGAAACGATTCTATTATGTTTTTTCCCACAAACATAAGGCATGCAAGTCAAACCCTACTCTGTCAGGAAATAACCAAATATATTCTTTGTTTCTAACAAGATCAATTTTCTATTAAATTATTTATTAACAAAGGCTGTCTACAGTGATCAAGATTATGTTCGATTTCGGATAGTGAAAATATCGCAACGCTAATAACTATGGCAAAAAGGTATACCGAAATGTTTATAACTGACCGTAACTGATCGATTAATGGGAAATTTGTAAATTAAAAATTAAGCATATTAAGGAATGAATAATTGGCTATTTGTAATTATGGTTAATTACGTTTCTCCCGTAAGCGGGAATATAAAATTATCGGGAATTTGTGTATCCCTGGGGAAATTGATTTAACAAAAATAATGGCGTCCGGCACGGTTACGGAAAATAAACGTTTCGCGAATTTGAATATATCCACGAACCATGGCAGGTAATAATAAATTAACGTAAAAATGAAATGGGCAATTAACATTTAGAAATCATATATGAACCGTTTACCAGTGCTTCGAAATCGAATAGATAGTTCGAAATAAAAAATCGAGACATTTTATAAAGAGAAAAAGAGATTAGTTATATTTTTTTTTTATAAAAGTTCTAAATATTCTTACAGAATATCCACAATTGGAGCAGACAAGACAAAAGTCACATTTTGCACGGACGTGGACAAATCCGTGATAGTGCATAATTTTGAGAAGAGAGGATGGGTTCAAGTTGGTCCAGAAGACGATTGGAACTTCTATTGGTATTGATTTTATTTTTATATTAAAACAACGAAATTGTTCATTTTTTAAAATCATCATTGTGTTACAGGGCAGCTACTCAATCTTGCAGAAATATATTCAGCGTCGAAACGGGATACAGAATGGATGATAAACAGTCAGATATTTAATTTATAAAATACCGTATCAAAAATTATTAATGTCTCGATTATTTCCAAAATGATAAGACAAAGGATAGTTGAAGTCGATAAGTAGGAAATTACATTACCGACATCATTTCAAACATCTTTTATTCAGCACTAAAATTTCCCCTCAAACTTTGAAAATTATCTTTATTCTACTTTTTATGGAAATCATTTAACAATTTTGGGCAATATTGAAATGTTAATAATTACTGATTCTGTATACTATTATTCTAAGTATATTTTAATTTTGTCTCAGAATAATTAATCACTTTCCAAATCACTATGAACTAACGAGAAAAGATCTGCTGGTGAAGAACATAAAACGGTACCGGAAGGAGTTGGAGCGTGAAGGTAATCCGCTTGCGGAAAGAGGCGACGGCCCGGGAAAATATCTTTATCTTGATTTCATTCCAGTAACATTTGTCTTACCAGCAGGTAAAATACATTTTAAACCATCAATGTAATCATCAACATTTTTTAACAATTTATATTTACTTGTAGATTACAATATGTTCGTAGAGGAATACAGGAAGTCGCCTCAAAGTACATGGATCATGAAACCGTGCGGCAAATCGCAGGGTGCAGGGATATTTCTAATCAATAAATTAAGTAAATTAAAGAGATGGTCTCGCGAGGCGAAAAACCCGTTTAATCCTAATCTGACGAAGGAATCATACGTTATATCTAGGTAGTAGTAGTATATTTAAAATTACGAGATCTATTGAAGCGATAAATTAATGAAACTTTAAACGTGCAGGTATATTGATAATCCATTGTTAATTGGAGGCAAGAAATTCGATCTCCGATTATACGTTCTCATTACCTCCTTTCGTCCATTAAAAGCCTACCTCTTCAAGCTCGGATTTTGCCGCTTTTGTACAGTCAAATATGACACTAGCATACAAGAGCTGGATAACATGTACGTGCATCTTACCAACGTATCCGTTCAAAAGCATGGCGTGAGTATACAGATTGCTCCTATTGAAAAGCAAGGGAAAAGAATGTATGAAAAATTGGTCTTTGTCGTAGGAAGAATATAACAGTAAACATGGAGGTAAATTGAGTGTACATAATTTGAGACTGTATCTGGAAAGCACCCGTGGAAAAGCGGTTACAGGAAAGCTGTTCGCGAACATCACATGGTGCATCGTGCACTCTTTGAAAGCAGTTACTCCAGTTATGGCGACCGATCGACATTGCTTCGAGTGTTATGGCTACGATATCATCATTGATAACGATCTGAAGCCATGGCTTGTAGAGGTTCTTTCATATTCTCAAGTATAGCCGAGATAATTACTTATAATCGTAAATCGGTTGGTCCCTTGCAATCACGTTAGTGGTAATAATTGCTGGTGGCAGAGCAAGGGCAGATGGCCCTTTTAGCCTTCCAGCAGTTTACGACTGGGTCGAGGTCCGAATTGGGACCTTGGCTCAGGGTACTTGAGCGAAAGGTTTAGTTAGGAAGACAATGGCTAGCGATTCCAGAGTCACTGAGCCATTGACCAGCTTTATTGGATTTATGGCTGGGACCCTTACGGTCTGCAGTTTTCGAAAAAGCCTATTGTAATTACAAACTTAAAGTCCAGATGCTAACAACTTGATGATGACTGGTGGCCCACGAGACACGTGGCTATCAGGTGTTGGAGAAAATTTCATTTCTTTTATATTTCCAGGTAAATGCATCTCCCTCATTGACCTCCACTACGGTGAACGATCGAATATTGAAGTACAAACTGATCGACAACATAATTTCAATTGTTGTACCACCTGATGGTGTTCCAGAGTAAGTCAAATATTTACACTGTCGTTGCTTGAATAAAACCTAAAATATTTTCAGTGTAAAATGGAACAAGTGTCCACCAGCTGAGGCATTGGGAAATTTCGAGCTTCTCTTGGACGAAGAATTATGTTCTCAAGAAGAGAAAGAGTATTCGTCCGGCAAATATCGAAGTTCTTCCAGCAAATGGAAATAAACGATGGACAATGAATTTAATTTATTAATTATTCTATAGATTTTTATTCGCGTTTGATCGAGAGGGAGTTCGGAACGCGAAGCATGCGTAGATACAACGCATGGTTCGTGGTATTCTGCTATCAAGGCGCATGTACCAAAATCTTCGAAATGCACATATTCTGAGCAGTTTATTTTGCTGATACACAGCTCAATCTCATCGTGACGCTGAAATTTTCTTTAATAATATATAATAGGAATTCTTGTGTAACGTTCAAATATCAAAACTGTTGAATTGTTTAACAAATACGTGATGCAGTGATTGGAACGCGCGATTCCTATTTTTTAGAAAAATAAATTGCAAGTTTAACTTGGTTTTAGTTTGAAGAAAACTGAGTCATGTGGATCGAATGGAATGTTTTGTGTTATTAAAATGATCTGGATAAAAAGAATGGAGAGTAGTTCATGTAAACAGATGTTTTCTATAAGTAGGAAATTGCTGATAGCCGCGATCGTTTATCAAACTTTCTGCTTCATCAGTGTTTCACCAGGTAAGACTCTATTGTATAACATTAACAACAATTGATATTTATTTTATTTATTTTGAGAGATCATTGTCTGATTAATGTTATTCGACAGGTATTCAAGCATACACTTCACTATATTTATAAGATATAAATTCAGAAATTAATCTTCAATATTCCATATCATGGAGCGGCAGTGAACGTGTTAAAAATGATTAAAAATATTAACAGAATTACGAACGCACATCCCTTCTAGCGACCCTGCTTTTTGGTGTCAAGAACACTTGCACGAATGAATGGAATAATCGTAGTTTCTGGGCGATTTGTTTCGACGGCTGGCACAACGACGACTTCTTCTACTTGTTTGAGTCCCGGCTCTTTTACAAACGCGCACAATTCTTTTTTATTAACTCTATAAAAAAAAACGAGTTGAGCTCGAGGTGCATGACTTGGTTCAAAATATTTACAATGAAACTTTGAATTTCAATTATAAATTGCCCAGGTGAAAGTAATATTATTTATCGTATTGTTTAAATTTATGTTGGATTTATATCGCCATAACGCTATAGAATATAGCGTATACTTTATCTTTTACAATTCTGTTTTATATAATTCCTTTTTTATGTTGATTATCCAGAGAATTATGAGTACTCTCCGAGGGTGTACAACGTTGGTGTGCTGATGGCTTCTCATTTGAATAGTCCTTTCGATCTTGAGAGATGTGGACCAGCTGTCGACCTAGCCTTGGCCGAAGTGAACGACTTCTTAAGTGTTCACAATGTGCAATTGCGTAAAGTTCAAGGAAGGTGGGTCATCGTACATATTTTTTCTCCCTTCTACAATATTTAAAAAAAAAAAAATGGGTATACGTGTCCTAAATACGCATACGCCTGACCCTGCGTGAATTGATTCGCTTTTGAACACGCGTTTTCATCCTTTCCATGCCGTTACATTAATTCAATTGAACCGACGTGGGCACAAAAAACAGGTCTCCCAATATCCGACGAGAAAATTTGTCGACTACCAGGCGATCGGAATTAAATGAAACAATAGCTGTACAAATTTCCTACAAAGTCAAAGGTTCTTGGATAAAAAAGTAAACTGCGAAGAGAATGAAAATTATGTGGTATTGATAAATCAAGGGTAATAAGTATTAACATTCAATATCAGATATTGAATCAAAATTCCATTGTAAGTATGTACCTAGTGCAAAGTATTGAATAACCCAGAGGAGGTAAAATAACAGGTGTAATTACGTTCCAATTCGTTAACGAAAGAAGAGAACGGCAAAAATCGTAAACGATAATTTCCCTGGCAACGATCAGTATTCAATCATTGCCCATTCACCTACACGATTAATCTATCATTATTCCGCGTTATTTACACTTGAAACGACACAATTATCCATCGATTCAATCTCGACTTCCTCGTGAATATTCATCCACAGTATCTGCAGATTTCCTTAAGCCGTTTCGATCGTTCATTTTCTTGTCCGAGTAATTTGATCACAAGGTGTGTAGACAATTTGAAACGTGACCATCCCACCAACTTGTTTATCCTTTGTTCCTTTCTGATTCTTATAAGTATTGTCGTGAACTCCCTTTTATTTTTACGCCGATAAAAGGATCGTATAGACGAAAAAAGAATCTACATGATACTGAAAGATTGCATTCCTTGGAAAAGGAAGCAGTTAGCGGTAAATATTGATGAAGGATCATCCTTTAATATCCTTCCTATACATCAACCCCGTTGTTTGTTCTTGTCTCTGACATTGACTGCCTTTTACAAGGATTTCAATCGATAATAAATGCTCTTTCCCGTGATTTTACCCCTTCAATTTACGGTACATGTGAAATTTTCTTTCAATGTATGGAATTGTTTGATTGAAACTAATTTAAGGGGAAGGAATATAAAGAGAGTCGCTCTTTTCTTTTATACGTTTATTTAAGATTAATACTTGTACAGAGGTTTAGTAATGTTTCATATATTTTTAGCTATCCATCCTGCAGCGGAGCCGCAGCACCCGGTTTAGCAGCCGACATGCACTTCCGGGACAACGTGATCGCATTCATCGGTCCAGCTTGCGCCTTCGCCCTTGAACCTGTTGCAAGACTCGCGGCTTACTGGAACACTCCTATAATCACAGGAATGGGTGATCAAGTATGCCTCTTCTATCTTAACCCTTTCAGTTAATGACACTGATCAACTAGAGCGAGATTCGCTCTAAAAAAAAAATGTTTTCGATAACTCTTACCGTTTGGCTAAATGCTACAACCCCCTTATCAAGATTTTCAATCTTAGATATAGGTTGGCTAATAACTGATGCGTTTTTTTTTTTTTTTTTTTTTTTTTGTTTAATAACGAAGCCACCGTCGGAAGGTGAACTATCCGTAACATCAGGCATCCTTGGAAGAATCAATAAATGGAAGAACGAGAGCTCGGTAATAAGATAAAATCTTGTTATTTGCTTAATTATCGCGTGCATGAACACGAGAAGCCTGATCCTTTATCCTCGTGTTTACGACCCTATTAGCGTTTTTAATTAGCCAGCCTGCTCGTTAAGGTGCATCTAAAGAAGACACCCATTCTCACGACTTTATATCCTTTCCAAGGGAATTTTCAAGGACAAAAGCAAGTATCCAACTTTAACTAGAATGTCTTATTGCCAATGCCGTCTTCGACTGGTGTTCTCCAGTATATTTAAAGAATTCGGATGGTCCCACGTGGCGCTGCTATTGGACAGATCTGATTTATTCTCATGGACAGTTGGTAAAAACTTGGAGTACGGATTACGGAAAGAAGGATTGCTAAAGTTTGTCAGAGAACTGGATGGTAACTCGGAAGATGAACCTTATCAATTTTATTTGCGCGATGCCAGCATGTATGCCAGAGGTAAGTAAGCTTTTTTTAGACAAGGGGAAGTGTATCATCGTCACTCGTGTCCACAGTGGTGATTCTCAGCGTCCGAGGTACCCTTGTCAGGAAATTCATGCTGGCTGCTCATGATCTAGGGATGACTAAGGGTGACTGGGCGTTCCTTGACGTGGAAATATTTCAGGTAAATCAAACGATCCACCCTACTCTTTCAGATAATTAATCGTCATTCAAATTAGGGTTCCTATTGGGGTGATCACGATTGGGAGCTCGGCGACGAGGATGACGCTGTCGCCAGGAAAGCGTACGAGGCTCTTTTAAGAGTGTCTCTTTTGCAACCCACAAGTCCAAGATTCCAGGATTTCGCTGAGACTGTCCGTCAAAGAGCTTTAACAGACTACAGTTACTCGTTCTCAGAAGGAGAGGAAGTAATCCATAGATTCTATATAATAAAAATAAAAAAAAAACAAAGGTGTCTAATTAATATCCTACTTTACAGGTGAACTTCTTCATAGGAGCCTTCTATGATGGCGTATATTTGTTGGGGATAGCTTTGAACGAAACTCTGTCGCAAGGAGGAGACATCAGAGACGGTATATCTATAACCAGGAGAATGTGGGACCGAGATTTCATTGGTATTACAGGACACGTGAGGATTGACGACAATGGAGACCGTGACGCGGATTACAGTATCTTGGATTTGGATCCCATCACGGGAAGGTCAGCAGCAATTAAGCCAGCCATTCGTTGATCCGTTTGCAATGCTAATCAAGCTCCATTCTGAGGGCAACTGCCGTGATGGAATTCGGTTGGATAACTTATGAGATTCCCCTTGATTTCCTTCCAGACATGTGAAGCGAGCGCAATTAGATACGTTTGTTTCAATCGATCGCCTGATGAGAACGCTATACAGAAATAATTATGTCGAAATTCACAGGTTCGAGGTGGTCGCTCATTACCTGGGATTGAACCGAGAATATAGTCCAGTCTCTGGTAAGAAGATTCATTGGCCTGGAGGTAGAGAAGGTCCACCCGCGGATGTTCCAGAATGCGGTTTCTTGGAAAACGATCCTGCTTGCACTTCCAGAACGGAAGCGTACACGTTTGTAGCTTACACCAGCCTGACACTTGCCGTGTTTTTACTCGTTGCTGTTACCGCAACATGCGTGCTGTATCGGTAGTTATACTTTGAGACATCTGAAGGGAGAAGATATTCGCGTAAACTTATTCCCCTCTTTTGTAGACACTTGAGATTATCAGCTGATCTGAACAACATGTCTTGGAGAATCAGACCGGAAGAGCTACTTCTTGAAATAGGGAGACCCGTCTCTTCGAAGATTAATTTACATCAGGCTATATCCGACGTGAACGTAAGTAATCTATATATTCAGCTGAAAGGATTAACACGAAGAGAATTAATTTCAATAGAATTTTGGATTGGAACAACGTATTCGTCGAGGATCACAGTTTAGTTATGAATCTCTACCACCGACCACGGTATTCACTACCGTTGGAATTTATAAAGGTGAAAGGGTGGCAATTAAGAAAATCACCAAGAAGAAAGTGGTCGACGTCACGAAGAAGCTTCTGTGGGAGATTAAACAAGTTCGAGATGTTACTTCTGAAAATACTGTCAGGTATATGAATTTATAAAGTAAGTTTTTTGGTAGATTAAATATTTGGAACTTCCAGGTTTATCGGTGCTTGTCTCTGTTCTCCTTCGCCGACGGTCTTGATCCTGACAGAGTACTGTCCGCGAGGATCCTTGAAGGATGTGCTTGAGAATGATGCTATAAAATTGGATTGGAATTTTCGAATGTCTTTGATTCACGACATCGTCAAGGTAGAGCAGGTGCAGAGCTTCAGCTACACGTTCATTTCATTTTAAATATAAATCTCTCTTTTTTAATATCTTTGATCATTATTCTCATATTTTCATTAATACTGCTTTATGATTCTAAAAGGACAATAAGGGGGATAGATATGAATTCTTTGTACTTTTGTAGGGAATGTCTTATCTCCATGCCAGTGAAGTTTCAGCCCATGGAAAGCTTCGCTCCTGCAATTGTTTGATCGATGGTCGTTTCGTTCTAAAGATCTCAGACTTCGGTCTGAAAACTCTTACGACCCCTTCAGACTTGATTATGGATGATAATTATTATACTAGTATGTAAAAATCAGTTCCCCTATGAGGAGTTAAGAGCTCGTTAATTAAGAATTATTTGTTTATAATTATTCTCTGACAGAATTACTGTGGATCGCGCCAGAACTTTTACCATTAACTGTGACACCAGGAAGCGTGGCTACTCAGAAAGGGGATGTTTACAGTTTTGCGATTATTTTAGAGGAAATTGTTGTTCGAGGAGGTCCATACGAAACTGTTAAGGCATTCGTGTCTTCCCAAGAAGTATAATAAGAATTCTGTACACTTAACATCGTTTATCATTAAAGGATTTATTAATTGTCTACTCGTTTTACATATAGATTGTAAACAGAGTTGCAGCATCCGAAATACCACCGTTTAGACCGGAAGTAATGCCGAAGGACTGTCCACCAGATATTTTATCCTTGATGGAGAGATGCTGGAACGAGATACAGGAGGAACGACCAACTTTTCATACGATTCGTGGAACGATACGTGGCATTATGAAGTGAGCTTTTATATCACAATGAAAAAAAAAAATTAATGCCTAATTGAGGAGCAACATTATTTTACAATATTACAGAGGTTACTGTGAAAATTTAATGGATGACTTGTTAAGACGAATGGAACAGTATGCAAACAATTTGGAAGCTCTGGTTGAAGAAAAAACAGAACAATTGAGTTTAGAGAAACGACGAAGCGAAGAACTTCTGTATCAAGTACTTCCAAGGTAATTAACACTTTAACATGCAAGGTGTTAATTGGATATTTTTTATTATCGAAGGACCCCGAAGTGCCTTCAAGGGCCATTCTCCTGCACCTGGTATTTCAATGGAACATACCTGAGAAATATCCCAATTATCGTGCCATAAACCTATCAGCACTGTTTAACCAAACACCATCATTGTCCTTTCTCAGGCAAGTGGCGTGTCAGCTAATGGCCGGGGAACTGGTACAACCAGAACAGTTTGAATGCGTGACAATTTACTTTAGCGACATCGTTGGTTTTACGGCCCTTTGTGCGCAAAGCACCCCCATGGAGGTGGTTGATTTTCTTAACGACCTTTACAGTACCTTTGATCGTATCATTGAATTCTATGACGTTTACAAGGTAAATCTTTGTACCACTTATGTATAAAATATTATTTATTTATTATTTTTACTTTATATGATAAGGTGGAGACAATAGGAGACGCTTACATGGTAGTATCCGGTCTACCAGAAAGAAACGGTGATGAACACGCCAGAGAAATTGGTTTGATGGCTTTGGCAATTCTCGATTCGGTACGCTCTTTCACTATAATGCACAAACAAAACACACAACTGAGCGTTAGAATAGGTGTTCACAGTGGGCCAGTTTGTGCTGGTGTTGTGGGTCAAAAGATGCCCCATTACTGTCTATTTGGTGACACAGTGAATACAGCATCAAGGATGGAATCTTCAGGATTGCGTAAGTTAAGACTGTTTTTACAGGAGATCTATTAATTTTAATTGATGCAACACCAATGTTAATTTTTATATTTAACACAGCTCTATGTATACATGTGTCGGAAGCAACGAAATGCATACTGGATAAATTTGGAACGTTTGATTTGGAGCTAAGGGGCGAGGTGGAGTTAAAAGGAAAAGGTAAAGTTACTTCTTATTGGTTAAAGGGTTGTTCAGAACCTGATCCAAGACCCCCAAGTCCAAAATATCGTAAGCATAGCGTTAGTACGCCGGAAAACAATCTGAATCCTTTAATTTTTCCACCGAACAACATTAACGGCCTCAAAACAAATAACAACACGTTTATTAATTTGTCCGAGTTACAATAGAACGAATGATTTTGATGATGCTCAAGGGTAAAATAATAGAATGTCGTAATTATAATAAATTTATTTAAATTTCTTCTATTACAATATCAATTCAGGATTTTACATCAATAACATTTAATTTAATATACATAAATAGAAGAATCTTTAATAGGCTTTTGTCGACAGGCATGTGCATTAAATTGATTTTTAATCGATGATTCGACGAAATGTAAGATTCTTTATTTTTTTTTTTTTCATATGCAACAGCTACGATATATCAATGATTACAATTTAATACACATGTCTAACAACAATAATCTACATAAAGCTTGCATTCAACGTAAATTTTTGGTAATGTTTTCCAAATGAAATTGAACAAAACTAAACTTGATCTGTCAAGTATTTGCGGTATTATAATGCTACACTTTTCCGTGTTATACTGTTCTGTAATAACACAGTGTATCATTTTATTGTAATATGCGTATAGACTACAGCAGAATTAGCATCTTTTATTTTAATTATTATTACGATTAAAGGCTACTAATAATTGATTATAAACCTCTGTGTAATCTATATTTTTATCACTGTTAAATCTAAAAAGATGTGTCAATTATTCAATCGCCGTAAAATCTTGACAACAAGAATTATCGTGTCCGACTACTTGGATGCCAAGAACATAATTAGTCTGAAACAGAGAAACAGAGTAGGTGGCTTATTAGAATTCTGTATTAAATATATTTTATTTCAACAATCAATTGATTTCTTTGACGACTAACTCTTACCTGAAACTAATAGCTCTTGCAGCAAGAAGTCTATTGCACTCTGCAGTATCAGGTAAAGGTAAAGGTAAATAAGGACTTTCGTTTTCTTGGTCGGTGAATTCAAATCTGTGAATTCTCGGTTGCACTTTCATGTCTCCGAAAGGTCCTTTCAGTATCAAATAGTGAAGCGGTAATGGATACGTCGTTTTCGTTTTTAAAATCAGCTACAGAGTAATAATGACTTGAATTTAATTCCTTTCAATTTGAAACACTTATATATATATATATACATTGAAACGTCTACATACTTGATAAGTCATATCCCTTTCTGAACTCTGAGTAGGATCGCGTTGACTGTTATTAATTCTTGCCTTTACAACCCATTGATTGTTAAACGCCGTGAAACGAGATGTTTCATAAAATAATTTATGAACAAACTCGTCTGTGCGATAGGGCTTCATTTGTAGATCTATACAAACAAAATTCTACAAATAGCTTACATCATTTATAAAAAGAAACGATGGAATACCTAATCTATTAAAAGTTTCAATACAAATATAGATAAATATGATTTTAATCGAATCCCTGCTGCTGCTAAAGAAGAAGACAAAAAGAAAAACAAAGGTGTAAAATATATTTCTACAAAGATGTTTATTCTACGGATTTGGATGTAAAGAGATTAAAGAAGAGTTTCAGAGCCTTAATGCACGAGATACGGATACAGACCGTTGAATGTGATTTTCTCGTAGGACAAAAGGTCAAAGACATTGTCATAGAGCCTACGTTCTTCAAGGGTACGGGCATCGATGTCCCGCAATGCTTCCATAACATCCAACCCTGAACGATGAGGATGAACGCAATGCGCCTCATGTTCTGGACGCTCATGATTTGGTCCACGCCAAGGGCAACCGATCCTACTGTATTTGCAGCTAGATATTCTGTGTACATACAAGAAACAATATGAGCATAACGTTGTTCAGTTATAATTATCAATACTGATTTTACCTTTCTTCGCACATTGTCTCTTCATGACGTTCCAAAGAGTTTCGTGGAAACTCCTTTGCACAATATTGACATTCTGCTGGCAACTCAGAAACAGCTTTCTCAACTGCCAAATTTCGAGATGGAGACGTTCTGCTAATCTCGATTCTGCAGTTGGGACACGTTGCCATTTCATCTCTTAGTCTGGCATCTGCGAGGACATGAGTGAAGCAACCAGCACACATCAAGTGTCCATTTGTACACTGTGAACATTGTTGCAGTATGTTTTACTAGCATTCTTAGATTTCAATTTTGTTTATTGAAGGTTTAATTGTAGTTTTGTTATAAATGTTATCAGCCTGCAGTAAATTTTTAAGTATGTATAGCTCTGTGCAAAATTTCTGTTATTCTTGGTATAAAGTTTTAAGTAATAATAATAAAAAAAATGAAGTAGTATTCTTGATTTTAATCATTTTTCATTTTGCACAAGCTATCATACCAGATTTTTTATTTCTGTAACAAATAGATACATCCCTTACAACATTAATCAAACTAGAATAACAAAACTAATGTCATGTATATTACCATGATTTGATGTTTTTAAACCTGAAACACAAAATTGTAATAATACTATTAATAATTCAAGTTAATCATTTGCAAAACCAGTAGGTTTTAAAACAATGCGAATATCATCAAAGCAACTGTCATTAATGCTGCCAATATTGATAATAGAAAGGAATAGAAAAGGATAATGATGCATAGGATAAGTGAAAAAGGGTGTCGTATGTGAAATAACTAAGTAATAACCTTTAAGAATATTTATTTTGTTCAATGCTTTCCAACTATACATGTTATACAGATTTTCTGGAAAATGCGCTTTCTCTCTCTCACTCTCACTCTCTCACTATTTATTATAATTGATAAACATTAATTTTCGCATGGGTCTACAATAACTTTACCTAGTAACTAGTTTTTAACTTTCCTCATTTTGATTACTTCTTACAATAAACACAATACTTTATGATAAAAAAGGTGGTGTTATATTATGTACTAAAGGCTATAAAAAATTTAGTGACTTAAATAGCTTCCTTTCATTTTTTTTTTAAAGTTTTCTAATTGACTTTATTGGAGTATCAACCAGAATGAAGTTAGAATTTAAATGATTTGCGTCATATAGGTGTCTACATGTTCACAAATGCATGAATACAACGTTCAAACTTGCGTACTATAGTAAATAAAAGTGGTACAGTGCTGAACTGCGCACTAAATAACTTACATGTATGCATTTCTATTATGATAGAATAAACGCAACATTCTTCCCACTGTTTTAAAGTGAATCAGGGCACTGAATATTAAGTATGTTACATATATATATATATATATAATATATCTTTGTTAATAAAATTGAAAAAGGAATTGAAAACAAAATATAATAAAGTACAGATGGAATGAAATGCTACAAAGTTAATTATAGAGGAGTTTCTGCAAATAAAAGTTACTAAAAAAATGGGATTATTATTGGGACATGCATACATACAATAATTCTCTTTAATATAGTATATCTGTATTTATTTTTCGCATGATTTAAAACTTCGCATTAATTTACACTGTTATGAGAATTACTTGACATGCATGCATAAATATGTTTATTGCAATTAATATGATATCACTTTACAGTATAAACTATAAAAAAAAAAGTTTATCTGGTTGTATGTTTACCTCAATATTAAATGTTCAGAAATTTCATTTTAAAAGATTATTTTGTAAAAGACCTTAAATCACATGAAGTCTCTAAGTTTCATAATTATATATTTAACAACAAATAATAATAATAATCATAATGACTTTAGTGTTCATATTAAGCAAATTAAAAGCTGTTCTTCATACATCTGTCCTTTTTTTTTTTTTTTTTTTTCAAGTATTTAATACCATTTCTATTAGGATAAACATATATTACCTACCTGTAATTATATTATTACTATCTTAAAGAAGACAATACTAATAAATAATTTAAAGATTTTAATAATACAATAATAAAAATAGTTTATGATTGCCTTAAATACTTATAAGATCAGAACTTAAACAAAACTATATTTTTGTATAACTATTAACATCATTTGCCTGCAAATATTAGAAAAATAAAGATCTTATTGTGAGGATAAACTATGTTACAATCATCAAGAGAAAAGGAGGGTAAGAAAACTGGGAAGAGTGAGAGAGAAAGAATTTAACACAGAAATGAAGTACTATTAATGACTATTGTTAATCAATTAAAAAACAATCGCAATATGGAAAATATATCGCTAAAGTAAGTTACAAATGATAAACGATAAAAAAAAAAAGTCCAGAATTTTCTGCGTTTCTTTTTAAATATGAATATCCGTCAGAATATATTTTTTCGTTTTCGCAATTTAAATTATATAAAAAATAAAAATGTATCCTATACTTCAAGAATAACAAAAAAAATTTATACTGTTTTTTTTATCATCATCGGTATATTCTTTTTGCATATGTTCAACTTTACTACCGACACAAAATACAACTAAAAAACAACAAAAGACGATTTCGGACGAAGGAACATCAAGAAATGATCATAGTGCACAGTGTGCAATCAAACACCATTAGAAATATTACTTTATCTAATAATATCTATACGTACTTGTATGTAGGTATATGTATACATATTTCAATGAGTAACAAGAAGTCACCCATCGACCTCGGGTGAAAATGTCGGATGCAAAGAATGGACATCGTTACAAAAAACGATTGCTAATGTTAAGACACGGAACATCAATCGAAAGGACGCACATTTGTAAATTCATAATATATCGAAGGGTTCTATACTATACAATACATATTATATCGAAGGGAAAATATGAAAAACTTACCTGATAGACAGCTGCCTTGGGTAAATCGAGGCAAACTGCGCAGCAGAGGATGCCACCCAAACGGTGCTCCAATTTCTGTTCGGTTTTCCCATCGTTCCTTGACACTTTTCGACGCTTTTTGTCAGGCTCGAGAAAATCTTCTATTTTCTCAAGATCGTCGCGAATCGGAGTAGCCGGGGGGGCTTGCTCCGAAACGCTACTCGACGGTACAGCTTCGTTGTTCGGGTCCGCCATATTGATTGTTTTGATTTTTCCACCGAACGAGTGTGAGAAATGCGCAGATGTCAAACACAGACCACGTAATAGTCTCCTAGATAGAGACAACACCGATCCGATACTTGTTTGCAATTTTATCGAATCAGTCGATGTCTCGTTCAAAATTTCAAATTAAAACATGTAAAAAATTATCATGATACTCGATTACTTTACAAAATAGTTTCATACATACATTATGTAAAAAATAACCTTATTTTTAAGTAACAGAAAGAAGAGAAAAAATGCATTAGCGTGAAATCGTTTTTAAATTTTTGTTATTTTTCATTGCCTCGATTGTTGCTATCGATACAATGAATTTTCGAACCTTATCATTTGATTTCCTTATTGTAAAATACAATAATTCGATTTTGTTCAAATCAATCACTGCATCTTCCTGATGCGATTTAAATGTGACAATTAAATGGTTTAAATTTAAATATATGAAAATTAGAAGATCGCAAGTATCGAAACTCGCATATCGATCGCAACTGACTTCTCTTCTTCGATACGTGCTTTTAAAAATTTATGCAATCCCGCGCTTTTCTAACTGGCGTCGGTTGAACGCAAGATTCCATAGAAGTAGGTCTGTATTTTTATAAATTATAATTTAAGTATCTTTATTAAAGTACTTTAATACTTACAGGAATATTTATTACTTTTCTCGTATCAATACCGTTTTAATGACTTCGATTGACAATGTTCTATTTTCAGGTGTCGTTATAAAATAATCAGATTGAAGAATCATTAGCCAAGAACGAATAGAAGGAAATAGAAAGAAAAGCTACATAATTGAATTTAGGTAATCAATTTTTTATTCACACGTCGACGTATTGTCGTTTATATATGCATTTAGTGTTCCTTTTTATAAAGTCACCAATTTCATATAATTCTCCTTTCGTATAACCCATTTACCTTTCGTTTCGCTCTGCAAATACATTATTCCTTGCCTTTTCGTTAGTATAAACGGACACAGGTTTAAATATTACTCGGAATCGCTACAGTTCATTTGATAGTTAAATATTACACAACATTCAAACATAGGATTTGGAAATCAACATACATCTATTCTTACATAACATAACCGATTTTAAAATATAATAACGCTAATTGTGGATCTTTCGTGATATACAGTGAGCTTAAATTCATTTATATAAGTTCATTCATTGAATAGTCTGTAAATGAATGTATTTCAAGAAACTACATTCAATTAACAAAAATATGATGTAATCAAAGGAACTAAGAATGGATATTAGAATATACATAATTAAGATTCATGGTGGAGACATTAAAAATATTTTAAGATGATACATATATTTTCTTCTTTTTAAATATTAGTATCTACACTTATAACTTGACTTTGTAACAAACAATATACTAAATGTCATTTAAGAAAACATAAACAATCTTAAGATATTTTTAACACCTCCACTTCTATGTCCTGCTATCTTAATATCCTTCGGGGCCCCCTATTTTTTGAAATACATTCATACTCAGGGATAAAAACTGATCACCCTGTGTAAGAAACAATCATGTGCCCGAATTGGGGCGTAAATCAATCAATATTCGGTATTTAGGTCTCTTTTAGATTCATAAAAATGCATCAGTTTGTTTGCTACACGTTACCTAACGTGTCGCTTAATTTTCCTTTTGATTAATTAACGCTCCATTATTCTATGTGCTACCGAAACAACGTATACACTATGTACAACGGAATAATTGATTCTAACTTCTCTTCGAATGATTTACATAGAATTCCGCTAAAGTTTGCCTGCGCTATAAACAGTAGAAGAGTAGAAAAATGTATTGCGATCACGCGTGGACGACGAAGATTTGAACGCTTTCAGAATGTTTGTAATACAAGAACAAGTGTAAACGCTCTTTGTACTTTTCGATGGTGTGTCTGATTTTAATTCAGCTCCGCATACAGTCGTGGTATTTAAGAAATTGGCAATTAACACGGCATTTAAATACACAGTATTTAACTTGGACGATATTCTAGATTCAACGTATACGTGTTATTGCTCATTATTATAAATAGGTTTCTCTAAATCATTCTCGGTCCACAGTGACGTAATCAACTTAAAAAATGTATTTTTCAATAATTCTGTACAAGATAGATCACCGCACGATCCATGACATAAATATTTTCACCTTTTCTCTCCGTATATGTACATGGAATTTCAACGTATTTTACTTAATTTAAATTGTATATACAAATACACATCACTTCATCCATCACGTGAACAAACTTGTCTTTATACAAAACCGAGTATCATCGTAATATATTGCTTAAAATATATTACGTGGTTGCCATCGAAACGTTTTGATTTACCTGTTGACGATTTTATTTTTACAGACACATCATCCGAGACTGCAAAATAAGAAAAGAAGATTTTGGCGTTCGCTCTCTGCGAATATACTTCAATGTACCTCATGCATGTAGGGACAACTACACAGGAAAATCAGCAAGTTTATGGAAACAATTTAATCAGGTAATATTTCAGTTTCTAAAAATCATAATTGTAATTGATAACAAATTAGATTCACTGTACAGCAACAGAGGTAAAAGCAAGACATTTATTGAATGTAAATATCCAATAGGTGCACAGAGTTGTCCTCAGATACATGACCCCATCAGTAGCGTATATTCAGGTTTTCAATGGGAAAATCAAATATTTGTTGAACAAACGAGGGGTCTCAACAAATCAACTTACCTAATACGCTGTGATCCGGTCAGTCGTTACCTTCCCAACGGAAGATTCCTCTGAAACCTTCTCTTTCAATTTTTGGCTCTGACTATCTGGCACTGCCGCGAGCATTATACTCGTAGAATTTTTTAAATCACCATACGACTGCTCCAATTGCTTCACCTTCTTGTTAAGCTCTGTGTTTGCTGCGTAAATCTCGCTCACCTGTAATATTTGTAATTTTGATTTTGTAGAAGATGTTAGAATTTCAAGAACACGGGCACCAATTGAAGTGAAGATGAATTAGGCATACTTTCAATTCCGTGTTCCTCACACATTCCCTCTCTAAGGATATCACTCTCATGCTAACGTTCTGTGTTGTTTCTTGGAGGGACACCAGCATCTCCTTGAAAAATATTAAATTTAAGAAATTAAGTTTTTCATAATTCGTGTTCCTTGAATACTTACATGATCTTTCTTTTGGTCCTCTGCGACCCATTGCACATCTCTAGACAAAGTTTCATTAATGTTCAACAGATTATTAGTTAATTGTAAAATCGTTGCGTTCAGCTGATCAGTCTTTATCTTCGTCTCGTTTGTGGACACCATTTGAGGTCTTTGGGTGACATTTGACAACTCTGTCATGGCGTTCTGTAATATAAAATGAAAATTATCTTGCAAAATTCTACATTGTGATATAGAAATCAGTCGGTAAATTAATTGATTTCTATTATGAACCTTGACGCTGCTGATGTTCTGTTGCATAGTGGCCTGAACATCTTGCAGCTTCGCGTTAGACTCTTTCAGAGTCTTCACTGTGGCACTCAAATCTTGTATTTGGCTACCAAACGACACCACACTGCTCGACAGAGCTTTCAAGTCTGTTGGTACGTTGGCTAATTGGGGGGCTTCTTTGAACCACTCCTCTACCCTATGTAGATCACGTTGAATAGTAGCTAACTAAAAAAAAGAAAAGAAATTTCCATGATAAGAAATCTTAATTTTCAGGCGAAATAATGGCAGCTGATAACTGTTAACGAAGGATCAATGATAATTTACCTGCGTCGTAAAATTATTGATTTGAACCTTGAGATCCGACAAGTGGTTGAAGATGATAGTTTGATTGTTTTGAAGATCTCTCGATAAGGAATGACATTTCTGCAAAGCATCTGGAACACCTTCGCTACCTGCGATCACTGCAACATGAAAAAAGAAATAAGGTAACGTTAAAAAGGTTGAACGCACGTGATACGGAAATACCAACATCTTATCGCACGTTTCGACCACAGGCGCTGATAATACACAGTTTTTGGAATGATAGTACTCTTTGTTCTCGTTCAACAACGAATCAATTTGTCCGTGTAATAAATTAGAATTAATTAATGCGAGAATTAATTAAATCGAATTTCTGAGAATTATAATAGCATTCGATACAATAGTAGCTGATAAAAGGATGATTATAAGAATTAAATGATTTTACAAGAGGAAAGTATGACGAGAAATACAATAATAGTAATGCGTAATAAACTAAACGTTGGGAGCGATAATCACATGCATATATTTCACTGTGATAATCCTATTAAGTCGAAAAGTGTATTCGTTCGAAAACAAATTTATACACTTGTATAAGCATCCTTGACGTTGTCCATTATTTCAAAAGTAACGCTATAAAATATTGCGTAACATCCAGACAATCCAAATTGCAGCTTCAAAAGCTACTAATTTAAGTAGTAAGTGGTACAATAATGCCTACCGTATTACAACTTTATCCTTCCCTTAACCATTCTCAGAGATTCGACGATATCTTCGAACAACAAAGATCAGGCTTAATTCAATATTTGTAAGCGCATTACGGTAATTGCTGCATAATAAGCAGATTACCCAGCGTGGCGCTATTGAATGAACGTAAACGGCTTAGCTAAAAGAAAAATTGTCGCAGACGCGTTTTTCTATTCTGGAACTGATAACGAGGGATCGAATCGTATCACGATAAATTGATTTTTTTCTTTATCGAACCATTTCTCGAGACGCAATATACCTTGATCCAGTTCGGTCCGAAGCGCAGTGAGTTGCTGACGAACGTCGATGAACAGCCAAATTAAACTAGCGGTTGCTAATACAGAGGCACAAGCCAGAAAGGCACTACAAGCTTTAAAAAATCCAGGACAAGCTCGACTTCTTCTGCCTCTGCATTTGCGGCCATTTCTAGTCGATACATTCCAGTATTCCGATCGTTCGTCGCTGCTATCTGATAGTAACTCCTAGAAATTTAGGGAAAATCAGTGTCGACCGTTTTTCTTCCATCGACTTTGATTCTTCTTATGTTTCCACTCACGAGGATAGGAAAGTTTAATAGGGATGTAATTCATAAAATGTTGTACCTTTCATTTTCTAAACGAGGCACTGAAAGTAACATAAGTATTACTAGAGAACCAGCTAGAATTTACCTTTGTTATCAGTGACGTCAAGCTGATAAAAATATTCGCTACGTTTTAAAACTATAACAATGGATAGTCAACAATCCATCCATTGATAGAAATCATAAATTCACAAGTACATGAATAGTGCCCGATAGAACATTTCATAAATTACAACCCTATCAAACTTTCTAGACGCGGACAAACGAAAGTAGTCGTCAGACAAAAAGTTCTTGCTTCACAGTGTGATTATTTCCAGGATAGACGCGACGAAGAATCGCTCGTGGTCACGGTCAATCGATACGTACTTGAGAACTACGCTTTCCGGAACTTCGGCGGGAGACAGTGTGCGGAGGCGCTAACGCGTCCAGTTCCTTCCGTTTCTTCATCTTCTTCGTCGGTTGACGAAGCGGCACTGTCACCGCGACCGAGTCCATTTCAAGCAACACCGAACCGCCTATCTTCGTTTCGTTCCGCGCGACAACCTCGCCCTAATCGCCTTCAACCCCTCCGCGATACTTTATCGTCGACTGGTAGCAGGTTCATTTCCGCACTCGAAAATCGGCTATCACCTTCCACCGTTTCATTTAAGCACTAGTGCGCGCATTAATGAGAATAGTTTATTTTTTAGCAATATTTGCGAATGCACTTCATTGTCTATGTCACCCTCACATATTTATATTGTTGTCGTCTGATCAGGTATATTGGTACATGAGATTCCTCTGAAATTAGATGTTTGCATAGTTTTAGGAGAACTTAATGTTCCCCGAGATATGGAACGTTAGTGGCTGCTCAGAACCACTAATGACTAATTTCCACCACTCTACCCTATGTCTATAGACTAATGAACATGTAAAGGAGGGTGTAATAGGTAATCGATCCTGTGCAATTAATTCTGAGTGTACTATAATTTGGAGGCTTCTGAGCAATTAGAAATTAGATTAGATTAAACGTTATCTTTATCAGGACAGGTATTGCAGCAAGTTTTTTTCTTTTTTCCAGATATCTTTCGATCTACAAAGCGCTTGATCACCGACGAAATACGTATCGATGTTCCATCGTCTACCCTGCATCGTCTACACAAAGATCAGATAGAGATTTTTAGCGCACTTTGCACGTTGCCATTGATCGATCGAGTTCGAGCGACGCAGCAATAACGGAAGAACAGGCTCCTCGAGTACCGTCAAAAGGGGTCACAGGAAACAAAAGCGTGGAAGAAACAATGCCAAACGAAATGGCGGGAGGTAGTAGGTAAGAAAGCGAGCGAATGAAAAGAAACGAGGACGTGCTACGATAACGCGGCCACAATGATTATAGCGATTTAAGTTGTATCAGCGGTCGCTGGTGGCTGCCCAAGGCACCCGACTCGTTTAGATAAGGGAGGTCGAACGAAATCATCGATAAAACGCATAGTTTCGAGAATAAAGCTCGTACAACAATCATGGAAAAAAATGAAAGAAAATTAAACTACAAAATTGGCTAATTGGAGTTTAAATGTTAAGCCGGTAATAAATCGAGGTCTAAACGGTCAATTATAATTTAAAATTGCAAAATGTTATATCTTTAAGGTAACAACATACAGAAAAAAACAATAGCAAGAAAGATTTACAAGTAGAAGTGATCGACGTCAGAGAGGAATTGGTGCTCGAAGTCCAGTTTGAATCGTTTTATCATTCGAATGGCATAAGAATCGTTCGCGAGACTCTATTACACTGTATTACGTTGTCAGGATTACGAAACGACGTCAGGATTCACTGTCACGGTGAATGCCAAAAGGGTTGATCGAATCTAAAAAAAGGAATCGCTTCGTACGACCAAACGTCGTTACGAACGGTTTCGTACTGAACCTGTTATCAGCTGGTTCGTTACCTGACAACGTTCACAGGTGAAACGATGCGTTAGTGAACGTGTAAACATTCACATAGATATTAATTGAACGCGCGCGTGATCGCGAAACTGGCAAAGAGTTCTTGTGTACTCGAGGATCGTGTGCACCTAAACACTTGACACAACTCAGCGTTGACCTTTATTCGACGATTAAGCGAGACGTTTTTCCTACGTGTGTATACACGGAGGAAGAAGTGGTACACGGGTTTTGTTGATCTATGTCAAGCGAATCTCAGTTAATCATGAAATTATCCATATATCCTGTAGGAATTACATTCAAAGATAAAATGTGTATTAAATTATAATATTTTTTATTGTAATGGAAGATAGCGTGCTGCTCTGAAACGTGTACATCCGCGTGCATTGATAGCCTCCCTCGGGCAATTAAAAGGGTGGTAAGGGGAAAAAATGATTGAATGTTGTTCTTTATATTCCAGGGGAGTAGCTGAGCCACCGACGGGAGCCGAACTTTACTGCAGTTCAAGCACAAGTGCATCAAGCTACTACTGAGGGACTTCCTACACTTTCAAAGGGAAGGAGCAGGTGCATCTATGCACGTGAGTGTATTTTATAATGTTTCAACATTTCTATATATCATTATAGATTTATTATTATTAGCCTTGTATATAATGGATGATAATTCCCGTGGAGATGCCATTTCAAAATGATTAATTTCCCTTTACGGTTCTACACTGTAATTATGATGGTTACTTTAGTAGGTAACTAAAGATTCGGAAAATGATCTGTTAAAGAAAAATGAAGGACGATTCATTCAAATTGCACTGAATTACAGATCACATAACGTCTAATTGCAGTAAATTGAGGACGAACAAGAAAATAACTTTCGTTTAACGATACACGTGAGAACTAAAATATTCACTATGATTAATATGTGTATCCTCTGGCAACTAGTTGAACCAGATAAGAAACGTTCAAAATACTACGACATATATCGTAAAGAGGAATATTCGGAATTTTTACTGTAAAAATTTGTTCAATAGTAAAATCGGTATAGTGAAAATTTTCCCTGACAAATCAAAGAATTTAAAGACAGTGATCTGGAATTTAAAATCATGGTGCATCAGCAAATTCCCTTGAAAAGCTTTTAATTTTACGACGGTTTATCGTGTACGTTACACGTCATTTAAACGACAAACAATAAGCGTCATTCTGGAAGTTGTGATCAACCTGATGATCCAGCTATCATTTCCGTTATGAATTACGTTCTGACATCGCGAAAAACATCGTTCAAACGCGTACACCGTGAACACGTATTCAGTTATTGCATTACTGCTCGCTCGCTAATCACCTAAAATAAAAATACTTATTTCGTTACATGGTTTCTAATTAAATAAGCTGGCAGACGATCAAGATAAGCAATTTCTCTTTTCGTTCAATTAAAAAGAAATATGGAGTAATTCTTGAAAATCTGAAATTTGATTTTTTTCACGTTCAATGCCCTAGTTGACTGTGATTTGCAATTTATACCTCAATCTCTGAAATTTTATATTTCTTTTCTCACTCGCGAATGAAATACCTACAATTATAATTGCGCCGTGTGGGGTGAGTCACACCGTTCACGTGTCTATTGTGTATACGTATATTTACCGTAAGGTGAAATATTTGAAAGTATGGGGAGCCTGAAGCAACCCTTTCGTATCTCCACCCTGGCGGGTCACTCATAGAAAGGGGCACGACTTTTGGTACGTCACTACATTAGCAGACACTTCTATGTATTCGCATGAAACTTGAACGATTGGGAATCAATATTAGAAGCGGAATAAAAAAACGTGCACACCTGTCGACCATCGAATCTTTTAAACACAAACGACAACGACCACCAACACCGCTCCGTGCATGCGGAACTTGACCTACGTTGAGAATAAATTATATAGCGATTGCGATCAATCACCGTCGCTCGAAATACACGGCGGTAACTAAGTTGTTTTATCGTGATTTATAACACGATACACTTTATTAAAATGTTCGAATTATACACATTATTCGACGGTTTAAATTTCGGGATACGAACGAGCAGTAGACGGTATCGAAAGAGCGCAGACAACGCCTGCAACGATACTCCGTGCCTCTCACGCCGTGCGCAAGATATCGACTGACCAGGGGTTGGTACGCGACCGCCGATGCACGGTCTATCTACTGCTAGGGGCTCCTACGATAACAATTCACCGTCCATAGGGAATTTTGAATTGATACGAGAGATAGGATAAGAAAGAAAAAGAAAAAAAATAAGAGATGGAGAAATAGCGCGCAATTCGCATTGTGGAAAATAGAGGCGCTGCTAATGACGCGATCGATAAGTTTCGAGAGATATCGACGCTGCGACTTTCTGACGTATCGATAAATTGAATTTGATTTGAATTAAATTAAAATGATTTTGAAGTAAATTATGGAAAGTTCTTTTCTAAAGTTGCGTTTATAAATATTTATATTTCGCAATCTTTCATCTATATTTTGCTACTTTCGCAAGATTTAAGTTATTTTATAATTACGATCTAAATTTAGAATTCCGTTAGAACGAAAACAGACAGATTCAAGGATATTTGCAAATTCAATTCGTCCCGTTATTAGTTCCAGAATAAAAGCAGTGTAAAGCAACATTAACATACGTATCTTGAAAAATTGTTGATCTCATATTTACCTGATTTTATGGAGGTATCCATTTTCTTTATTTCACCATACAAAATAACAGCCAACCAAGACAAAGCTATTAACCAGAATGTAATTAAAACAGCTGCCAACCACAGTGATATAATCTTCATATCAGATTTGTTGCATCCATAAGACTGGGTCTGTTTCATCTTTGATGTATTACCAGGTCTATGTTTTCTGCAATGCAAATCTTTCAGTAATCTTGTGATTTAAAAATTAGATTTCAAATAATAAGGAATTCTTGTGCTTACCTTTTTACTTTTTTCTTTTTCGGTGTAAGTACCAAGTCTGATATGTCAGAATCACTGTCTGACAGTAGATCAAGAAGATTTATAGTTTCTTTATTATTAGTGTTATTCATTTTGTTCGATAATGCATAGCACGGGTCATAAAATGAATAAATTTACGTGAAATCGTTTTGATGGCCAGCTCGATAACATAACCTTGCTAATCAGTTTGTCAGTCATTAAAAGATTGACTTCGTAACAAATTTCTAACGATTCCCCCTAATTGTTTCAACTACATATTATGTAATATCACTTAATAGTCTTAATAATTCTCACATATTATTGCTTTGGTATATAATTCCAGTCAAATGATCTCTCTTTTTACCTTTTTCACGACATAACCTATATTCGCGCATTCTTACGCAGCACCATTCGTCTCGCATGTTCTGACATCTGACGGCTGGATGAATAAAAAATAAAAAAACGTATTATTTATGATATTTCAATTTCATTCTGATATCATTTTTGTTTTATAAACATTTACGTGATATTCCTTTTTTTAAACTTTAAACAAACGAGTTATCCTTTATTCGATTTTACAAAAATTGTTGATTGATAAATTTACGATTTCTGGTATTTTTTAAATGATAATTTATTATTAATTGGTGTCAATAAATTGATTATACGTTTATTTATCAATATTTTAACGATAGATACATCGTAATAAAATTAATGACTTCATATTTTTATATTCAAACTATGATCGATTGTTTCGATTAATATCGAAACAAGAATGCGCGCGATTTCGTATCGAAGTCGATCATTTTTCAAATTCCATCTCGTACATATTTTTAAAGAACGCAAGATTTTTAAACGATTTATATCGGAAAGATCGCGTTTAGGGTTAAAATTAACACCTCTGGGAGGAAAGAACAGTCCTTCTAACGCATTAATTAATGTGCACAGCACGTTACAATGCTTTCCATTGGAGACGGCATCGCATCCGGTAGAAGTTCAGTCAAAAACGATCTACGTGAATCGCATACGATTCGCTGAAAATTTATAAAAATTTATATCGTTAATAACGACTTACTTACGATTAGGTACATCGTTCAGGTGTCATCCATTTCCAGTGTTAAATAAATCTTTTCTCCCCTGGCTTCGTACAGTCTAAAACATTTATCATATAAAATATCGTAGGTAATAAGGATAGTTTGATGTTCCTTGTCGATGGAAATTGTTGATGTCTGAACGTTCGGCTGGCTGGATGTGACACAGCCGAATTTTAAAAAACATCAGCTATGCCGACATCTTGCCTTCGGGGCGCCCAGTTAAAACACTATAAACTTTCATTACAAATCTAAATTAGTCATTAAAAATTCGAATACCTCAGAGGTCATTGACCCGGCTTTATCATTCGAGGGTTGAATTTGAAAAAAGAAGAACGTCCGAAGAAAGCACACTATCTTACAAGGATAATAAACAAAAGAAAGTTCGAAAACATTCAACGCAAACGTTGTGAAAAACGTCCGATACTCACTTGGTCCTTCCAATAATCTTTCTTCATCCATTGGAAATCACAGAAGAAATGAAAATTGATCTATTCGACGATGGAACTGTTTCCCAATCGAACGGGTCCTCGAGGAAGCGGTCTTTCGTAAGTGGACACTGGGAACAGACAGCGAGGAAAGTCTTGGCGTGATTTGAAAGAGACACCTGCACAAGGTTGGAGACTCGCCAAATAACTGATAGCGTGGGCGTCGTGGCGTCGAAGACATCGGTGAACGACGGATGTAGAGAAGAGCATGCCAGCCACTCGAGAGGGGATGAAGCTCCCCCTTCAGGACTTCTTTCCATTGGTTTGCCACCGATTCGTTTCTTCCTTCTCTACGTGTCGTTCGCTTTCTGTTGTTCCCGATCCTCGTATTGCCGGTTTTAACGCGCGTTACCACCTTCCGGTACGGACCAGGCGTTAATGAAGATGCCTCTATCGGTGCAACTAGCACCTGTGCCTCTGCGAAACACTTTTTGCATCCAGTTATAGTTTATAATCTTCACGAGGATGGTAGGATTCGCTAGAAACCTTGATCCATTGATCGTTAGGATCATTATTTTTAACAAATTTATATTAGGGGTAAGTTTAATGGGGTCTGTAAATGTACACTTATATTAATCACACTTAGATTAAAAGGAAAAGTATATTCTTAATCGAAATGAAATAGAATAGGAAGAAGTAACACACTCGATACGAATACAACACGTATTCTTCTCCACGGTCTAGCTAATCAAAATTCTATCTACACGTTTCATGCGAGTTGCACAACAAGCCATTAATAAAATTCATGTTGGAAAACGATAACGCATCACAATGGTGTCACCGGACTAATTGCGATTTCGCGTGATCAGCAGAAAGCATGCCCGAAAAATAAGTCGGAATACATGAAAATTAACTGACACACACACGTGATAAGAAAAGGAAAATAGAAGGAAAAAGGAAAGGCGTTCGTTGCGAGTGGTCTTCGTGTACGAGTCGCAGGATCTCCCCGGGGTCTCCTCCGTGACTTCCGGTTCTGTTGCGTGGCACGCGTGTGCCCGACGCTGACCGGATATGGCGAAGAACCGACTGACCAAAACGTTCGAACAGAGCCGTTCGCCGCTTCGTGGTCGAGCGAGCTTTTCTTTCATGCGAATCACGTGTTCCCCTGTACCAAATACCAAGCTCGGCTCCGATGACATCATACTCGTTGTATCTATACCTGCGTATATACCAGGTAAACGCAATCACATGTAGCCGGATCAACCGGTGTCGTCGTGTTGCTTTATTGTAACGAGAAGAAAAAAAAAAATAAAGAGAACGATAGAAAATCTAATCTAACATTTTTGGATAAGACTCTTCGTATAAGATATTTAAAAATAGGTTCTTAATTATGGTAATTTGTAATATAATTCATTATATCAATGTTACAATTTTTGACAGACTCATTTTCAATGTTTTTTGAAACTTATTTCCTTGATCTTTGTGGTAGTTAGAATGAAAAAAGAAGAGCGATCTGAAATTCATGTCCAACCGTGTATAAATCATATCCCCGGTCAGTCGATTTTTCTAAGAGGACAAAATTAGGCATCCAAATATCCAGAACCGGATGGAAGGTACGCAGTCTCATGCATATACGTACGTTCCTTTTCGTTTCTTCGTGTAAGTACACCGTTCTATGGTCTTATATATGCATCCACCGGTACGTGGTTCGCTTACTGATTAATTATTCTTCCATGGGTTTTTTCTCCTTTCCTCTGTCGATGGTCCGGTCACGTGAATACAACGACGAAGAAAAGAGGAGGAAAACAAACGGTAATTCACGAATCCTGGAAGAGGAGGACTTTCTCCTAGTTCTTCCCTTTTGTCCTTCCCTCCAGATCGTCCTCTTATATCGTTATTTTCTTCAATTACTTCCTAACACCGTTGAATGCCACGATGGTAATTGAAGTTAGAATTAACGGCAAAACGTTTTGTATACCGATTACCGAGGTTTCATAAAAGTCAGTTTGAAAATTACGATTGTTGATGTTTATGAGGAAAATAAGTGTTCTACCCTTGCCGGAGCAGGAGGAACGAAGAAGGAATCTCGCAAGAAGTAGGCCGTGCAAATGAGGTAGTCTGTTGAGCAGCTCTGCAACTAAAAAAGCCAGTCGACTGCTAATTGAAGAACAAACAAGTACAGTTCAACGCGAGATTCGGTTTAAAGAATCTCGTTCGCGATGAAATTTTTCGTATCGCTAAAATAGTTACCACCGATCTACGTCCATCGACGAATCTCGAACAGGAAGAAAATTTGCTAAAATTAATCGAATGTTAATTAACATTCGATAGGCAAATTTTCATTTCCTGAAGTAAAATATGAACCCAGTATATACTGATCATTAAAAAATAGTAATTAACTCCAGTTGAGAAGGCTACGATAACAAGTTTCACCTGGTAAATTCTCAACCACCTGGCTATTTTACAGACTATTCATAATTGACCAGCATTTTAATTTGCAAGCTCTCGATACAATTATCGTTAGATTAATGCCGATACTGCGCGCGGCAATTTCCATTGTGCCAGTCAACGTGTTAATCAGAGGACCGTCCGGTCTAATGACTTTTTTCATCGAAAAAAAAAAAGAAAAGAAAAAATTAGAAATTTTCAAAAAAACCTTCAGCTTTTAATAAAGATCACAGAAAATCCTCACCTGTTATAATTTCTAGTACGCTTCACTTAAATTCCGATTTCGCGTTTTCACTTTCGGATACTTTACTTCGAAATTATTCCAAGACACTTTAATTGCACTCGGTTCGAAAATAAAACATATTTAACCGGGAATTTCCATTAAGATAAATCGCGACACTTAACCGAGAGACCACGAGGAAAGGTAAAATAGTATTGTTTCAGCCGGTCGAAACCGAGCAAACTTTTTATCTGAACAATATCTCTTTTGCTTATCGCGTAACCGTGACTGATAACTCTTTTTTTCTCTCTCTCTCTCTCTCTTCGTCGTGTTTCGGTCGATTTAGCACCTGGCTCAACAGGTATTAATACGGCACGTTTTATGAATCAACACGTCGTTCGATAGAGTCGGAAATCATTGACGAAGAAAAGCGTGTTCGTCTTCTGTCGAACAGCACAACCCGTTTGCAAATCAGTGTCGCGACACGAAAGACGCGGGCTCGCTTCGACCAGGAAATCGTTCTCGTCTTACAGGATGTCAGTACGTCAATATTGACACGTTTCTGACGAAACAGAATGACAGAGGAACGGAGAGAAGGAAAGAGAATCGGGATCTTCGACGATCCTCGCTCGATCCTTCGGAAGAGTAAGGAATTTTTCAAGACTATTAACTTTTGGGAGTGAATCACTATTCTTGTACTTATTTCATATTTAGTACGGTCGAAGTTTTCAAACTCTTCGCCTTTTAATTTTCCACATAAACAAATTTGTTAGTTTTATTTAAATTTAGTAATTAGCCAACGATATTAATGATCCTTCTTTCTCATTATCAAAGTTCTCTTATCGTAGACTTGATAAATTTGATAAGTTCTTAGATAAGTAGAATACTGAATTAATAAACGCTAATTTCATTAAAATACCAAGAGAAGGTAAGAGAAGGAAAGAAAAATTTAATTCTCAACTCTTTTATTGTTCGCTCCCTGTGTTAACCATTGTTTGTTTAACAAGAATCGCTAAATAACAATAGTGAATGTACATAGTAGATTGTAACACAAAAAATCTGTGAGTGACTACTTAAATAACAAATTTAGGGACAATACTTGTTCGCAGTAATTGATTAAATAAGACTTGACTGCATTGAGCGAAGTCAAATCAATTTATCACGAGATCCTTTGAACAATAAATTACAAATCCATAATAATGTGCGTTTAATTAAAACATCTTAATTAAATAGTTGAACTTTGTGCAAAATACTGTTAAGTAAAATACTAATAATTTGTGCAATGAAACATCTTAGTAACGAGACTGTACAATAAGATTGTTTTAAACGAATTCACACCACAGAACTATGTTTGATTAAAATAGTCATTAATGAAGTAAATATTAAAAAGTTAAATTAATAGAAGATTTCAGAAGTTAGAATTTTTTTTTTTCTGTCGAGTTCCAATTAACGGTATAAAATTAAATTTTCTGATTTCTTTGTTCTCATATAACAAGCAGCAAACGCATGAACACGCTACTATCATATAACAATGTAAAAGTAATATTTTCATATTGAAATTTATTACATTATTTCCTATTAATACTTTGAACTTACTTCTGGCTACGTAATTGGCTACCAATGTTGGCATAATTTTCTTACGATTTAATTCGATCGATAATGCGATTTTATCGCATCGATAAACGTTTCCTCGAGTAAATTGTATTCCTCTTTGAAATTGTATTCTAATCGTAGATATGACTTTTAATTCGGTGAACTATAATTATCTGCTCAAACAATAAATTGTAATGACTATTGCATACAATATTATAATATTACAAAACAATCAACTATAATAAAACAAAGATAGTTAACAAATAACAACAACAAAGATTCAGTCTCTCTGAAACAATAAATATATAGAAAAAAAAGAGTCGTCTTTCAAAAATGCAACTATGTATTCAGCATCTGTCTAAGAGATTATTATTGCCTATATATAATAAAACAATTGTGAAAACAACAAAACTCTAAACAAAAAGATGGATATATGTATGCAATAACTGTACAATTCAACAATGGAAAAAAAACATTAAGATTACTACACGGTAAGTTTATGTTAAGTTAAATTAAAAAGGAATATTGATACTAAATAATTAGTATAACTTTCATTGAGTGATAAAGCAGATTATGTCGTTTATGCTTCTAAACTATTCACACAAGACTGTACTTTACTCACTCAAAGAAAATAATTTTTGAAGTCTTTCTAGCCATTATCATAGATAAATCTAAAGCATTTAAAATTTGAATGTAGCTGTAGTTATTCTAAGGCATACGTTTGATATGCTAAATCATATTAGATCCCTACAATAGATAGTTACAATCACTGAAATAGAAATTTATTTATGAGGCAATATTTACTCTCATGTCGTTTACGATCCATGTCTTAAGACTACTTCGAAAAATGGTATCGATAATGTACTAGTAAAAAATGTTATATAAATAGAATGAAAGACATTTCATTCTTTAATATTTTCTTTTAAGTGGTAATCTTAGTGTGTCTTGCTATATTGCAATTGCAAGGAATCTGTGTATATATAATATGGGATTACTCTAATCCTTAAGCTTATAAGTTTGCATTGTTTAGATATTATATGTCTTTTAGACGTATCTATTACTATCCTAGTACAGTGCCATCCTCGTTAGGCTCCCGCTGACTATTTTGTTGCAAATGCATTTGGTACAGGTGGAATTGCTTGATGTAATATTAAAATTGCCAAGAGGTGTACGTTGCTGTCCACGGAGTGACCACCGACCAAGATGGAAATTGTGCCAAAAATCGCTTGAATCTTAATGATGTTTGATGTTCACCATGCAAAAAGTGACCACCCAACGCCACTGATAAACATGGAGTTTTTGGCATACTGTTCACCTATGTGAAAATACATATAAGACAATTATAATAATTAAAATATTTCTAGAAATCTAGTGCTTCGCTTACGTGCAATTCGAGGGAAAACGTAAAAGGAACACAATCAGATGCACAAGAATAATAGATAAAATACGTTTCTCTATCATTCCATTTAGGTCCTTGCAAAGGTTTCCCCTCCAAAACAGACCATTTTTCTAAATGGACACCTTTGTACGGTGATAAAATTATGCTTATATGATCTGGACCTGAGAAAAAAAATACACAATTTTAAATTCCCCATTTAATAACCTGTGTGTACTCGTCAGACCAATTACCTGTAACATTGAATGTGAAACTGACAGTATTTTGTTTCGTTGATTTTGAAACAAGTTCAAGTTTTGTTGGAATATTAATCAATGGTGCAGGACCTGGAATCCAACTTGTTTTCCTGTTAAAAATATTTTTCTGTTAGACGATTTAACCCTTCTTCAAGAGATTTAACACAAGGCTTACCATAAAAATGTTGTAACAGGCATGAAATACGGTAAGCCACAGTATAACTCTTTCTCACAATCCTTTACTGTCGGTGTTACAGCACCTATTTCCGGTACCATAGCTTCCACGCTGTATGGACTATTCATATCTAGATCAGCTATCCAGTACCCAGTTCCAGAATACCGTAGTTTACCATTAATATCGTAATATTGTCTTTGTGAATGCTATAAACATTGGCATATTTATTAATAAATACTTTGCACCATTCGACGTGATAATTGTAAAATCATTACCGCGATCATAAATCGTTGAGGCGCTACAGATGATAAATCACCGCTATAAGGAAAACCAAGCGGAGTCAGAATTAATACACCTATAGTTATTAAGAATATTCCAGCTAGCACGCTTAGAATTCGTTCGGCATTTTTAATCAAAAGTACAATTGGTAACTAAAGGAAAGAAAGATATCCATTTAAAAATAATGAATAACAATAATTATCTTCAATGATTGACTTGAATTACCTTACCGTGAAACTAAGCAGTAAGCAGAATAATATGCATAACATGTTAGCCATGACAACTTCAGAATTTATACTGCTACCAGCTCGTCCCATTATTGGAATGAACAGATAAAGAGCTCCTATTACCAAGTAGAAGGATTGTATATAAGGTAAACACATTGTTGCTAAATAACAGAATAGCCATTTCCAGCCTGAAAAATGAAATTTCATTTATTTTTGTGATACGTTTCAACGAATATTATGAAGCTAGTAATTATACCTCTCCATTTATTAAAGAAATGATATCGAAGTAAGTTTCCAATCGTGGGAAATACGACCCAGTGTAGTGGTATAAAACCAGATCGGATTTCAAACAGAACACAACAGAAGAGAATGAACATCCACATTACAAAATATGCATCACAGTATATTTGATATAAGATCCACGTGGACTTAACTTCCTGTAAAAAAATCAATGAACATAGAATTTCATAAATTCATTAAGTAATATTCGCATAATTTAACCAACCTTCTTTTGACGTGACCCAACGAACGAGAAAAACGTCATTGATACGAAAATAGTTGGGCATATATATAAGAAAAACAACCATGCTGGTCTTGCGTACCAACTCATAACTTTCCCAAGTTTTGTAAGAATGAGTGCAATTAATGTGCAAGATAAAGTCGAGACTAGCCATGAAACGATTATTGCCCCAATACATAATACTAAATGCTTTAGGTATATTGATCTTTTTACATCTGAATTAAGATCCAAACTTTAAGTTACATTGCTTTATACATAAATAGATATATCTTAATCATGCATACGTACCTTTCCGAGCACTTTTAGTGTTTAGATATATTGAATATATACCAGCGATTATGGCAGCAACGTTAATTGTACTTGCCACGTGTTGCGGCCATCTGATAACAAATGCGCCTAAGAAATCAAAGAACACAAGATTCCCTACGTTTTCTTGAAACGACGCTTCGGATAAATAATCTTCTAAAACTACTCCTTGTAATAAAGCAAGAATATTATCTCCAGTTCTTTGCAAAGATCCCAATGGTATTTGTTGGATATTATCAAATTTTGTATGATACACGTAACCATTGGTTGCCCATGCAAAATCAAGACCTACGATTTTATAAAATTACAAATATGTTTTCTGGTAACATAGAAGAATACTAGATAATATAAGTCAATTACCAGAAACGTTTCCAAAATCTCTGAAAATTCGAAAATCAGTGTCCCCAGGTACAATACCACTTTCAAATATTTCTTGAGCTAAGGATGATGCATAGGGATAGGGAACCGACTTAGCGTATACCTACAAAAATAATAAATGATTTATTATATAGACAAAGAAGCACATAATTTAATAATACCTGAAGGATCCAAGAGCTATCAGGTCCAGCCTGAAATAACAATTCACGACCGCCTGCACCACAAGCTTCTAAGTTTACAAACGCACGCACTTCCTTAGCCCAAGGATGTTGTGTTATAAAGCCATGAGAAGCCTGGATAATTAATATAATTAAGATGTTTTGAAAAGTAAAATAAATTTAAGTTTATCAAACAAGTGAATATACCTGTAATAAATTTTCTTCAGCACCATTAAATAAAAATATAATATTATGCTTTAACAACTTTGAACTATGAGCAATTACGCGTAAGGTTTCTAACATCACAGCACAACCAGCTCCATCATCAGATCCACCTATAATAAAAAATATCATATAAATGTCTGTATATTATTCATAATTATTAACTGGTGTTCCTAATGATTCTTACCAGGACTTTCAGGAAATGTATCAAAGTGACAATTTACCAACAAACTGGTTTGAGTGGGTCTATTTGGACCAATTCTGACAATGACATTTTGTACATTTCTATAAACATTTGTCATGCCATCAAGAAATTTTAAGGGAAAAGCTCCACTATGTTTGGTTACATTTACTAAAATTTTATGATTTGCACTGGCATCTTTAATAATATTATTGATACTGTTTGTTAAATATTTAATTGCTAATACTTCATTCTCATAACTTCCAACAATTCGTGGACCAATGGACGTAAGATTTACAACATGATTATGTGCTCTTTCACCTATGAATCTCCCAGGATATAAACCTTCTTTCTTTATTGTTAAAGGTTCAGGTAATTTCTTTTCAAATGCGATTATAACAATGGACAGAAATAGGTAGAATGTAAAAAGGAAAAGCAAATGTTGAGTTTCATTTGGCAGTATTTCCTTCTTCTTTGAAGAAGTTTTATCTTCATATAGTATATCACCGGAAGATCTTTTTGTAACATGCTGACGTAATCTTATTCCGTCTCTCTGAAAGTAACCAATATCAGTATACAATAAAAAAGAAAGAATTATGTAATAATTAAAAAAGAAGCTTACCATTATTTGTATTTAGAGATGAAAGGCACTTTAATACAAGGTTTGGATTAGAGTTAGACTAGAGATGAGGTCACTTTCTTCAAATTCACTCAATATGCTGTGCATATGCAAATACACCTAATGAAAATGAAATTTCTGATATAAACTGGACTTTTTATATAAACGAAATACAAAAATAAGATGTTAAGCTACTAATCTGTTCTTATCATGCCATTAGGCAAAGGTGATAATAATATTCGTAAAAGAAGTTTAGATAACAGTAAGTCAAGGTAATACTGAACTTATATAGAAAATTAATTTATGAATGCAATATTCAAATTAGAGCAATGCCTACCTTCCGTTGTATTTTTTTCTTTAATCGTCGCACTTATTTGTCGGTAATTTTAGACTTTACTTTACATAATTCCACATTAATATAGTGGACCATTATTATCAATTAGGTCAATCTGTGCTAGTAAACATTCAAATAAATTAGAGGTAGGTACATGAATTCATGTGCCACTGCGATTAGATTTCGTATCACATTTTTTGAATAAAAGCTTATGCAGGTGCCCATTTACCCGATACTTGCTAATATATGTATCGGGCTTATGTACTTGAATATAGCTTTACAGAGAAGTTAGCGGAAATAGAATATCTATTGCAATAAGATGCAAGCTAAAAAAAAAAAGTAATCAAAGGTGCAATTGAAACAGGAGCATGTTCCAATTTCATGAATGATCGGTTGTGAGTGCAACTTTTGCTATCGTTAGTGACAACCCGTGTATAAGAAAGATTACAACACGAGAAAGATCAAATCACTTTGAAATCAAATATCACAATTACTGTTGACGGAGATTTGCTTGTCAATAAGATATCGACGATTCATTTCAAGAAACATAAAACCATTAGCAAAGGGGGTAAAGAAGAAATAAAGCGTCTAGGTAATCAAGATTTATTTTTAGGTAAAGGTATCTGTTACGTTTAAACTGATTTTGAACTTTTTACAAAATGCGATAACAAAAAAACAGATATACAACAATCGTTTACTGCCATCTGTAGTGAAGAGTTTTAAAGATACTCGAAAATTTGTTCGTGCAACAATAAAGTTTCTACTGGTAGGGACCAGGTTCCATAACTAGCAGACGACCAAGTCTAGCAGACGGCGCATAGCTGGCGTCGTTCGCGGGCGCTTGTGATTTTCTTTTAAATCGAGGAACGCTGAAAGTCATACGCTTCTCGTGATTAAATATCATTCTATCTCGTGGGACGTGTGAAAATCAATCAAAATGGATCCCGAAGCATTCCTGGACATGGCCAATCAGGTCATTAAATTGAAAATGTTCCCATACTTCGATATCGCGCACAGCGTGCTCTGCGCGTTACACGTCAGAGAAGATTTAGGACCCGGTAAGCTCAAGCCCACCCGACCGATTCTAAATTTAATCTGCCCAGTGCCAGCTTATACCATTTCTAAGATTCTATGTCACTCTCAGTTTTATTCACTTTTTATTCCTTTTACCACACCATTTCCTTCGTTTATTATCTTTTCAGTTGTATTATCAAACTATCTACTATCATCCGCTTGAACGAATTCGAATTAAAAAGTACTTCGCGTGCGCTTTTTCTTTTGTTAAAATATATTAATCATTATTTTTAATTTCATTAGATAAATAATGTAGCAGTTCGAGACTATCGTCTACTTTTTCTATTTTAATATTATGAAATCCATTTTAATTTTACTTCACTTCTATAAACATACGTATAATTATATGTATGTATGAATTACCGAGCGCATTATAGAAATTATGTAAAAATAATAATAGATCTTTTTCTTTTATAATATTGATCGTATTGATAATATTATAAAATGATTTGCAATCATCACAAGATATCATATCTGGCACAATTATAATAATCCTATTTTGTGGCATCCACTGAAACAACCCAGCTAATCTATTTCAGTATACATGCTTGTAGGTACGCCAGAGTTTTTTTAAATTCTGTATTTCAACTTGATAAATTTTTTTATGTTATTTATAAGTATATAAGAGTCTCTTTTTGTAAATAAATGCTTCAGAAAATAGATATTTACAATATAAAAATGCATTGTGGAAGAATGTTTCCAGATCTAGCCATGAGACTTTTTTCACTGACTTTCTTATGCAATGGGCCATGAAGGTTCAATCCTTTAAACAACTGTTTCTATCTGAAAAAACTTGATGTTTCTGTTATGGTACATTACATTTTTTTAATAATAGGAATACTATATAAAATATAATAAATATATGATATATTACATTCCTATATAAAATTGTTCAGAAAGACTAGGAATACATTATTTGACTGTTTATAGCAACCTGGCATTACGTTTGCACGTATGCATGTAACATAGTGTACTTATAAGGATTCTAGGTGACCTACTTGAAACAATACACCCCTTTGATATTTCATGGGGTATTAAATGGATAATTATTTGTTTCTTTATTAATATCTTTTACATGTAATTGTACAATATTTAAACAATAGCACTCTTTTGTAACTTGATGGCTTAAATTTTATTTAATAGGTGCCCAAGCATTCTCTCGGAAACATCCTCTATCATGTTGGCTTTCAACAATGTTGGTAGTATTTGCAAGTGGTATGCTATGCAACGGTCTTTTAGGAGAACCAATTCTTGCACCTTTGAAAAACACACCACAAGTGGCTGTTGCAACTGTTGTTTGGTCAGTACATTTGTTTTTTTCTGTAACAAAGATGATAGCATTTGTAAAATGAATTTTTTAATTATATAGGTATGTGATATTTTATACACCATTTGATATTGGATATAAAGTAGCCAAATTTCTACCAGTAAAAATTGTATGCGCAACTATGAAGGAAATATATAGGTGAGTAAGCATTGTTCCTTTCATCTCTCTTTATTATTTTGTACTTAAATCACATATATAGGTGTAAGAAGGTATACGATGGAGTAACTCATGCAGGAAAGCTTTATCCAAATGCTTATCTTATTATGATCCTAATTGGAACACTCAAAGGTAAGTTGTCTGAACAATGAAAGAAAAAGAAACTAATGAAACTAATTTGCTTATGTATAATTACAGGAAATGGTGCAGGTTTTACAAAATTATTTGAACGTCTTATACGAGGAATATGGACCCCAACTGCTATGGAATTTATGCAACCTAGCTTGTATGTACATTTCTCGTTTTCTAATTCTATATAAATGATTTCGATTCATTAAACAAAATAAGTGAAATTTTAATCGTTTAGCCCTACGAAAGCGTCAATGGTTGCCTCTATTATCTTCGTCCTAGACAAAAAGACTGATCTTATTTCGGCACCACATGCATTGGTTTACTTCGGTATCGTTATCTTCTTCGTGTATTTCAAGGTAATTAACATCTTCATTCATCCTCATATTTCTTATAACTAATATTTAATATTATTTTAGCTCTCTTCCATCTTACTTGGAATTCACGATCCATTTGTACCTTTTGAAAATCTGTTTTGCGCGTTGTTCCTCGGAGGTATTTGGGATTCGTTAGCCAAATTGCTGGGCCGAGGCCAAGCTAAAGACGAGAAAGCAGATGCCAAGAAAAAGGACTAAATGTTTGTAAACTTTATGCGTGTAATGTTAGATAATGTTATACGCAATTTTACTATTACGTAATTTTAACGTACATCATATCTATCGTATAGGACGGATACAATATTCGTAATTGTTATTCTTTCATTTTCTTCTTTTGTTTGCTTTTCAACAGGTAACTACTTAAAACCCAACAAAACCGACTTTAAATATTAGCGATGACGTGCTAAAAAAAAAAAATCAGTGAGCAGAATCGATTTAATCTAGTCAGACGATACTCGCATGTTGAAGTGTGACCATCGACAAATCATTAAATATCAGAAGTGCAATAACTTATTGTTATACCTATATATATATTTTAATAACGACCAGTGATACGTATTGGAGAGTACGACACTTTACTCATTAAGAAGCCAACAGTATTATCTCGGTTAACAACATGCCGATGTAATAGAGTTTGTAACTTATATAAAACACTCTCCACGATCAATCCGACGATTTTATAAGAATAACGTTGTGTTTGTTAAAGATGACACGTAACTAATAATTGGTTATTTTTTATTAAAAGAATTGTATTTAGAAACGAGAAGATACACGAATGATTAAGTGAGTAATTAAAAATATGTCCCTTGTTGATTTATTAATAATCTATATATTTCACGAGTGTTTTAGCGATCGAATTTAAACCGTTGTTGACGTAATATTTTGTAGCATGAAATGCAATTTTTCTTGCAATGTAAATGCATAATTAAGGACAACTTGAAATTGTTAGTTTATTGTACGGTATTTACATGAAACACATCAAAGAGGTATACTCAGGTTAACGAATTTAAAATAATGTTTACGCATATTCAAGTGATAAGACTCTGATAATAAAATATATCAAACATAATCTTCAACGTATGATATTATATAATATGTAAAAATAATCAACGAGGGAAAGTCAAACCTCTTTTATACTATTTTATTACAATTAAATTCCGTCGGTTGGTATTTACCGCATATACATGTATCAAACATTTGCCTTTGACTCAACGATATAAACATAATTTACTATGAGAAATTAAATAATGTGATTTTCATATAATATTCCAATTGAAAGAACGTTATACATTTTCATGTAATAAAACGAAGTTTTCTCTTCCACAACATGATTTACCATTTCTTCAATGGTATTGTGCTACTTGCGTAATTTTACACCCAAGGGAATTTTAGAATGCGGGTTATTGAAACATACACCTATGTTCGTTACATCTGCCCAATCGCTGTTTGCTTTATCTTTACAATTTTTATCACAGGTGAAATTATTATAAATTATTGATCGTTTGCGATAAGCATTATCAATTAAATTCTCGCGCTTTTTACGGAAAGCATGTTCTAGATTGGCTTCATTTGATTTTCTATTTATGCTATATGGTATACAAGTTGATCTACCACAGCTTCCAACACGTTTATCAATAGATTTCTGTGTTACGTCCATGTCCATTTTCGCAGTCAATGTCTCTTTATCTGATCTCACGACGCCTTGATTTTCATTACATTTTATTACACGAACCAGTATGGGATCCCTTTTCTGGGTACCCACAGTTATCTTATTCTGTATAGTTTGCTCGCATTTATCCGGACACACGGTATCTTCTAATTGCGGGCTGCCTTGAACTTCTACATCGCGCCTAACGAACTGCAATAATGACCCGTTTGTATAAACGTCTTTACTCTCCGAAAAGGCGGAGACTTCCTTATCGACAGTCGGTGATTTCTCGTTCCCTAATTCTATATTATTTTCAAAAATCTGTGGCGTGTCTTGTTCAGTAGCAGTGGATTGAAATGCTGGCTTCTCATTTTCATCAATCATCAATGTACTCGCATCAATCTTCTGATGAAATTCTTTTACTTCACCCTCAGCATCTGACCCTAATGCCCTGATTGCATATTCTTTGATTTTGTTCATCATTTCTGTTACGTCAATCGTACATCTCCCTTTCAAGCGACAGGTGTTCTCAGCTAAAATTAATGCTCGTTAAAACATGGAAATTAAATGCTTGTATGAACTTACAATCCGTTTGCAAATCCGACGACGACGATGATTTCGTGCTAGGCGCACCTTGTTTAGAAGATAATATATTATGCAAAAGTTTTTGTAACATGAACACTGTAGTAGGATTCATTATATTGCCTGAACATGTATCTGTTCTGCAGGGGTCCATGTATTCTTGTGCTGTTGTTGGAAACATTTTACATATTAATACAATTTTATTATTAGAGCACTGTTCTAAATGCTTACTTTCTCTTTCTACAGGTTGTCTGAAATCAATATGTCTTACACAGTGATTTATGGATCCATGAGACTTTGCTCGAGTTACAGGTATCTTCCTCCAATCGGAAATGCATGGAGCATCATCTAATCGATATCTTTCTGTGGCTACACAAGCGACGCTACGAACTTGTTGCACAGAAGTGGAGGTTCCAATTTCTGCCCTATCAGAAGATGTACTGCGACACAAATTTGCACTGGACACGCAAACCGTGCTTTGAATCCCCTTCGATGCTTTATCTATCATGTTCACAGATACTTCCTTCGATTCTGTCCTGCGAATACCTCTGGTATAATCTTTAAGTTTTTCTTTCTCTTTCTCATCAGTCTGAAGCGAAACGCAACGTGTAGTTCCATCCGATACACAGACTGTATTTTGTATCCCTACTTCACTGTAATTTACAGTGTTAACTCCTGTTTCGTTTGTTTTAGTTTCAGGAATGTCTTTAGGAGAAAACTGCGTTTCCTTCGATTCTGCTCGAATACATTGGACTTCTCGAGTACCTTGAGAAATAGGTCTTGCATTTTCCGCCAAGTTTCCTCTCGACCTTGATAACATGATTTTCAAACAAGCTTCTACAACATCACCTTGGAATTTATTTGCTGAAAGAAGATCCAGTTTGAAGACTTGTGTTTGGACCGGTATACTCGTAGATATACTATTCTTTGCAAACTCTTTTAACTCTCCTTCACACTGGACCCCTATATCCATTACTTTTTTCGCTTTTTCAACAGGTGATCTGACTGACATTGTTTCAACAATTTTACTGGTTACACTAGGACGAGGTACTTGATTTGATAAGTCTTGAAGGCTCTCAAAATCCCCAGAATTATATGTATTCTTTTTCGCATAATCGGATTCGTACGGTGCATCTATATAAAAGGAATTTCAATGGAGCTCAATATGAACTAATAATCTATTTCATTCTTTTCAGACTAACCATCTCGTGTGACCCGATCGCATCCAATACACAGTGTGTAAGTTTTACCAGAAGGATCCCTACTGTAACTGGAACAAGGAATAAAACTCTTCTGCTCGTCCATAGGCTTCTCTGAATTTCTTCCAATCTGATTATAATTTTCGGTTTCCCAACCACAAGCTGGACATTGTAAAAATGTTGGTTCATAGTTTTTATCACTCTCTCTTGTGGAGGAAGAGGGTGTGGTATCTTTGGGACCAACTACTGGATACTCTGTAGTAAGAATTGTTAAATTATATTCCTCTCATCATATCTATTCATGTATTTCTAATATTATGCTTTACCATATACAGTGGGCTCAAAATCTCTGGTAGGCACGTGGCTTGAAAGCATATTATCCTCCTTCTCTCTTAAAATGCTGTCTTTCTTTCGAAATTGTGGACAAGTAACGTATCTAATTCGTACATTTGCTCGGTTTTCATCATTTTTGTTCGCTATCGAGCCACGACGCTTCCCGCGGGTAGGTTTCTCCATAGATTTGCTTCTTCTGATGATTTCGTCGCAAGTTGTATCGGTGCACGGACGAATTCTTACGGTTTTTATTTCTGTTCTAGCTTTCTCCTTTCTCTGTGAACCCCTTACATCGTCGCTGCTCAGAGATTTGAGAACCGATGAGGTATCGTGGGTTTCTGAGGTCAATAAAATCCGACCAGAGTTCAATTTTTCTTCCTCGTTGATCACCTCCGTCAACATCTCTGCCACTATATTGTACCAGGGAAAGGGAGATGTATACTGCCTTTGTGATTGCATGAATTTGATGGTTCGCGCTTGCTCTTGCTTGTACCTGTACCGACGAAAATCATTATGTACATTTTTTTATATTATACGGACGTATCGAGTGTTCCATTTATCATAGACCACTTTCAATTTGACTGTAAAAATATGTTACTGATAAATGGAGCACCCTATATTTCACCGAACGCTGGATAATCTTTTGTCTCGAATCGAGAACAAGTTACTTTCGTTGGTGATGTTTTTTTTTGTTTTCTTTAATTTTAACAGAAACTCCGATTGTATATTACTTTTCTCTTATGATCCTGATTTGTTGCAAATAGTCATTTACGGTAAAGCCAGGTGCACCAAGAGTATCGATAATTTTTCGTAAAGCTTCATTTTTTTCACGGCAATTATGATATTCCTTGTGATACGGATTCCACAGACATGGGTGCTGCTTGTATACTTTCAAGAAATTAGTCACCAATCGCTCGTTCCATTTTGATGACATTGTTATATGTACGTGCTTTTGATAATATGCTTTTATAGAAATGTTGATTATGATACCTTGTACAATAATAATTTTACGTCTACCTGCATGGTTAAATTAATATAGAGAACAAGAATGAACTTGATTGTGCGATACATCGAACGAAAGCGTTTGTCAAGTATACAAAATAAATAGAAATTTCATGAACTTACCTGTTGTGTTACCGAATCAATGATTTACCAATTGAATCTTTTACAAGTTTTCCCTGCATTTTAATGGATGACGTCTCAAAAACAAAGGAGTTTTGTAAAATATTTGAAAATTTTGATAACTACATTGGCAAACATATAACCTACCCCGGATGCCATAATGTCGTATGCAAAGAGTGTGTGCAACTAACATAAAAATTAAAACGTTAATTAAAGTTTAATTGTAAAATTAAACCCTTTATAGTAAATAATTTCAAATTCGACTATTGCGCCATCTATACGAAAACGGCTGAAACTACTCGACAAGTAGTTTCCGCAGTTTCCTGACAGGTGGCGCTAGTATCGATGCTTTCGGGGTCCCTGGAACCCCAGATGGTATGTCGATATGCAGAGTTAAATGATGCTTCGGGGTCTCTGATACCCCAAGAATAATTTTAAAATCGACCATTGCGCCATCTATACGAAAACGGCTGAAACTACTCGACAAGTAGTTTCCGCGATTTCCCGACAGGTGGCGCTAGCGGCGCTGCAGTCGGGGTCCTTGGAACCCCAATGGCAGGTCGGTATGCAGAGTCAAACGATGCTTCGGGGTCCCTGATACCCCAAGAATATTTTTTAAAATCGACCGTTGCGCCACCTATACGAAAACGGCTGAAACTACTCGACGAGTAGTTTCCGCGATTTCCCGATAGGTGGCGCCAGTGGCGTTGCAGCCGGGGTCCCTGGCACCCCTGGTGGTAGGTCGGTATGCAGAGTCAATTGATGCTTCGGGGTCCCTGGCACCCCAGGTGGTAGGTCGGTATGTAGAGTCAATTGATGCTTCGGGGTCTCTGACACCCCAGGTGGTAGGTCGGTATGTAAAGTCAATTGATGCTACGGGGTCTCTGACACCCCAGGTGGTAGGTCGGTATGTAGAGTCAATTGATGCTTCGGGGTCTCTGGCACCCCAGATGGTAGGTCGGTAAATTGTCGTGTAGTTTCCACCGTTTCTGTATAGATGGCGCTAAGGTCGATTTTTAAAAATAATTTATGGCGGTATTTTTAAAATACAAGTTTGTCAAACATTTATTTTGAGAGTTAATTTATACAGCCTAATGGTCGAATTTGGAATCTTATGAGTGATTTAGGTTTGGAATAAATTATATTTAACGTGTACACACCACTAGATTATTTATTAAATTAATTTTGTAATAATACAACACAGACAAATACCAATTTAATGATGTACTGTGTATTATGGATCTTGTTTAAAATATCTGTGTGCTAAACATTTAAATATTTGACGGGTACGATAGAATTTTTTTTCACTTAAAGTGTTTGCTTGCAATCAAATTCGCAACATTGATCTGTCTTGATCATAATCACTGGCAAACCACAGTTACAAACCATTTCCTTACGAATAATTTTACATTCGCTACAATTTGACGAAGTATAACATTCCGAACAGTTTGCTTTCATATTATCGAGACGTTCTTGTGCAATTAGATCTTGTATACGTTTCTCCAGTTTAATAGCAATTTCTAAAAGTGAACATTATCTATTAGTAATGGTTTTCGTCTTACGATGTAGCATATAATTACCAAAATCTATGTTGCGTAGTTGACACGCTATATTCTTTCCAAACATATCAAACTCTTCGTAACTTTTCTTTTTCCCTTTACTATCCTCTGCAGTGAGTATATCATCTTCCAGATGTATTTGACAACTTGTACCCTTGATTTTGAAATAGGACACATCAGTTTGTGCTGCGTGTTCTGTATTAATACTTCTCCTGCTATTACTCCCAACATCAGTTTTAGTTACTTTCCTAAGCAGAGATTGTTATAATAAACTTCTTTCCACAATAGTATTATAAGAACAAAACAAATTACTTGGCATGTGCGCGAGATTTAGTTAAGTAGGATATATCACAATGACAATTTGCATAGGGACAAATACAGTCTCTTCCTGGTGTATCTAATTCCATCGAAGTCGAACGGGTTAATTGCTTATTTGTTTCTTCACGATAATCGTTAAATACATCTTTTTTATCATGACTTATCTAAATATGATATATATATATATATATATAAATTAATTTAAATTAATAAAATTTACAAAATTACATACACTTGTATATTATTTGTAAAACGATACATGTATATATGTTACAATAAATAAGATATAACTTAATATAATATACAAACTAGTTAATTTACTTGTTCTTTGTATTTAAAAAAATAATATGAAATCTTTGCATAAGCTCTTATATGTACATTCTTATTATGTAAATCCTATACCTTCCAGAAATCATTTATACAATCCTGTGTTATAAATGGAAAAAACAGTTGATGTATTATTGGAAACCAACTTGCTGTTGGTTTATAAAACTTTTCGCAAGATATTGCTGCACCGATTTTAGACAATTCATAACAATATTGAGCTTTTATGTAAGTGATTCTTTTGATACAATCACAGACTGTCAAACCACAGATATTCATGTGATCCACAATATTTTTGTATGCTTTGTAGCGAGAAAGTTTATCTTTAAAATTAGGATGCAAAGGATTCCTTAAACACTCATGTTCGCTATAAAGAGTTACTAATTTCAAAGTTTCGTGTTCAGTCCAAACAATTGGCATGATAGACTGCTCCAATCAATAATCAGGTTATTTAACCCTCCATTTGTAAAGATAACATCACTTACATATTATTAAGATTTTGTATATGTGTCTTGAATTCATATTAAAATCGGTTGCGAAAATTTTTCTATTAAAAGAATGCAGTGGAAGTATTATGTTTGAATTATGCATTATATGTATATGAATTTTTAAATTACTAAAATTTAGAAAAGTACACCAAAAAAAATTGAAACAATACATGAAGTATACAATGAATCTCTTTAACTATTGACTTCTGCCATAATTATTTTTGTAATTAATATGATACAATGAAAATAAAAATTAATAAAACTGATGGTTTAAATTGTGAATAATAAATATACAAAGATCAAAAAATTATTCAGCCATGTTTTTTGTTAAAAACATCAATATAACAAATAAAATTACTTTTAATTACTATTTGAAAAAATAAGATCATTTATTATTATAAATTCGATGTAATATGTCCTCTACTATAGACTAGAACCAGTAGCGAATAAAACAAAATTTGAAGTTCTGAAGCTAGTACTTTAATATAAAATTATTTCCTTTCTTTCTATTGAGCAATACGATTTTGTAAAAAAATACTGTTTGCCTTCGGAAATAATACCATAATTTCTGAATTTATATTCGTATTGAAATTGTAGCTTGAAATCGTTTAAACATGCAACAATAATTGTCACATTTTTAATGGATGTATAATTTACGTTTAAAGTGAAAAATATTAGCATTTCTTGTATCATACGTCATTAACAAAAATATACATTTTGCCTCTAATACAAATAAGTTTGCATGAATAATTATGTTACCTATGTAACATCATATTATATACAATTACATTTGTTGTGTATAACAATTTTACATATCTTTATACTTGTTTGTTGTTAATATTATCCTACTGTGCTTACATCTATATTGTTACTTGTGTTACCAACAGAATTTTATGAAGTAGATTCAATTGGTGAAGACATTGCAGGTAGCTGTTGAGGTACAAAGTTTATAACTTCATGATAAACAAGTTCTAAAAATAATTATTTTTCATTATTTTTATATGAAATTGAATTAATTATAAAAACTATGTAGAGTGGTATTTCAGACCTTTCCAGTTTTCAACTGGTAAATCCATATCTTCAAAACTCTGATCATATGGCAAAGACACTGGTTCATCTGTTGGATCAGCATACTGTGCAAGATATGGATGAGCTAAAGCTTGTTCTGCTGTAATTCGTTTTTCAGCGTCTAATTCTAACATTAATTCGAGTAAATCTATAGCTGAAAAGTAATAGAAAATGCATTAAATTTATGTTCATTATAATAAGTAAAAACTTAAATTTTTTAATTCTACAGTTACCTAAAGGATCAGCCCCTCGAAAAACATCTTTGAAATTCTTTTTCTTTAATGGAGGTAAACTTTGTATATAATTTCGTGCCTAAAACAATATTTTCACTTGTCATTTCAGTGTTTTACATTTTTTTTGAAGTTATATAAATCATGAAAGAGTTGGTAATTTGCTTCATTTCAATATGCCATTATATTACTGCTTATAGCACGTACTTTTATTTGCAGTTAATGCATGTAATATAAAACTCAAAGCAAAATCATGATTAGTATATTGTATTAAAAATAAATAAGAAATGTACAAAATGTAAGAAAAATTTCATAATTCACAGAAGAATTTAATTTGAAAAATACCGAACAATATTATAAAAAATATTTATTTTAAAAATCAAAAAAATTACCTCTTGGCTGGTAATTTTGCTTAAAGTTTCTTCTGTGGGTGTACCACAGAGTACTAAGACTCGTGTTAGATGATCAATGTCTGCTTAAAGTTAAGGTATGTTTAAAGCATAATTCATTATATACAATTAAACAAAATTTGAATCGGTCCAGAACTGCCCTTGTTTGAAGCAATAATGTCATTCCAGAGAAAAATACAAACAGTAAAAGTGGAGTACATAAAAATAACACACGCTAGGTGAGTTTATAAAAACACAATTTCTTCATTAGAATCACGTCTAACAAAAGGCTATTAATTAAGAAAACGTGTAAAAAATGTGTATGTAACATGCAAGGCATTTAAACCGCAAGAATGTAACAAATGTGCAGCATGCGATAATAGAATCTGTTATACATTTTGTTATTAAACAATTATTTGAAAATTACTTACCGATTCGGATGATATTTTTTGCATAAACTCGTCTCGCGGAGTACCCAGTATTTCCATTATTAAGTTCAGTTGATGTATATCTGCTCTTGCTAAGGTTCCACCACACCTTTTTCTACTTTCACTAAGTACTTTAGTTATTACGGCTAATGATATGATTTTATGCATTAAAGCATATTAAAAAACGTACACACATATATATATATATATATATCCTTTTTCTTTAAAAAAAAAAAAAGTAAATTTCTTTCGTTATTGAATTAAAACTAAATGAATGCAATTTGTGCCAAATGATAAATAAAATATAAGGTATTAAGCTATTAGCACTGAAAAATGTTAAAGCAAAAAAGAAGCCATGTAGAGCCTTAGCAAAAAGCGTATTTTTTATGTCTGAGATGGTTAAAGATTCGTGATATTCCGTTCATATAATTATGAACAAATTTATACGTATACAAATATGATATAAATTAAATTGATATGAATTAAATGGAAAGCACAAACATTGATTACGATTATTGAGTACCAGTATTTAACAAGATTAGAAGGCATGATTATAAAAAGGATACGATCTGTACCGGGAAATAACGTTCGTCTTGTTAATAATTCAGCCATTATACATCCAACTGACCAAATATCAACTAAAAATTAGAATTATTTTAGTATGTTACTAGTTAACAATTAGTTGTTGTTAAGAGCTATAATCAAACTACCTGTTTGATTATAGTGCATCCAATTAAGCATAATTTCTGGAGCCCTATACCATCTAGTTGCGACATAACCAGTCATTTCATTCTCTGTAGGCCTGGCTAATCCAAAATCTAAAATTTTTAACTCACAATCCTCATTTACAGCTATGTTAGAGGGTTTCAGGTCCTAAACAGTACAAATCAGTTAAAATATTTGTATTATATTCAATTATTACAATATAATAATTCGTATTACTTTACCCTGTGTATTATGCCTGCTGAATGAATATACTTAAGACCACGAAGAATTTGATACACAAGAAACTGTACATGATCATTGGAAAGCGTTTGTGTCCTTACAATATTATTGAGATCTGCACCCATCAAATGTGTAACTAAATATCTATTAAAAGCATATGATATTACTAGAACATGATAATCAAAATTGTAAACATTTTTATCTGTTAAGCAGCAAATAAAATCATGGGATAGTTTAGTGAAATACATACACGTGTTGGAAATCTTCCAATGATGAGGATGGATGAAATACATCTAGTAGACCAATCACCTATAATAAATTAAGATGACTAGCATTAATAGTACTTTAACAATAATTAACACAGATGCAGAATATAGGTGGTTTTAATTTCAATTGCCAAGACAAAGTACTTCTTCAATGCTTTCATTTTCTACAATGCCAACATTAAAAATATATTATACATATATAATCCATTTTTGTTGACTTACATTTTCATGATTCATATGTTTCAACATACGAAGCTCTCTGTATGTACGTTTTGCATGTACAGCTGACTGGAATGGTCTAGCTAACTTTTTAATTGCTACTTTCTGGTCAGTTTTAGTGTCAACTGCTGAACTGCAAAATATTAAATAACATTCAATAAACGATATGAATCATAAAATGAAATTATAGATTTCGCGACATTCACATTCTTGGAAAAGCATTGTCAAATGTTCTAATTATAGTTTGTTAAACGATATAGAACGCGATGATGCGCTCACAAGGTTTGCCGCAATTCCTGATTTACAATTAATAATTGACCGCAAAATATAATTCGCGGGAAAAATAGTTCAGATTTTTAAACGATAGAATGAAACAATAGAAATGTCAAGGTTGCCAACGGTTCACGGTCACAGCTAAATATCGAATTAATTAGAATCGATAGAACAGGTTTATTGAAACATTGCAGATAAATTATAAGAATCGCGTCAACCTGAAAAATTCTTGACGCTATAATAATCATTATGCAATTCATTGATGGTAATTTTAATTATGATCCTCTTTCCTTACCACACTTGACCGTAAGCTCCTGATCCTACTGGAGTGAGCATTTGATACCGTTCCGGAACCTCCCATTCGGTCCGATTTATTTCAATTTTATGAAACTGCGGCATGCTATGTGCAATTTTCTACTCACGCTAATCAAGAAAATTCACAATAGCATTAACAAAATCACAAAAAATTTGAACTAGCGTTTCAGAGCGTAGTTTACAGGCACTTTGACCATTTCCAAATTAGCCTACTATTAAAAACCACTACATCCATCGTGTGTAGTAGCAGTGACTACAGATGTAGAAGACTGGACATGCCTTTGTTTTCGAGGGGTCATAATTTAAGGGGTCCCAGACAACCCCATTGTTTATCCCTTTGACTATATATCTAGGTATATAGTCAAAGCATTTATCTATTCAGTGAATTGAACGGTTCATGGTATAATTTTTCTGTTCTTCTGTGTCATCCTCGTTACTAGCTACGTTAATAAATGACGTGTTAAAATTATTCGAGACATTTTTCTCGTGTATCATTATGAATATAAATGACAGTGAACCGATCGAATATGAACCTTCGATTAGGAATGTGATCGAGCAACGATCTTTGCGATGGATATTTGTCGGTGGCAAAGGTGGAGTTGGTAAAACAACCTGCAGGTACATATAACCTCTGCATATTGTTTATTACTTGTTACAGATGTTCTAATGAACTTTATTTTTCAGTTGTTCGTTGGCTGTGCAATTGTCGAAAGTCAGGGAAAATGTACTTATCATTTCAACCGATCCAGCGCACAATATTTCCGATGCGTTTGATCAAAAATTTAGTAAAATTCCGACGAAAGTAAAAGGTTTTGATAATCTCTTTGCTATGGAAATAGATCCCAATGTTGGTATCACAGAACTACCCGAGGAGTATTTTGAGAATGAAGCAGGTATCTCTCTTTTTATGAGTTATGAATTTTTATGTGCGATTAAGAACTGATTTACTTAACTACTTCATACAACAGTTCTAGGAGGAGAAGCAATGAGATTAAGTAAAAGTATAATGCAAGAAATTGTGGGGGCATTTCCTGGAATTGATGAAGCAATGAGTTATGCAGAAGTTATGAAGTTAGTAATAAATTATTTAATTCAGACTACATAGATACTTAACATTTTGATTTTATCTTTAGGCTTGTTAAGGGAATGAACTTTTCTGTTGTTGTCTTTGATACTGCTCCAACTGGTCATACTTTAAGACTACTATCATTTCCACAAGTAGTAGAAAAAGGATTGGGAAAACTGATGCGTTTAAAAATGAAAATTAGCCCTTTCATTACACGGGTACATGAAATAATTCAGTATGAAGTACATACTAATTTAAAGTGTACTTTAATTTTAAATCTATTCAATTTCAGATAAGTTCATTATTGGGCATGACAGATTTCAATGTAGATACATTTTGCAATAAAATAGAGGAAATGCTTATTGTTATTCGGCAAGTTAATGAACAATTTAGAAATCCTGATCAGACAACATTTATTTGCGTATGCATAGCAGAGTTCTTGTCACTTTATGAAACGGAAAGGCTTGTACAGGAATTAACAAAATGTGGCATTGATACTCATAATATTATAGTGAATCAATTATTGTTTTTGAAGGAAGGGGATGCACCTTGTAGACTCTGCTTTGCTAGGCATAAAATACAAGATAAATATTTGGAACAGGTAACAGGAGGATCCTTTAGTCTTATTTAAATGTAGAAATAATATAAATTAATTAAATAACTTGTTTTTCTAGATAATGGATCTTTATGAAGATTTTCACATTACCCGACTTCCTTTATTAGAAAGGGAAGTTCGTGGAGTTCAACAAGTCAAAGAATTTTCTGAAAATCTTGTGAAACCGTACAAACCTTAACGTCTATACATATAATTAACGTTTAATAAGAATGTATAACTTTACTTCTAATCAAAAATTTTTCTAACTAAAAAGTCTTATACATTGCAAAATTTATATAAAAGGTAATATTTTTATTTATGATATTTAATAAGAACATTTCCCTCTGCATGTATGAAGATATTTGCTTTGGTGTCTGTACACATTAAACACTACTTGAGCAACATTGTGTAAATTTTATTTTTATATATGCCACTAGTTTTACCAACAATTTCTATTTTCGTGTGTGAACTGTAAAATATTTTTAGCAAATAATTTCAAGTTCTTTTCCGATATGTATAAATGCACTCATGGCGTGTTCTATGTCCTTTTGTGAATGTGCAGCACTAATCTGAACACGTATACGTGCCTTGTCTTTTGGTACTACAGGATAACTGAAACCAATAACATAAATTCCCCTCTCTGAAAAATGTAATAATTCGTAAATTTAGAAAATGTTATTAGTTTTCGTTAGAATTTTAATATTGTAAAGTATTAACCAATCATCTTATCAGCAAATTCAGTGGCTAATCTTGCATCACCTATCATAACAGGACAAATAGGATGATTGTCACCATTAATTGTGAAACCTGCTGCTTTCATACCGTTTCTAAACAAATTGGTGTTATTTTGTAATTGATCCAAGAATTCTGTAGAGTTTGTTATTAAATCCATGACCTGTACATAATATAGGATATGATATGATTGTGTAAAAAAGATAAATAACGTTTTTCTAGCGCACCTTACTTGCTGACGCGACTACAGGAGGAGGCAATGAATTCGAAAATAAATATGGCCTGCTGCGTTGCCTTAACAAATTAATCAGTTCTTTTATACCAGTTGTATAACCACCTGCTGCTCCACCAAGAGCTTTGCCCAATGTTGAATTTATAATGTCGATGCTTCTCAATTGATTAAAATATTCTTCTGTACCCCTATAAATAAATTACTCCTAAAATTATTGTTCCTAGAAATCTTTAAATTACAATATAATTGTTCATATACCAAGGTATCAATAGCAATATAATTGATAAGTATATGAATTAGGAATATAAGAAGCTTTAAAACATAAAAGATTTGTATCAATAAAAGATATTATTAATACATATACCAATACCTTCCAGTTTTTCCGAAGAAACCAGTTGCATGACAGTCATCGACAAAAGTAAGAGCATTATATTTCTTTGCAAGCTGAACAATTTGTGGCAATGGTGCAACAGTGCCATCCATAGAAAAGACACCATCTGTTGCGATGAGACGTAAACGAGAAGACATGCTATCTTGAAGTTTATTTTCTAAATCTACCATGTCCCTGTGCTTGTATCTTCACAAAGTATAATTTAAACAGTTTTTTTTATTTAGATTAACTAACTACCAGATGTATTCAGCAATTTCACTCACCTATATTTTTTTGCCTTACATAATCTAATACCATCAATGATAGATGCATGATTAAGTTCATCGCTTAAAACTGCATCTTCAGGTGTCAACAATGTTTCAAAGAGTCCAGCATTTGCATCAAAACAAGATGCATAGAGAATGGCAGCTTCTCTGCCATGAAATTGAGCAATTTTCTCTTCTAATTCTACGTGAATCTCTTGAGTGCCACATATGAATCTTACAGAACTCAATCCAGCTCCATATTTATCCAGAGCAACTTTTGCTGCTGAAATGACTTCCTTGTTATCCTAGAAATGAAATTAATCAATATAATATAAATTCAGTATTTCTATTATTTCCATACTTACTGCTAAGCCTAAATAATTATTTGCACAAAAATTGAGAGCTTTTATTCCATTTGTTAGTGTAATTCGTGTTCGTTGAGGTGAAGCGATTATTCGTTCATTTTTCCAAGTACCAGCTGCTTTTATTGCATTCAACTCTGGCTTTATACACTCTGCCAAAAGACTCATAGGCTTTTGTAATATCCATTTTTTATTCTGGAGTTTAAAACCTGTTAAAATATTAAATGATTTAGTACAATATTCTTGTTAATAATTGTTCTTAAAAAAATAAATGAAACGGTACTTTTATTAATAGTAAAATTCATATTTTGTAGATGTTACAATATGTAGTATACCTCAACAAATGCTGAATCGTTCTGAAGAAGAGAAAGGAAATAATGAACTAGTCAAACCTGTTTAGAAGTATAATGATCTTCAATCACAGCATGATTTTCTATAACATGATTTGGATATTATCTTTCAAGTAGAAGTCAAATCGAAGGACATTTTCAGTTTTATTTTACAACCTTTTTACATTTTATTTAAATAATTTCTAATAAATATTCATCATAATTTATTATTTAAATAATTTATGTCTTAAGTTGCTTTGCCTTATCTAACAAATGTTCTCACAGTATCGGTATCTAGTAATTAATTTTTCGCGTATTCTAACAAAAGAATCTGCTTTGTAAGCATCTTGTTTCTATTAGGTAATACTACCCGTTTATTATCATCTTATATTATTATTACTGAATTACATTCATTCATACAAGAAACAATGTTTAGAAGTAGATTACAGTGTGAATATTGCATATTATAATATAAATACAGTAGTGACTACTTAGTAGGTATACTAAAAGAAATATTCAGCCTGCATTTTAACAAAATTAGCAACCTATTATTCTATGTATAATTTGAAATTTTTACTTTTATTACTAGATATATGTTAGATGTTCTGAATCTGTGTTTATACTAAAATTTTCCAGTCTTTTTTATCATAAATTGCATTCTGAAATCTCACTATTTGGTCTGTTATAACTTGGTCTTAATTATCACGTACTTTTAAGCAGTAATTTATCAAAAAACGTGAATTGACAATTTATTAATAGTTTTATATAATACTATTTATAATATTATTTGCATTGCTTTTATCGAGAGCAAAGGTAAAAGGCCAAACACTTTACCGAAATTAATAACGATATAACTTTTATAAATATCTACGATACAATATGTCTAAATGAAGAATAATATGAAGAAAATTAATGTACATACAATTCTGTTTGATTTTCAATTTATACTTGTAACATTTGTTATTAAAGGTTTGATGTGAATTTTTTACAATGCAATAAATTTGTTATGTTTTTATATAAATTCACGATGTTTTATTTTTAATTGAGAAGCGAGTCGCTAGAGAATATGCACGAGGGAAATTGTGTACGATTGCATAAACAATTCCCAAGTATATAATAATGGCAATTGTTAGAAAGAGATCAAACACAGCTGGCTTAACACTGAAACGTAATAAATAATATTATCCACAAGGAATTTTACCAATAATGATGATATGAGATTGTAAAATTTACCTGTACACGTTTAGCATAGCTTTTGTAACGTCATAAAATACAAACTCAGGGTCCTGTTTATCAGGACTGTGTAAGGTAACTTTGACATCACCAAGATACCTAGCCATCCCCTCTTTTAATGTACCAACTAATATGTTATTTTTGTCTGCTAATAATGGAGCAGCTCTTGGTTGGGAGGCTAAATAATTAAACCATAACGATAACGACTCCTTAGATACATCCTAAAAAAAGTAAACTGTAATAGATAAAAGTACATATATTTTTTTCTAATTTAAAAAAGAAACGTACTAATGGTTCAGTGAAGATTTGACTAGAACTTAAATTATATATATGCCTTGCCAATGCCTCTGAAACTACTTGCGTATGTTTATACAACTTATCTATCTGTCCTGTTTGTACAACATCTAAGATTGTTGCTCTAATTGGATCTTCGTGACTTTTCAAAGTAGATAACGTTGTTGCTGGTAATCTACGAATGCTGTATCTTTCGTGTTCCCAAGCTAAAGTTTCTTCGGCCAGATTAATTTTTTTATGTACACCTTCAACGGAGGTAGTGTTCAATGATTCGGATACAGCTTTAAGTTCTTTGCAAAAGAGACCACCCGTAGAATTTTCTTTCGGCGGTTTTGAAACGTGAATGTAAAGATTATCGCTGGTAGATACCGTATCGAGACAAATTACATAAGCTGCATCCTATAAAAACAAATATTTAATTATTCATAGAGACAATCTTAAAATCTAATACAGTAATGAATATTTTTTAAATATATATTACTTGTATTATGGAGCCTTCAAGGCCATCCAATTGATCTTCTAACCATTTTTTACTACCTTGGTAATTCAGCTTGCCAGCACCAGTTATAATGAAAATAAGATTGTACTGAGGTCTTGATCTACTAGTAGAATATAAAATAGAGAATAATCTTGCTATTTCCAATAACATGGCTACTCCAGATGCATTACTGTCTGCTCCAAAAGACAACTCCTATTTGTTAATAACAGTATATATATTATTTTTTTTCAAAATCCTTAGCTGTGCAGAAGAAACAATCAATATTTACTTACAGGTGCAACTCCAGCACTATCATAATGGGTTACCAAAGCTATTGTTGGTAATTTCTCTTCAGCTCCTGTGCCAGTTAACTTTCCATGTAAAGTAGCCACTTTCACATCTGTTTTAGCAAGTGCTTGTCCAGTTGGTACAACTACTTGATAACCACTAGCAGATACAGAGTTAAACATGGCTTCAGCTGCTGAGCCAGCTTTCTCATCGGTAATAAATCCATTTGAAAGATCATCCAAAATAGTTTGAAGGTCTGGATGCCATGGAGTAAAATATACTGGAATTGTTGTCTCTGGTCCAAACAGCATGGTTTCTTCCAAGCTCATAATATGCTAAAATACAAAGGTACATTGTAATAAAGTAATTCAAACTAAAGACAAATTCAATCAACCTGTTTCTCCTCTGGTGTCAAATCAGTGATTTTTTGTGGTAAAACTACTATCAAACCTCCAGCCTTCTGTTTGATTGAATTAAACAAAGTTGGTGTAAGATCTAAGGCTTTTGTAACAATACAGTGTCTGGAGGTACTCCATCCTGTAAGAGACCTTGCTTCCAAGGAAATTGGAGCGCTACGGCAACCTTAATAAAAATTATGTAAATTGAATTATAATAACATTTCAATAAAGTGTAAATGTGAAAAGAGAAATTTTTTTTTACCGTGCGGTACACCGTGCAAGTCATACTGATGCATCCGATGTACGGGGAATTCGTGCGATGCGGCAACTGGGTTAACCGGAGAGATAATAATGAAAATCGGTAAGATTATCAATAAATAATACGGCAGATAACCTCGCCATAATTCGGCGAAACTATCGCATTCCTCCAACCACATATTTGGTTCCAATCGTTTTTAGTAAATCAAATTCCAAAGTTCTTAATTATTCTCATTGACCTATTACCATGCGACGAGCTGCCTTCGACCAATTCGTATTCCTGCTCTATAAACTCAGCAATGATTATGATCCAACAAGACTGGATATACCTTCGTTTTTGAGGGGTCGTAAATGTGGGGTCTCGAGAACGAGCATCGCCTCCTTTATCCTATTATAACAGATTACTTCAAAATATCAACGTTACCAGATGAAAGCTTCATTATGAAGCCTCTAGTGGTATCATACTTTGCAATCAATTGCAAAGTTAAATCGCCTATGAAAAATAATCTCATATTTGATAAATCAAAGTAAACGCAAAATTTGTATTTTACAAAGACTGCCCAAAATCAAATTTTTTTAATACGACTGTAGCGCCATCTATATACAAATGTCTCAAACTACTTAACGAGTTACCGATAGATTTTCAAGAGTAACACTAGCGCCATCTATTCGAAAGTTGCGGAAACTAATCGTCGAATAGTTTGAGCCGTCCGTGTATAGATGGCGCCACGATCGCCGTTGGGCGGTCTTTTTAAAATACAAGTTTTGTGTTGATTTTAAATAATTTTTAAAAAGCAAAATCAAAGGGAAACAAAATTCTTTTCTTTTAGTTATATAACCCTAAATGAAATATAAGATAGACTGCTCATCTAACATATTTTTTTTTCTCATAAATTCGGATGAATTTATTTACCGAACTTGGATACAAAACGAAAATCCCTAACTTATTGAAGCTGAACATCGCCCACTCGTTACGGAGCACTATTCAGCCCAGTTGAAGCTACTGAAAGAAAACGTACGAAGCTAAATAATTTTGTGGAATATCGTGACTATTATTTGATAGAATGGCAGCGATTAGTTTGTTAAATCCAAAAGCTGAATTTGCCAGAGCTGCTCAAGCACTGGCCGTCAATATATCAGCCGCGAAAGGAATTCAAGATGTAATGAAGACGAATCTTGGGCCGAAAGGCACCATGAAAATGTATGTACGGCAATTTTCACGTGCTGATATTTAAATACTTAATTTCATTCTTTGAATAAAGTGCAAAATGCAATTTATGGAAATACATAAAACATTTCATATTAAATAAATTAGATAAGAATGAATGAGATCACGTGTAAAATGTTGCTGTTACTTTATTATCCTTATTAGGTATGATTGATGTTTCCAGAAGTACCGGTAATGCAATGCGTGAAGTAAATGAAAAGTTTCATATATCGTATAATACAAAATTGAATTAAATAAATTAAATATAGCACGTAATAAATTTATATTATGTGTAGTTGCTAATAATTTTATTGTTAATTTTTTCAAAGGCTGGTCTCAGGAGCAGGAGATATTAAAATTACAAAAGATGGAAATGTATTGCTTCATGAGATGCAAATACAACATCCAACAGCATCTTTGATTGCTAGAGCATCCACTGCTCAAGATGATATGACTGGGGATGGTACAACCAGTACTGTATTAATTATTGGAGAACTTTTGAAACAAGCAGATATCTATATATCAGAAGGTCTTCATCCTCGAATGGTTACTGAAGGTTTTGATTTAGCCAGAGCTAAAACTTTGGAAATACTTGATTCCTTAAAAATTTCACTTGAACCAGAGAAAGGATTGTTGGATGTTGCCAGAACATCACTGAAAACTAAAATACATCCTAAGATAGCTGAGAAACTAGCTGATATTTGTGTAGAAGCAGTTTTAGCTATAAGACAGGATAATAAAGAAATTGATTTGCATATGGTTGAATTAATGGAAATGCAACATAGAACTGAAGCGGATACTGCTTTGGTTCGTGGTATTGTAACTGATCATGGATCCAGACATCCAGACATGCCTAAGAGAGTAGAGAATGCTTACATACTAACTTGTAATGTTAGCTTGGAATATGAGAAGAGTGAGGTGAGTAAATTACGAGAAAGAGAAAAAAATAGATGGTTTTAATTGAAACAAGAACTTATTAATTATATAGGTAAATAGCGGTTTCTTCTACAAAACTGCGGAAGAACGCGAAAAACTTGTAGCGGCAGAACGCGAATTTATTGATAACAGAGTAATGAAGATAATTGAATTGAAGAAAAAATTATGCGATGGAACGAATAAATCATTGGTTGTTATAAATCAAAAAGGTATTGATCCACAATCTTTGGACATGCTTGCTAAAGAGAATATTTTAGCTTTACGTAGAGCAAAGCGGCGAAATATGGAACGTTTAGTGTTAGCCTGTGGTGGAATGGCTATGAATTCATTTGATGATTTGAAAGAAGAACACTTAGGATGGGCTGGACTTGTATATGAACATGTATTGGTAAATATTCAAGTAATCGAATAATTAACGCGCAAAATGATAAATATATATTATACCGTTTAATTTCAGGGAGAAACAAAATATACTTTCATTGAAGAATGCAAGAAACCAAATTCAGTAACGATTCTATTAAAGGTAACCCTTGTATAAATCATGTTTTAATTAATTTATTATTTTTCAATTTTTAACGAAAGAAAACTTTTTAGGGACCAAACAAATATACCCTGGAACAATTGAAAGATGCCGTGCGAGATGGTTTAAGAGCTATTAAGAATGCGATTGATGATCATGCCCTAATTCCTGGCGCTGGAGCTTTTGAAATAGCTGCCACTCAAGCACTTCATCAGTATAAAGAAAAGGTAAAAGGAAAACAACGGTTGGGTGTACAGGCTTACGCGGAAGCTTTACTTATCATTCCGAAAACTCTCGGTAAGTACGGAGAAAACTCTCTGTGTACTTCTGAAATTGCTCTTCATGTATTGTAATACTTCTCATCTTTTGTGTTTAGCTGTTAACAGTGGATTTGATGCGCAAGATACGATTGTAAAATTATTTGAAGAGGGAAATACATTGGGTGAACCAGTTGGATTGGATATTTCAACAGGTGAAGCGTTAAAACCCGTTGATGCTGGCATCTATGATAATTATAACGTAAAGAAACAAATTATCAATTCTTGGTAAGTAAAGAGATAATTATGTTGTACCTGTATTGAATATGAATATCCTGAAATGTATGTGTTGTTCATTTACAGCACAATCATCGCAAGTAACCTGCTTCTGGTTGACGAAATAATGAGAGCAGGAATGTCGTCTTTGAAGGGTTAAATTATGAATATTTATTTCCTAAAAATGATATTCTAAAGAAAAAATGTTCTTTCGTTTAACTTAAATATTACATTTGTACGATCTCTTGAATTTTCCGCATAATTTTCACATTTTTATAAAGCTTTCACCTAAAATAAAATAACTGCACATAATAACAATTAAAGGGCTGCTTTTAAATTAAAGGAAACAAAAACAATCATTATTTGTTGTTTACCAATTTCCCATTAATGATTGGAAGATAATACATAATTCATGATTGTCAAAAATGCTTTGTATAATTAATCATTTAAATAAAAAATAATCGTTTCTATACCTTTTTTCATGGAATTAGTGTAAAAAGAAGCTTGTACTTTGAAGCATCATATTAGAAATGATAACCACCTTTATTATAAAAATCAAAAATATTTATGTGAAATTTTTACATTATACAATATGTACAATTATTTAAATACTAGAATATTACCTCACAGGACATTCAGTCTTTTTATGCAATTCTTTCATCTACTATGTTCGATGTTAAACGGATCAATTTAACGAGAAGCAAGAGCGTGGCAAAATTTAAATTCTATACACAAATCTATTGCGTATGATATAATACGCAACATTTATAACATATATACCGATACTCGTAACTAAACTTTCTATTTTTATCATCGATGAAAATTGTATTCACGTTTTATATACACCATCCTTGCAAAATTATTATTGATTTAATTTTGCTGAATAATTGATCTTGAATTGACGTAAATATGTATTCCAACCATTAAGAAAAGAGAATTTTAAAAACTGATTGTGATTAAATATAAATACCTACTTGAAAATAGTACATCTAATTCATCTTTTCAAGTCACATACTGAAGGGTATACTCAAGATGCTATATGCTATAATACTGCATTTTGATTTAAAAAATTATCTCTCCAACATAAAAGCATACATAGAAGATTGCCTACCTTAGTTAACAATTTTAATAAAATTCTTCGTGGACTCTCAATATCATTTATATATATGTACAATATCAATATTGTTGCATAGTACAGAATTGTAATCTGTTAATAGTGATGTAAAATTATATGTAAATCAGTGATGCACTGTTAAAATATCAATATGAAAACTTAAAAGTTTTTCACTTCTCAGTCCAATGAAGTAACTGGAATTTTTCAGTTAAGTCAACTATGTAAAAGGACATTGTAATTTTATGACAAATATAAATTATCTTTCTTCTGTATTTTAAAATTTCTAATACACTAGAAGAATATAATAGGCACAAAGTACGATCATTGAACAATCAATTATGATGCCTTTTTTTTTTATACACGTCTTGCGTTACAATACGAAAGAATGAATTTTATAAAAATTCATCAATATTATCTGCTACCTATAACGTTACAGAAAAGCACATAATACCACACGATGCTTTGGTTAAAGGTTAACCATTATATCAGTAGTCGTGTACAATAAATATTTATACATAATAACGTAAAATTAAATATTCTAATGTAAATAATTTCCTTACAAGATTTTCCTTTAAGTTCTCATCAACTATTTCAACCTTTTAAGCTTAGCCATGGTTTTAACATCATGCTTAACGTCTTTCAATATTATTTTTGGACTGATATTGATCAACTGTGCCAAAGTGGTGCAATTCACTTTCATCCGGTGACCACCGACTACCATGTATGTATTTAATTTTGCTAAATTAACAGGTATCCTAGGAAGGCCATAATATGTAAATCCTTTACTGTTCACCGACTGTTTGTCATTCATTTTATTATTTAGAAGATATCTTGAATGTGGATTGGTAGATTTTCGAGCGACTGCTTTTATTTTGTACGGAATATGATTCGGACGAGCAGTATTTTTAGTCGTTGACTTTCTAGCTACAGCTTGACGTTTCCCTGGTTCTACTATACCTTCCTTTTCATCTGTATTTTGTGTATTCGGGCTTGTTTTTTGCCATTTAACTTTAGCCATAATATTTTCCAACTGCGACTCGTAATTCTGAATACTTTCTATCTTTAATTCCATGTCGGGGTGTTCCTCAGCGTTATGCGAAGACACTTGAGGAGAAGAACTGAAAGTCTTATCACAATGTTTACATTTTAAAAGATTAATGTGTTTCGAGACATGGTTCTTCATCACATTGATAAATGTTGTTGTAAACGAACACTCCGGACAAACGTATCCCTTGGGCACCTTGTTTTTATCGTGCCCTTTAAAGTTCAATGGCAAATGCGAATGGAACATACCATGATGCGTTTTTATTTGAACTTCAGAATCACACATCTCGTTACACCATTGACAAATCCAACCTTCTTTCATTCCTGATGCTTCTATTATGCGCACATCATCGTGGGTTTGTTGCAAATATAATTCATACGAAGTTTCAGGTTCCGTTTTAGAACACTGACCTTTGATAACCGCCTTCCCCGATAATGAATGCACTTCTTTGTATCTAAACGGATAATTTGACTTGAATTTCGAAGAATTACCTTCCAATTTTAATTCGCTGTGCATCAGGCTCCAATGATTTTCAACCACGTCCAAAGATCTACCACGGTAATTGCAATAGTAACAACAATAATTTATTTCATCGTCCTTTATATCAGAAATATGTTCCTCCTCTATGTCGTCGTTGTAATCATCGATAGATCTTTTGTCCGACTTGATATTTTCAGGTTCATCAGCGGATGATTCAAAGAGCGATTGATCGTCAAATTTAAACGGTGAAAATGGATGCATCTGTTTCCAATGATCCCACAATTCTGCTTTCAATGACCCAACAAAAGTGCAATAGGAGCATTTCAATTGAGTCTTTGCTGAATGTATTCTCATGTGCGCTTTCAGGCCGGTTAAATTCATAGCAATGAAATTGCATATGGTACATTTCTCCTGCGATTCAATTTGCTCTAGGCTGCTATCGTGATCTGTAATTTCTTCTCCGCTGATCTTTCTTTTCCGTTTCTTTGATCTTTTTGGAAACACAATACCATACTCCTTTTTCCAAAACTCATCTGGCAATTCTGGTCCACCAGCCGCCGGATTCGGAAGCAGTTTCTCGGGACAGTTAGGATGTTTAGAACGCATGTGTTGGATCATTAATGATTCAGAATTCGTGCTACGATCACAATATGGACATATGTATCCAAGTCGTTTTAAATGAGTCAACTGAACGTGCAATTTAAAACCACGCCATCTGGTAAATGTCATTTTACAATGTTTACAAACTAATGGCTTTTCTCGTTCCTGCCTTACTGCACCTATCATCAAACATTATAGTTAATTTTCATTTTCATTTTTTTTTTCATTGTTAAATATTATTACTTACCTTTCGCAACTTCTGTAGGTTTTTCTATTTTCTCTTTGGTCGGTGTCTCTTCTCCCATATCAATAATGAGACCGTCATTATCTTTACTATTATCATCTTGCGCATCTATATTCGTTTCAATATTTTGAATTTTGCTGTCTTTCGCGTTTAGAGATTTACTGACAACATTTGCAGTTTTTAAAGTTTTACTAGGTGATCTGGAATCACTTCCGGAAATATTCATGGTCGCAGATGTATCTGTATTTGCAGTTTGCTTGGTCAAAAATTCTTTTATCATAAGCGTTTGTCTTTTTAACAATGTGCCAACCTGCCAAAAGAAATATTGGTAACAGATACGTTTAAGAAATTGAAAGAAAATTTAAGGTTCATAAATTTACCCAATCTTCAATATCGTCGTCTGGTGATAACGGTTCGTGATTAGGACGCTCTCCATTGTGATGCTTAGAAAAGTGTTTTAACAAAGCATTACGGTTCACAGATAAATATCCACATTCCTTACAATGCCATCTAAAATATTATTACAACGCATGAAGAATAAGAAAATGATTTATACTTAAGGATTAATTAAAATAAATCATAAGAACGTTTACCTTGCATAGTTTAATTCTCTATAAAGATGATCTCTCATATCGTGTTTGTATTTCGATTTAAACTGCGTGCACAAAGTGCAAACGTACATGTTACCATCAGATTTTCCGTAAGGACCGAATCTACCAACATCAGAATCACTCGAGTCATTGTCTTCGATCAGTTTAACTTTTGATTCTTTAATTTTATCAGTAGGGGTTTCGCTCAGATTTTCTGCTTCTATTTTATTATCAACCGAAAGTGATTTCTTAGATTTTTCTTTCATCTGTTTCGTGTCATCCAGCGAACTCGATTTTCCTGGTTTTATTTTAGCCGGTTTAACGGCCGACAAATCTGAGTCGCTCTTTCGTTTCCCCGTTTTTAAAGAGGTAGACTCTGTCGATCCTTCCTCTTCTTCTTCTAAAAGAATTCCACGTATGTGTCTAATCCTGGGCATGTCTCTCCTCCATAGAGGAGTAGTGTCAAATGGTTCTTCTTGTCCGCTTTGTTCAACGTTATCTGCACTTTTTTTATTAACACCTTTTATTCTTTGATACATCAGAATGTAATCAACATTCAATTCGTTTGGGTGTTTACTATTGATATGTTGGTCAAACATGATTTTTCCACTGGTCTTGAAGGAACACAAACTGCATTTATATTGACACTTCTCGTCGTGCGTCACAGTACTGTGATTAACCATTTCTGCTTTATAAACGCATTTGTAGTCGCAAATGTTACATTTCCAGTGATTTCCATCTGGATCAGGGGCATCTTCTTCAACCTCTTCCTGCACCGACTGCTGAGTATTTTCTGTGTTTTCTAACTCTCTGATTACCTTAACGAAAGGTCTTTTCTCGGGATGCTTGTCGGATAGATGTCTTTCAACAACGTGCCTGGTGAATGATTTATTACTATTAGAAAGCATAGAAAATGAACTGGGAAGGAATTGAAGTCCAACAAACATTTGACAAGCATAATTAATATTATCTGTTTATAAATGATTTACAAATACTAGAATATGGTAGAAATATTACAAGTTATTAGTTTTCTGCTTGTCGAATGTTTGAAAAAATATATCAATTCAAGGAATGTTGTTTCAAAGTTAAGTAACGCGAATGATCTATAGATCAATCAGTGCATCCTATCAGTGTGTGTGTACCTATGATAATGATGATGATTGCAGTGGGAACATTTGTAAAGTCTTGTATCGTGCATTTTCAAATGAACACCCATTTTGTCGATTGCTATATTTAATCCTTCTTGACCTGGAGCGGCTTGGGGGCAATGAGGGCATCGAAAATATTGTTCTTCCGAGTGCAATGCCTTTAAATGACATCTTAACATAGCTTCATCGACCGTTAAGTAATTACATTCAGCTACACCGCATACGTATCTATTATGAGCAAATATTTTTTCTTTAAATTTAATTAGAAAAATCAAGCTAAACATTCAATTCTTTGGTACATAACAATGAATCACTCTCACTATTTTTTAAAAATATTTATATCTATAAATTTTAGTTTGAGAAGTAAGCATTTACTTGCCTCTTATGTTCAGGCACAAATTTTGGAATCAATTCATCTTCATTATCCTTGTTAGATTCCTTTGGTTTCCCTCCCATCCGACCATTCTGATGGGAGCTACTCGCCAAATTCACCATTTTATCAAACATTCGCTCTTTCTTGTCTAAGCAAGGCACGGGGTTAACAGGGCCACTCTCTGGTACAGTTTCGTCTTTCGCATGAAGCGTCAAATGTCTAATAATATTCGTACGAACTTTCGTTGTGTAAGGACATACAGCACATTGTACTTCACGATTGTATATAGCTTGCATCGGCAGAGCGTCTATCTCGTCGGGACTAAAAGAAAATTTTTCAGTATCTGTGTTTACCTTCTCACCATCTTTTTCTGCGGATTTTGTACTTTTACGTTTCTTTCCCTTTCGTTCGCCGCTTTGATGCTGTATGGGAATAGATGAAACAATCGTTAAAACAAATAAAAGCAATCGCCATTTCGAAACAAATTAAATGATTAACATGTTCTCTACAATACAATTAAATAACATACACTTACGATTGGTTGTACAATAAACAGACCATCCACGGATGGATTCTTTGGATCAGCTGGAACCAATTTACTATAAGCATATTTGTGTTTCATTTTCATGTGCCCCATCGCTTGGTAACCAACTGTACATCTCATTTTGCACAACGAACAACCAAAGCGTTTCAATCCATGTGATTTTAAGTGTTCCAATAGAAATCCGATTTTAATAAATTTTTTACTGCAATGAGTGCAATTCAAAGTTTTAGTATCACTGCGTAAAGGGCATTCTTTAGAGTGAACTCTTAAAAGAGCCGCAGTAGGTGCACCGTAATTGCATGGTTCATAACCGCATCTGTATAATTTTGTTCCCATGAAACCGGTATCTTTGATATCGTCTAATGTCAATGGTTTGTTCGTTTTAGTAGCAGTACTATAACTAGAAGTTCCATTAGTGTCAGTAGACATGTTCGAATTTTCAACATCGCTGCACAACTGTTCCTTCTTATCAATTTCCTGAAGATCTACCTTTATCTTCTCATCGGGATTATCATTTTTATTTAACCCGGATTTATCATCCTTCGTCGGAGTGATGTTCTCCGTATCATCGATATCTACTATTTCTATATCGCTGTCCTCTGTTTTACTGTCATTCACAGTCACGTTATTTGTAACGTCGCTGGAACGACTGTTAACGTTCTTCAAAAAATCCGGATTATCGAGTAAATTGATGTTCACGAATTCGTCGGTGGAGTCGAACGCCCCCGCAGAAACTTCTAACGGGTCGATGGAACTTCTACCGGAAACGATACCGGTCCTTTTGTTTTTATCCGACAAAATTTTATTTGCCGCTTCGTTATTGGAAACGGACATCACCGATACGTCGACGTCGTTCAGGTTTTCAAATAACTTTGTGGTTGCGTTGTCGCTGCTACTTTCGTTCAAAGATGTTTTCCCACGTTGAGGTAATTCGGTGATGGAACTATACGAATTATTGCCAATTCCAAATAAATTATGTATTGATATATTTAGTACATCGTTCTCGTCTTTGTTCACCATATTTACATCTTTAGGCAAATTCAAAGAAGCTATTTTGTGAGACGGAGATGTGCTAATGACGTCAATTATAAGAGAGTCTTTATTGATATCTTTCCCTTCGTTTTCTACATCAATGATTTCCTCGGTAAATTTAATATTATCATCGAACGTTCTTACAACTAGCTGATCTATCACGTCCTTGTGTCGTACCGGCTAAAATATAAAATCACATATGTTATTCATCCTGTATTTTCTGTAACCTGTGTAATTTGAAAATATTTTATACCTGAGGAGGAAGAGATCTTTCAAGGATATGCGGTAGTCGATTACAATGAAATACACTTAAATGAGTATGCATTTCATTGATAGTGTCCGAACCGTTTAAGCAATAGAGACACTGATACTTGTAAAATCCATGCATTTTATAATGCATCATTAGCTGTTCAATTTTTAGACACGTAACACGACATACGTGGCACTTGAACACAGACAGAATTGATGAATGCTTGTTTTTTAAATGCGCCATAAAAGATTCAGGAACATAGAAGAATTTACTACAATCTGTAAAAAGCATTTCCAAAAAATTGAACCACTTATTCTAACATAATAATAATAATAAATAATCTGAATAAAAATCATACCATGCTGGCACACATAAGGATGTATAAAGTCATGTCTATTAACTTCTTCTTTCAGTGGCAACTCCTTTAATAATTTGCCAAGTAAAATACCATGGTTACCAGGATGAGCAGTCGCCTATAAAGAAATATTACATACATGAATCGACGAACAACAAATGTGTATCGGGAAATTTTAATTTCTATACCTGATGTACTTGTACATAAGAAGGAACAATAGCTCTATAGAAACAGACACTACATTGATAACGACAGTGAGCATGCTTTTCTTCCATATGCAGTTTCATCTGATTCCAATTCTCCAGTACCATGTAACAATAAGCACATTTCTGGTAATCAGGTTGAACCCCCTTTTTCTTTTCAGCCTCGTTACTGTGCTGAATATAATGTTGCTGATATTGCAATAATACGTCAGTTGTAAAGCGACAATCACGTTCCATGCATTTGAACAAATGTGTTAATTTAGTTCTTTTCAACATGGCGCTGTAAGCATCTCTAGATTTCAATTTAACTACAGTAGCGGTTGCAACGTTCGATTCGTTTGATTTTAGTATAGTAGTAGGTGTTCGAACGACTTTAACGATTTTGTAATTCAAATTCGACGGCTGTGGCGATCCTCCGACAGTCACGGTGCGCGTGGTTGCTGGGGAGATCAATGTAGTCTTATTTCCAGAAAGGGGAAACGGTAATTTGTTGTTCATTGGAATGATCTTCTTTGTTTTTGGAGCAATAGGAATGTAATTGGTGGTAGTACGCTGAGCAGTGGTGACGGTAGATGTAACAGAAGGCAGACTTTTCACTGGAATCAACTTCACAGTTTCTGTTGTAGAAGATTGCACCGATATAGGTTGTGCAATGGTCACAGCATTCAGCCTCTTTAGAATAAAAGGTGAATTAGATTTCTTCAATACAGATACACCTTGACCTTTTAAAGGAGAAATTTCAACTGCTTTTCTTATATCATGTATCTGCAATAAAATAAAATGAAAATCTAATTATTACAGAAAAACATATTCAATGAATAACAAATTTCACGTAACATACAATTGGATTTTCAGCACCATCGTTATCAGTTCGCGGTGCTAGACTAACTACGTTTTCAATCTTCAAAAATGAACATTCTTCTTCCTCTTTGTCTAATTTTTCTGTAATTTCTGCACTCGGCGAGGTATTAGATTGACTTCCACCTATTATATAAAATAATTGTATAATTAATTAACCCTTACTGTTGTTACTTAAAAAAAAAAGAATTATAATTTTTATACGTACTGTTCACTGAAGACACGTCTTCTTGGCTACCTGCAGATACCGTGGGTATTGACAACATATCCCCACTCAAACGCCTCAATCTAATAAAGTTTTTAGGTGGATTGCTATCACTGCTTGTTTCTTGTGAAACTTCACGGAATTTATTCTCTAATTTGCCAACAAATTTCTTGATACCAGCAACAGGCACCGCGTCTGATGTTTTAGGAATAGAAGCAAATGCTCTCTTAGATTCGTCAGATTTTGACTTCTCTTTGGAACCTTCCAATGGTTTTGTACCCTGTAGCTGAGCAGCGAGCCTCTGAATAGTCGTTAACATTGGATCCTTGGAGGACGCACCGATGCTGGAAGTTTCTTTTAGAATCATGTTCACGTCTGCGGGTGGTTCGTTATCCGACTGATCGCTGCTGGAGTCGGATTCATAAATAGGAGCTGACCTCCTCGTATTCTCATTGTCGCTGGTTTCAGCATCGCTTTCATCATTCTTCTTCTGATCTAACATTGTCAAAGGATCTCCAACATTGGAATTTAACTTATCTGCCTCGGATGCGGGCTGAGAATCCTGTTCTGTACTCGACGAATTGGTTTTCGAAGCAGAATCTTCAGCCCGCGGCGCGGCGCCGCAGGTTTCTTCAGACAATGATAAATTTATTTCTGAATTTTCTGCAACAGCAGAATTAGAGTTGAGAAGCAATTCAAGGGCGCTTTTCTCTGATAGTGTTAGATTTGGAGAATTGATAGAAGTAGTAGGAGTATTACTAGGAGATTCTACACTTTCATTATTATCAGCCTCGTTGCTCACTGCCATTAAATTGTTTATTTTATCTTTCAATTTGTCTATGATGGAGAAACCTTTTTTAGACGCATCCTTCTGCAACTTGATACCTATATTCTGAATGATCTCCTGCATCTTCCTCTTCCGTTCCAACTGAATCTCCACTTCCTTCTTCTCTAACTCTGGTGGACAAACGAACACGCTTAGATTTCCTGTTGGTAGACTCGAGTCTCCATCTTCCTGGGACGTTTTCTTCTTCTTTTCATTTTCATCATCAGCTGGAGCTTCAGAATTGTCCTTTTCTTTCTGCGATTCCATTTCTACCTTCTCATCCTTTTTATCCTCAGGTTCAGCAGCTTTGTTATCCTTTATTATTTCTATCTCGCTCATATCGTCATCGTTCTGATCAACAGAAGTCACTGAATCATTGGTAGATCCTTTTACATTATCTGAACTTAGTTGAGATCCTTCCTGTTTTACTTTCTCAGCTGGTACAGCAATCTGATTAACAGGATCTTCTTTAACAGAATCCAAAGACATGTTAATCATTACAATATTTACATCTGAATCATCTTTGTGCCATGATTTCACGTGTTCCTCTATATGAAACCGTTTCAATTGAAGGTAATTACATTTGGAACATAAATAACCATAAACCCCATTCTTCTCAGGTATCTCATCTTCGGTTATCGCTTCGGCAAAAGTGTCTTTGAATCTTCTACATACTTTGTAGTAATGAGTTCTCATAGATGATTTCGCTACCGCTTGATAAGGACAAGAGTTGCAACGAAACCTGTATTCCCCAGTATGAGTGGTGCAGTGCTCGTAGAACGCTTCCATGGCGACCTTTGTAGCTCCTTCGGTGAAGAAAGAACAAATCCTACAATGAAATTTGCAATTTTCCTCGGTTATAGGTTTCGACGATTCATTCTCCACGTCGTTATCCTTAGCTTCTCGAATAACCGACATGGCATCTTCTATTTTCAATCTGGAGATCAAAATCTCCTTTCCAGGATGACTCAATTTGTAATGATGAACGATATTCTTACCAGTGAAGAAACACAGCAAACATTTGTATCGTTCCTGCCCTGACCATGCATAGTAGATCAATTTATTTATATTAAAATCTAAAAGCGACCTCTCCAGTTCCTTGTTCTTGTCTTTTTCATCCCTCTGTACCGGTGGTTCCTCTTCAGCAGCTTTATCTTTCAACTCTTTCTTCTCTGTATCGTTATCCAATACTGCAGACTGATCTACTTTTTGATCTTTTAAAGCTCCATCAGAAGTTTGAGCAGTGTTAACATCTTGGATGTTATCCTTCTCAAACTTCTCAGAAACATTTTGATTATCATTCAACGAATTACTGTCTTTTTTATTTTCTAATGTCGAAGAAGAATCTTTTATTGAAGCTCCTAACTCGGTACCGGTATTGTGATTGTCAAAATCAATTTTAGGAGCAGGTGCAGTGGTCTTCTTTCTCTTTTTCTTAGACAATATTCCCATCTGCCAGTTGCATTTCTTCTTCTTCTTTTTAGTAGACTTCTTTGTACTTGATTCAGGTGGCAAGTCGTCGATGTCCGCATCGCTTCCTTTGTCTACCTTATCCGTATCATTCTTGGAAGATACTAATCCCACTAGAATGTTACTCAACAACTCCTCATTGGCACTAGGTTCGACTCTCAACGAGTCAGCGTTTGATTTCTTCGCAGAAGCATTACTGCTAGACATAGAAATATCAGAAATAATACTCTCCTCGTCGCTGAACTGATCATCGACTTTGCTTTCAGTTAATTCCCCTCCTTTCCTTTTCGTAGCTTTTTTACAAGCCGGACCAGGTTTCCTCTTATCAGATGACTCTGCTGTTTCAGTATCGGCCTGTTTATCAGGATGAAGAGAGATATCGACAGCCGCGGCCAGTTCTGAAACATCTATGCCAAAACTCTCATCGGACGAACTGTCGAAGAGGACTTTAGAACAGTCCAGCTTAGAAATATCTGTCTTTTCAACGAGTACGCGCGGTTCTTTAATCGTATCCTTATTAACGATGCGTTTGCTTCTTCGCAACGCATCACTATCGTCGTTCCGCGATTCCTGGGTGGATAAAGCAGGCACGCTTTGAATGAGCTCGGTTCTCAGAGCCAACGGCTGATCCTCCTCGCTGTCCGAGCTGTGATACTGCTTCGAACGTTGTCGAGTGACCCTCTTCGTTTCTTTCTTAGACTTACCCTTCGATTTATTGAATTCATCCGAAGCACGGGATTTGGTAGACTTCTTCTGCTTGGACGAAATACCCAAAACATCGTCTGTGTCAGAGTCTACCTCCCGTTTACCTGGTTCCTCTTTCCTCGCAGTCGGTGTACTCTGATTGGAACTGGATGACACAAAAGTGTTGGTTTGGTTCTCCTTTTGCGTTCTACAGAGTCGATGACCAGTCGCAGCCACGACACCATCGCAGATGAACATCTCTCTTATGTCCTCTTGTAGCATCTCCAAAGAGTTTCTTCTCTTCGCTTTCGCTTTGGGCGCTTTAGAGGAGTTTTCCTTGTCATTCCCCTCGTTAATCACTGAATCCTTACAATCTGCTGCAACATTCTCTTCTGACTTCTCCGCACTCTCCTCGATATCCTCTTTGCTTTCATCTTTTTCTTGGGGGACATCTTCAGTCTCTGCAGATACATCCTGTTCCGGGGACTTATTTTTAAGTGATTCGGTAAGGCGAAGAGTCGCCTCTTCTACGATGTCTTTGCTTGCTTCTTTTTCTTTCTCCTCCTTAACAGACGAATCCTCGAACGATTCTTTAGTCTTCGTCGTTAAGATACCCAACCTTTCGGCAAGGGACTCCTCGTCCGAGCTGTCGGAAACAATCACCCGTCGTTTTTTCCTCATCTGTACCTTCTTCGTACCGGAAGTATCATCCTTATCAGAACTACTGCTTTCTGATTCGGATTCTATTATCTTCTTGATCTTCTTCAGCTTCTTTGCTTGCAGCACCTCCCCGAGTTTCTGCATGAACTTCGCCTGCTCGACGAACTTCTTCCCCTCGCCGAATTCGAAGGACTTTCTAATCAAAGCCTCGATCCACTCTTGCGTCACTTCATCCTTCGATTTCGGCCCTTCCGGTTCCATTTCGTCCTTCTTCGTTTTGTCTGCACTTTCTGCAGCCTTCGAGCAAGTGGTAGTAATTGAATCCGACTCTGCAATATTTGAATCCGTTTTATCTTCTGACGCGGAAGGAAGAGGATCTTCTTTCGGATCCTCTTTCTTCTCGCTAGCGTCAGCGCTGTCGTTCCAATTCTCCAATTGCATATTTCCGTCGCTGCTACTGCTCACTTCCGCCATAGCTTCGTCCTTGTCCCTCTTAGAAGATTTACCTTCTTGTTTATCCACGCCATCGTTCACCTTCGTCTCCTCGGACGCGTGGCTCGAGGTCGGCGATTCCAACGACTCGTTTCGTTTGATTTTTGGGATTTTGAAATTTTGCAAACAATAACCCTGCGCAGACTTGCCTTTCGTGTCGATCACTCCGTACAGGGTCTCCAAAGGCGATTGCATTTTTTCCTTAGCCGATTTTTCTGGCGACTGCTGTTTACCAGAATTCTCGCTCTCCGTCCGTCTGTGGCCGTCCGTTGGCTTTGGAGGTGATTTTAGTTTCTCCTTCGACTTCCTGAACGACGAAGCGAACGGCGGTCCCGTGGAACGTTTCCGTGGGTTCCTTTCGTTGAAATTACTATCCTTCCCCTTGGCGGGAGGGAAATGTTTGTCCTTGGCCAAGCGAGGGTCCCTTACCGAGGTACCGTTATCTCTCGGCTGGCCGGGGCTCTGGTTTACTACACTATGCTCCCGAACCCTTGGGTCGCGGTCGGATATACTTCTGGCGTCCCTACCAAATCGGTTACTATTGTCCCACTCGTGATTATCCCTAGGCCAGTCGGGCCTACGCGAGTCCCGATTGAAACTGTTCCTCGATTCCCCTCTGTTTCTCTCGTTATAGTAAGAACTGCGCCCCCTACCCCCGCCGCGATCTCTGTCCCTGTTCCAGGGACAAGGTGTGCTAGGCCTTGGATACGGCCCTGTAGGGCCGTCCGTGGGCCCGATCACGGTACAAGGAACTTCGGTTTCGGGCCTATAGGGCACTTCGCTCGGACGATTAACCGGGGAGTCCCAAGACTGTCTCTGATGGGGATACTCCATGCCTCTATCGAATGGCGGTTCGTAAGGCCTGTTCTCACCCTGGAAATTCCTGTACGGTGGCCCAACAGGGAATCTCGTGGGTGATATCAAAGGCTGTATGATTGGCACATTAGGTACATCGACATTGGGGGGTATATCGTCGGGTCGTGGAATATGGTTTATATCCTGAGGACGCTGATTCGGACTCATCAGTGGCCTGATTCCAGGGTTTATGTTCGGTGGGAACTGATTAGGCCTGAGTTGACCCTCGTTCAACTGATGAGGGTCCATATGAATCGGGTCTCTACCCGCGTTCCACATCTCCTGGTGCATCCCGATTGGATGCTGAAAAGACTGCGCAGGAGAATTCGGCATGCTACTGAAATTCGGCGGCTGGGGCCACTGGTTGTTGCAAAACTCATTTGTTCCCACGGGGGGGTGCATAGAAGGCCAGTGACCCGGGTTAGGTACTTGCCTGTTGAAGTACTCTGAGCCCTCCATTCTGAACTCAGTGTCTATTCTAGGCGGAACGATCTCAGGTCCAACGCTTCCCTGTCGCCTTTGATACATCATAGTATTTCTTTCCTCCAACTTGGCCTGATTGGCATGATGCAACGGATTAGGTATGTCATCGTCATTCAATCGGTGAGGGGTCACGACAGGTTTGTCCTTATCGTGAGCGTGATTACGAGGATGCCGTTCGTAATTGTCCGCGAAACGAGGTTCAACTTTTGATCCAGGCGATGACGGTCGGCTTCTATTGTCGATCGAGTTATGCCCTAAGCTAACTGGCGATGGTCCCTTGCTTTCATTAGACTTTTGACCGTCGACTTTTGCCGGGGCACCGGTAAGTAGACATTTCCTACTCGTCAACTTGACTATGTGCTTATCAATTTCCTCCCAACGCCTCTCGCTTTCGCTATCGACATCCTCTTGTGCTAATAGTGAAGGTTTAGACTGTTTCGCGTCCTTACCATTTCCTATCGCACTTAATTCCTGCTTATCCTTCTTCGGTTTAGTCGTATCTGCCTTGTTATCCGTCTTGCTATCATCTTCTTCGTTCAACAGTTCCGCCAAGTCTTCCATGGACAAGGGAGGCTCCGTGGAGACCGGAGGTGGGGAGAGCAACAACGGCACAGAAGGTTTGGTACTAGCAGCCCTCGTAACCATCTCCTTCAACCTAGGAGATGTGTTCTTACCATGCTTAGAATACAAATTTTCCGAGTCTGGGGATTTCAGTCTAGTATCCGATATGTTCATCGGCGATTCTGGCCTGGAGTCCGACGAAACGTCTAAATTCCCTCCTGATAACCGATTCTTCTCCAACACCGACGACAACCTTCTGGAACCGCCCAGGGAAGGTACCGGTATCGTTGGTATATGTCGAGAAGGGTGCATCGATATCGGTATGTGAGGTCTACCCTCCATCTGGGACGCGTTACTTCCAACCAGTTTCATCGACGAGGTTACATCGTGGCCGGGAGTAACTACAATTTGCCGATTCTTAGCCCTCTCGCACCCTTCGAGCATTTCCCATTCGACGAACGAAACATCGTCGCTTTTGTTCGAACTACGCTGAGAACTTGGCGAGAGACTGAGATCGTTCGTGGTCCGTTCGGTCGGTATGATAATCGGTGCTTTGGTTGGCAACGTTTCGATCGGATCAGGGGATGCAGGCTTGTCCAAATCCACCTTACGCTCGGTGGGTATTATTATCGGCTCTACTTGAGAAACCGAATCGGGACTAACCGGGGGACTTGGACTAGCCGGTGTCTCCTTGTCTTCCACCATCTCCTCTGCGGGCTGAGGCTTTGCTGCTTCTTCGGTTACACTGAAAGGCATTGAGTCGACATTTTACACGGGACAATATTTTACCTGGGATTAAAGCGCTTATTTCATAGGAATTTTCATGTACTGGAGTGGAGTGTTAATGGATACAATTATTTTTTTCGGATGCATATAGAGTTAACAATTATTTGTAATTTTTTTTGTTTCTTTTTTTTTTAATAGAAGAAATTCCGATCCACATAATGCGATACTTACGATGAGGACTGCGCTGAATTCGCTTCATTTTTCTTGTTCGTAAAATGTAATCCAGGTGTATTTCCCTGAAACTCGTGTCAGATTAGAATAATTAAAATTAAACAAATAATACATGCACTACGAAAGCCTGAAAATATACAAAAATATATGAAACAAAGAATAAGAAGAAGTCGGAAGCGACTACAGAGAAAGTAACAAATTATAAGATTAAAAAGTTCTTGTTTATCTAGCGTGCTATATACATTCGCTAACAATGAACATTCACCTGTTTAAATTTGTGTGTATTATACAATTGCTTTATATTATTGTTTATAAATAAAAAGTATACAGAGTCTTTTTATAAGAAGAATTTAAACGACACCATGAAAATGCAACCAAGGATACAAGTTGTCTACAAATAAAGTAAAATATAAAAGGTATAATGCATTTTTGCTCTATGAAGCATGGTGATGCGATCTTCTGTGTCTCTTGAAACGATATAAAAAAGTTATTACTAAACGGAAACAAGTTTGTAATCCTCGTTTATATGTTTCACTTGCAAACACAGTGCAAACACTAGTATCATACATAAAGCCGCACGTTAACTTCTAGTTCACTGAATTTATAATTAAGGTAAACAAATAAAGTTGAATATGAATTCAATGAACTATCGGTATAACGTGGCTGATCGTTAATCATTATAACTACCTTTTCTACTTTGTTGTGCAACTTCTGGAGAACATCTTCGCATCGCTGTAGCGTCTCGATCTTCAGCCTATTTCATCGATAATATATATCATGAGTAAAACATTTTCGAAAAATTGAAATTCAATAGATGGGATATTAGGAAATTAAAGATTGGAGTTTGGAAAATTGAAAACTTGAAAATTAAAAACTTCAGAATTTAGGAATTTGAAAATCGTACACTTCGATAAATTTTCGCTAGTGTCAGCCAATTCCTTTTACCGTGAACACGGAAAATTATTTTAAACTGCTATCGTCAAGTGGCGCGAATAAAAAAAAATAAAAAAAAAAAAATGAAAAATTATTTTCGAAACGTACTTCCTCTTACTGTTCGACAGAATTCCGTGAAGGCCTTGCATTTTTTGTAGTTGCGTTTCTCGCGATTTGTCCTTAACGTTTTTTAATCGTTCTATCATCGCTTCCAAAAACGGAATGTACTTTTGCATCTCAGCGAATTTCTTGTCGTACTCGTCCATCTTGCTCGTTGTATATCATAAACCTGAACCAGCAGAAGAAAATCTTTATATTTCTTTACATTTCCTTTTCTTTTATCATTTATTCACCGTCATTTTTCACACCCGATGTTTAATTTCAACTTTAATTATAATTAATATTACAGCCAAATCTTAAATGAAACTTAAAGTACAAAAATATATATGAGACCATGGAAATGTTAAAAACAAAGTAATTCAATTTCAGATAAAAATATGTTTACATTTCTAGCTAATCTTTATTGTACTGTGTATTTAAGGTAGATAAGATACTTATTTAATATGAAACCAATGGACAGAAGTTACGCGACGATGCGAATACTATAATTAGCCACTGATCCTAATTCTAGCTATACCACTGATTGATTCTATCTGCATATAACATGCTTATTTAGATAATTAAAATTACTAATTGAAAGTTTCAATTCTAATTTTTTCTTTCAATCGTCCATCTTCATTTGTCTTCGCGATATAAATTTCATATCTTGTAAGTTTCAAAATCACTCACTAAACGTAACAGCCATGTTTCTTCTGTTTATTTTAACATTTCCATTTGTAATTTACCGATTACTTTCGTCTAAACTCATTAACATTCGCGTACTTCGGTTCACACGAATAATCAATAACGGGAATAATAAACAGCGCAGTTATACGCGTGTATATGTAAAACAAATATGGCAATTCGTATATACCCAGCCACTTTATTCTTACACATCAAATACAGCCTCGGGGGGTAACGAAATCGACCAATTGTGTAATTCGGTAACTCACGGAAACATAAACTTTCTAAAATATAATAACGTTTAAATATAATATACCTTCGTAACACACGTGAAAATAGAGGAAGAGAATTAACTTGTATCACACTGATGCTTCATAGGCTTCGAAGTTGTTGGACTCCTCTTCGGGTATTCCCTTCACAACTTCATTACGAAATACACAGTCACTTTCTGAACAGAAAATCCTGAAGACTAATGTACAAAAAATATAAAATTTTTTTGTATTTATCTCTCAAAACATAATTAACGATGTCGTTAATTCGAACAAAAGTTTACGATATTTTACACTTGTATAAACTGCAACGCGCATGCGCAGTTAGCGTCATTCGATGAACTTACACGACCGAGTTATATTGCCTAACCGAAAGGATACCGATTTTAAACTCAATGTTGTAACAGTGTCCTTTTAACGACACGATTTTCATATATTAAAAACGATATCTGAGTCGTTACCGAATATTTTAACACTTATATATACTAACCGAGAAGCCTAAGTAATAATCACAGGCGAGACACAGCCAACGAATAAAGATGTCGGATCTTTTGTTAAGTCCGTCCTTTCACACTACATCCAAGGTACGTTCATAATGGCATGAACGTACCGTTCGTTGCAAGAATTCGCCCTGAAAGATCCGATCACCTTTCATCGAACACGTGATTCTTCGGGAACAATTGCACGAGTAAACTTATTCGAGCAATTATCCAAACAGCGTTCGGTACGTACCGAAGCTCACGGATGAATCCTGAACGCGTTAGTTGGGAACAATCCAGCAGAATGGACGAGAAACGTCTTCGAAACACATTTCTCTCGTTACATTTTACTGCGCGAATAACCGGAGGTAGTTTCACGATTCCCAGGGAGAGGAAGTAGGTGGCGTCGCGGTCGTGAAACTCGAAATCATCGGTAGATAGCAGCACGGTAAGAAACATGGTGGCCGAATAATATTGCACGCTTTCGTCCGACATTAATTTTCGCTCTCGCTTGGATATTTTGGAAATAATAAATTTGAAAATCACGTAATTTTTGAGAATCAAAAGATGCTCAAATTATTATGCGACTGGTATAGTTTCACCCGATGACTGTACATTGAAACGAGAATGTGTTATTTCAATGTATCAGTATCTTAACATAAGCTTCCCAAAATCTTGTAACAGGGATGATTTCCCTATTGACAAATTTCATTAAGATCTTAATTTAGTTTAGTTAATTACGGGAGAATAGTACTGTATGCTTATATACTTTTCTCCCTTTGATGATGAAACAATTATGCAGTAGAGAAAGAGAATATTATATACGGCTCGTAAGTTTCCGGTTCGGTACTTACGTTCGCAAAAGTACAGGAAACAAAGAACTATAGAATGTATGCCACAAGAAACGAGTAAATGCTAACTCACCACTACTTATACTAAATCAATGTCGAATATAGTAAGTACGTTAGAAAAGAATATCTGAAATTTCCAAAAACTTCTGTTAAATGAAACAAAAATGAAACAAAGGAATAACGGATTTAGTACTATGAAATATCACGTAATTCACGTTAGATACTATTTACATATAAAAGTGCGTATATAGACCACAATTTGCAAAACCGCGACATCCTTTCTCTTCTCTATTAATTCTTTATCTACGCTACGTTTCTATATTTTCCTCTCTCCTTCGAATTTCGTCGATACCGACTTCACGGACAAACAATGCGCTGCATCGTAGCGTAATAAACGCTATTTTATCACATAATTGTTTCCTACGATAACAACCATTTGTAAAACGCAAATGGGTGAAAATTATTCGGGAAAAATTCTTTTACACCGTGTTATATATAAAATTAGTATCTTATTTGATAATCATCCCGAGTACCTTTCAAGAAGAGTCTAATATCTAAGATTGTAAATATCTTTTATAAGGAAAATAACAGATATATCACCGAATTCTTACCAAAGAACAGATTCTTTGTCTGCGGCGGGACATCTGATAAAACATTACACAGCAAAATATCACCGTATGCATTGATCCTCTCTCGCTGTTTCGCGTTCGATCCTGCGTTCCGTGACTCGAAGCACAGTGACCCGACAACGAAACTGCGTTACGCCTTTCGTATTTTTCGTTGTCAATGCATGACTACGGTTTCGCACTGCATAAATGTCGCTCAACTTTCTCACAATGTCGCAGTTACGTTGGAACTGACACTTTTCTTTTTTTCCCAAGTTTTGCAGCGCGCTCTATAATTCTGCATCACCAGCTAGAGAACTAGACTCATCGTAATGAATATTTCAGCATCAAAAACTACCGATTCGTCGTAATAAGAAGCTTAATTGCCCGATAAAAACGTCACTTCCTACAACGCACGCACGAGACACAATTTTAGTTCGTAACTGTTCAGCGTTCTGTAAAGGTGTATCCGAATCGGCATTCAGAATCGCGTATGCAGGTACTTTGGAGTGATCGCACTCTTCTGACGTTCAACGTTTCGACAATATTTAGTGTCCAACCGTCAAATTACATGCTATGCCCTTACTATTGCTTTCGTCGACATTGTTACTTTACATATTAAATTGAATTTCATGTTAATTTGATAGCACCGCACACGTACTTATGCTTTCCTTTGTATCTTGATGCACTTCGAAGTCTTACGGTCGAGACTTCGGATGGATGCTGTTTTGGTCTACAATAATTGATCATGGTGGTGGCTCCTTATTAGTTTCCAAATATAGATACACATTTGTAAAGATGGACAGTTATACGAACACGTAACTATTTTCCTACGTGTCACAAGTGTACAGCGTGAACGTACGAAATAGATAAAACTACCCTCGAACCATCGCGAAAAATAGTTTCGACGTTGTGGTTACGACGAGTTACTTTTATTCGGAGTTGTAACTTTTGTAAATACAATCGCACTGCTTATGAAGTAACGAACGAAATGGCAACCCTGAAGGGCGTACGGTGTACAATGGCTGCCATTAATGGCGCTAGGCTAAATGATTTCACGTGGATATGCCAATACATCTTCCACCATATGTTGCTTACCTTTTACTGTGTTGGCATATTCGTGAGATGACGTTAGTTTAGATTTGTCTTAACAACTATCTACGCTGATAGAATAGGTAATTTGTTTTAATCCAGGACTGGATCGATTTATTGTTTAAATTTACTAATTTAAACTCGGCTGTATCACTACACAAAAACATCAATAACTTGATTTTGCTTCTAAGGTCCTAGAATTGAATGAATATTTTACAGGGATATACATATGTATATTGATTACGTTTTTGATCACTTATTAATAATATTACCTAAACAATAAAGCAAATAAAAGAAAATAAATACATACATACAGAATGTTTATTACGAAAATATTGTTTTTGGCGTAGGATTTGTGGAGACAGGAATACACATGGTACGTGATTTCGGTGAAATCAATTTAGGATCCGGTGATCATGTAGTTGGTTCTTCCAGTAAAGTGGATTAATTACAAACAATATTCAAATACAGTCAAGGATATTACTTGATTTAAGTATCATATGCTCAAATACTGAATTACGTGACCGAAAAATAATACACTTCGAGGTGCAAGAAGTGCACCTTCAACTACAGAGATCCGCCATTACAACTTTGTGCTACGTAATATCCACTCGACAAGTTCGGGAATTCTCGGGAACGAGAAACGACTCTAGGCGGAAACATCCGAAGTTATAATTTTGAAAATATACGAAATTCAAAATTAGAGCATTAAAATTTTTGCAATTACATTAAATTTTGATGAACAAAGTATAATAAATGTTTAGACTTAATTCTTCGCTTTATTAATTATTTAATAAAATGAAAAGATGAGCAAATTTTTCTTTTAAGAATTTAAGATACAGATGTAATAAACTATACAAAAATCAGGAATTTTTATATTTAAAGAAATTAAATTGAATCTAAAACAATAAGGTTTCAGTTAATACTTTGTAATAAAATACACATAAAAGATTGGATTGTGTTATTACTATATTAACTTCACTTCATTTCAATAAATAAATGAAACCACTTTAAAGTTACAATTACAGTTCTTTGTATTTATTTGTGACGTTTTTCTCGATTTCACATAATGTAATATTTAGTAACTTTATTTACAAATTACCGATCCAATGTATGGACCAATAAACTTTAGTTTGCTTAGGATTTGAATTATTTACAAAAATTTTTGAATTATGAAACAATCTCTTAAGTCCAGAAATTTACCACAGACAGAATCCGTTTTCACTGTCTGTAATCAATTAAGCAGCAAACACTATTACCTTTGTTTCTTTATTCTTAAAAAATTGAATTAAAATCTTTTTACAATTTTGTAAGAAACACTTTTCACCAAATATTGGTCAAGCATTACTATTCTTAAAAATGAGTCTAACATAAATGCAATTTTTCTTCGCGAAGAACATCATTTTCTTGATACTGTTCTCATTATATTTTACATAAATTTCAATCCGTAATAGCCTCTTTTTAAAAGCAACAACGTTGTCTGAAAGTGATATTTGAGAACAAATGTCACTGTTGTTCTATTCTTTTGGTAATTAATAACACCGATACATTTGTTGTTGGCAGTGCTTTTAGTAATTACATTCTTGGCAAGTAACTTCCAACGTCTTTGTCTTTTACATAGCATGATTTGCACAATTACAGACACATTGTATACGTTCAAAAGTAAAGTTTCAGATTGAACGGGTAATTAAAAACATGATCTGAACATTACACTTTCGATGTATCGAGAAACGTTTGAACAATGAAAATATCAAAAATGAGACTTCTAACTATACTGAATACGATAATACATACATTACATATTCGGCTAATTTTTTGTTCATAAACGAAATAGAAGTTGTATATCATGGATTTACATTGAATTTGCAGCACAGCTGCAATAGATTTTATCTCAGTTTCAATCATGATGTACTATAAGACTGTTAATTGCATTATACAAAGTTTGAGAACTCGTGATAATAAATACATAAAACATTTTGTACTTGCAATTTTTGTAATCAACACTTAATGTACAATTACATAAACTGCATAATAAATTTTAACAAATTACGTTCATGATTTTTGTAGGATACTTCAAATGAAACAATCAACATTCAGCAATAAAATTAGGATAGCTTCATTGTAATTTTACATTTGTTTGAGTATATGATAAAAATTTCTGCAGAAAGATCGTGTGAAAAATTTTGGATAAGTAAAAATACGTGTTAAGTACTTCCGAATATGAAAATCAGTTTTTATTAAATAGAGTATTATCGTAAAATAAGATGCAGATTTGACAATAGTCCATGAATTCCGTAATTCAATAAAACTATTTAAACGTAATTTCATACATGTTAACAAAATACAAATATACAAAAATATGTATGTTATTAATTTTCAATATCGTGGTAAATTTTTTAAATGTTCTTACTCGGTTTGAAAAATTCTCATACCTTTTAAATTAGGAAAAATTGTAATTTTAGACAGTCGTTGCACGTCTTTAATATAGTTTAATTATGAACCACGTAACGGATCAAAAAATGAAGAAAAAGAAAAACAAGAATCTGTATTATTATTATTATTCATGTTATAGATCGAATATAAGTATTATGATTGTACGAAAAATGTAATCACAAAAATAACAAGTTAATTGTAAAGCAAACACATATTGGCAGCAATGTTGACATTAAATTTGTAAACGTGTTCTATATTTGTTTCGCCTTTCTATAACTGATGGAATGTTCTTTCTTCTCTTCCATGAATATTCACTCATTATACATTTCTTCCCTTCTCCAAATGCTTTTTTTACTATCTATCTGCCAAGGTTGCATTGGAATTGTTTTTATTCTAACTTTCACTTTCGAACATGATAATAACACTGTACCCTCACATTTCTACAAAGTATATATTATATTTATTTTCTTAATATATGCAAGACTTGATGAGTACTTGCTTTCATTATCTCATTTCGTACGTTCAGTTTCTTCATACGATCGCATTATCCATAATAATATAAGTAGAATATAATATATGACATTTTTTCTCTGTATATGTAACTGTACTCGTGGGTGCTGCAATTTGCAACTTCTTGTTTTTGAAGGTTTTGACAATATTATTTACCTAAAGGACTTTGCAAGCTTTATAATAAGAAAAAATAAATGGTCAGAAAAACATTATCTAATTAATTAAATTATATTACTATTTATTAATAAGCTACATACTAAAAATTCAAGAAATTTAAATAATTGTAGTTATTGAAGTATTATCATAAGGATACTGTAATTTACAAATAAAAACTTGCTGTCCACACTTAGGCAAATAATCTTCGCGTTACTACCGTGTTTAGAAACTATGCATAGTAAAATAGTACTTTGCTTCCTCATAGTCAATAGTAAGAATCTTCATGTTCTTCAGTCTTATAAGCAATAATTTTTTTGTTTTAAATAGAAAGCTGTTCATTTCTTGTCTGTAAATGGCTCATTTTCTTGTAATTATTTTCAATCCTATACCACATTCCATATCTTCTGCACACTTATAGCTTTTAGTTAACGTATCTTGTAAAATTTCTTACAAACAAGTCGAAAGATACTCGAAAAAAAAAAAAAAAAAAAAGAAAGAAAAATAAACGATATTCCCATAGAAAGGAAATACTACTCAACTGATCTTGTATTGTGTCCGAAAATGTTTCTGACCAAACTGAATGTTACTTCACTAAACCTTTCTTCCACTAAGGTTCATTACCTAAATGACTTTGCAAGCAGGACTTTTTATGTTTCACTTAAATAGACTTCTTCTTTTCTGAGAGAATCTTCATACTGTTTAATATGAAAAGCCATCTAATTTAAAAGATATAGTTTGTTAGAGCAATAATCTGCCGATGGAATCCTGTGCTTGCAATTGAACATATGAAAAGGTACAATATTAATCTAATTATGCACTGTAGTCGATGCATGTTGAAGTCTTTCTAATTCTTCCAGTGATAAAACATTTGTCTGCACAAGCTCGGGAAGCTTACCAGCTCGAGCCTGAGCGAGAAGTTCTGGACTAAACCATCGTGCTAATTGATTTGAAGTATGCGAAAGATCTCCACCGTTATGCGGAGGTGATGTTTGACGACCTATGGGCATGTTCAACTGCTGCGACCGCATTACTCGCCCATCTGTGAAAAATATTTATCAAATTTATCTACAATGTTCATTGTATATCAGAAGGAAATTTTTCACATAAATAGATAACATAATAATGCCTCGATTTACGTGAGAAACATGAAAAAAAGAAACATAAATATTATTCAATGATCCAAATATGTTATGAGAATGAAGTACAACCTAAATTAAACTCATTACTTTAAGTTTGATCCAAAGATAAATGCTGTTTAGACTTGGTTTAAATAAGAGGGACAGCTAAAATGTGAGATCTAATTATTCCAATTTCTGAACACCATTGCATACGATTTGATTAGGCAAGAGGTAGACACCTGAAAATGTTTTAGAATAAAGAAAGTTAATGGAACAGTGTTAAGGAACATATGAAATGCGTATGTAGGAAGAAAATAATATAATTATGAAATGAATGCAATGTACACAAAAGATATTAAATTATCAATTTATGAATCACGTACATGAAATCATTTTAAATGAAGAAACGGGTTAAATTAATAAAACAGAATGAAAATTAATAAATACTGTTAAAACATACATTCATTTTTCCATTTCTTTTTTTTTTTCTTTTTTTTATTGAATTCGAATATTATGATTACCTGCACGATTGGAATTGTAGTTTTGATTTAAAACCATTTGCATTTGTGAGTTAAGAGTCCGGTGTTGTTGCTGTTGTGGTGGAGGTTGATGTTGCATATTAGCAAGATGCGACTGGGCCTGCTGTACCTTTATTTGGTTGTTTATAGGATTTGACCTCTGATTTATCATAGAATTCTGAGCAACATTGTATTGTGGAACATTGTGATGTGGTATAGAACTAGTCATAGTATGTTTGGAGCGTGCAGGATTACCATACACGCTTGAAACCGTTCTGTGTTGCTGCTGTTGCTGTTGGAAATCTGAATTTCCACTGTATTGGAAGTGATTACCGCCGTTACCGTCTCCACCTTTCACTATTGGCCGACCTGTAATAAATCACATACATAAAATATAATATGTAATAAACTTAAAGTCATTTTCTATATGGTTCCACATACCTGGATGTTGTTTAATAGTTGGATTTGACCATGTAGGTTGAACAGATTGTGGTCGTAGAGTATTATGTCGAGAAAGGACTGCTTGGGTCAATAATTGGACTGCAGACTGCATTTGTTGCATTTGTGATGTCTGAGACTGAACTCCCAACTTTGATGGATCATTAGTATTACCTATATTATAAAAATAAAAAAAGTATTAGATAAAATAGATTTAAAAGCAATATATTTATAATTAAGCCACATATTTAACTTCCTATTTTTTAAATTTATATCATGAATATATATGCAAAATAATACATAAATTTCATATATACAATATATTTCAAATTAAACTTTTACAGAATTTTTATTCCGTTTGTAACTTTAAACAATAACAAAGAAAAAGAAAGAAACGCTCTTTGTTTACATGATAAAATATTTGATAAAAAAATTGTATAATTCTAAATCAATAAAACAAAGAGAATAAAATAACAAATGTAAGTTACATAAATTTTAATATAATACTTTGCATTTCATCTAATCTGTATGTGTACCTATAGCTTTAAAAAAAAATAATAACAGTTGGTAGAAATACTACTTAATTCATAGTACATGCAATTTTCATGATCACATCAAGCCATAAAAATAAAAGCTGTAAAGCGCATGCATCAAAGTACAAAATGTTGCAAAGCATTCCAACATAGGAAAATGAAAATGTGTAAAGGGAAACTTAAAGCGTAAAGCGTGTTTATTAATTTTTATTTTAAAACTATTTCAACATATTTTTGTTTGTAATATGTTCATATATTAGTTTATAAAAAAAGAAATGTAATTTATAATATTAGTATTTGTATTCAAAACTAAAAAACAAAGTCCTTTTAATTTATGTAATTTCCCAAATTGTAGACCAGTTAGTTTTCAAACATATCAAAGGTGTCAAGCAAAGAAAAATGAAAGGAGAACAAAATTATCATTCCTCATTTTAATACAAAAATAAAAAAGGTAATTTTACATTAGATAATAGTCACAAATTTACGAGTCTTTTTTTATCCAGATCATGAAACATTTATAATATTTTAAATAACATCGTTTTGCGTATTTAATATCTCATTTTCTTCTATCTTCCCTATTATTTTATTATTATCGACTATTATCGTTTCAATTTCAAACTGTTCAGTTAATAGTTTGTCAAGAATAAGAGGACTATTATTATTAGTATCACTTATATCCAGTATAGTTGATTCTTTATCAGTTGTGTTCAATGGTCCTGTAGTTTCACTACTAACTTTATTTTCCTCCGTCGTATTTAAACTGGAATTATTATTTGTATCTGATTGCTGTTGAAAAGAACAACAATACTTCTCTTTCAACGCGGACTCTTCTACTTCTATATTCCCGTTATTATTTAATTCGACCGAGGTACTAATCTTTAACACACTATCATGCTTTTGAAAATTATGATTAGTAAGCTGAGTTGAAACGTCAGAAGAAGGAGATGTTTTTGTGTCAGTATTTTCTTTGCGGTGAAATGTGTTACGATATTTGTTACGATTATCATTAAGTATAGAAGAAAATAAAAAAGTCGATTCTAATCGATGATTGGACTGATTCGCACCATCAGGTTCCTTATCAGCAGTCATTTTACGTAACACCGATGTTGGGGTAAAAGCAAGTGGTGTTGGACTCATGGTCTGCTTCGCCGGAGAGTTAACAGGACTTGACGCTCTTTGCTGAGCTTGTTGCTGTTGCTGTTGCTGTTGTTGTTGCTGCTGCTGCTGCTGTTGATCTTGCCGCTTACGGAAATTCTCACGTTGTTCCTCCAATTTTTTCTTAATTAAAGCACTTTGCATTATAGATTGAGCATGCATAACAATCTCCCGCGGTGAGGGAACTCTATGCTGCATCACTGTTAAAACAGCAAAAGATCAAATATATTTTGAATAAGCTAATTATCATCCTACAAATTCGTTAAAATCTCCCTAGAACTTTTATAAGGTGCAAAAACAGTAACTTCTCGTAATTATCATAATTTATATATTGTTTAAACGTTTCTCTCATTTATATTAAATTTATTTGATTTTATGTACACTGTAATAAAGCCACGCAATAAAAGAATTAATCTTGGGTATTCTACCTGGATGCTGTACTGTTAAAGTACTGGGGCTAGCAGTCAAATTCGGAGATATTACTGAAGGTGGACAATAAGCTGCATTCCAAACATATGTATGTATAATATATTTGTACTATGATACTATCAGTATTCTTAACAAAACTACTGAATATTTAATAACCAGAATATAGTTTACAAGAAAGCACAAAATAAATATAATAGTTAGATATGAAAAATGAATGAAAAAAAGAAAACCAAAGCATTTAAAATAAATTTCTTTACTGTACTTTCTATTTAGTTCCAGACAAGCTAATGAAATACACTTACCGTTATTCATAGGTGATGGAATCCTTTGTTGTAGCTGCTGATACAACATCTGTTGCAAGATATGATCTTGAGGAGTAGGTGCGCTAGGATGCGGACTTACTGTACGAGGGGTAGTACCCCCATAGATTTTTAAAATATTTACTAGAACTTCCCTGTGACGATGTTGCATTGCTGGATTCTGTTGTGCACATTATTGTAACAAAAAAAAAAAATTATAAAGTCTGCTATATTGGAAACATTAAAGTGAGACACTTTTTATAGTTCAATAAGCCAACCTGGAGTTGTTGTATTAGATGCTGTCTAGTTATTTCCCCTTGCTGAAGACCTTGAATTATAGCTTGAGCTTCAGGTCGCTGTAGTAATTCTTGGCTGGTAGGAGCATTGTTAAGCATCATTTGCATTTCTGGAGGTACAGGGCTCATTCCTAACATTCGTTGATTACCCATCATCATCGGTAACATATCAGAGTGCTGTTGCTGCTGCTGCTGCTGCTGTTGATGTCGTTTTTGCTGCTGCTGCTGCTGTTGTTGTTGCTGCTGCTGCTGTTGCTACGAGAAGAATGTAAACCGTTTACACGAGACATTATTTCTTCATCCTTTACAGAAACAATTTTCATTACCAACCTGTTGAATTTGCAACACTTTCATTAGATTTTCGTGTTGCACTTGTGCTTGATGCGGATGTTGGGTTGGCCCAAGAGATCCAACATGATTAAATGTCGTCGCATGCATTGGTTCCGGGACCGATTGCTGGGGGGCAATTGGTTGATTTTTCAGTTGAGAATTCAGCAACTGCAAAAATGCCACATTATCTTCTACAGAACAAAATACTGTGCAATTTCGATATTAAACAGATACGATTATCTTACTTGTATCAATGTCACAGGTTGTTTTTGAGAGATAGGGCCGTTTGCTGCTGGTATAGCTTGTCCGCCAGTTACTTGAGCAAGCTGTATCCAGAGTAATATTTTACTAGTAATATAATAATATGAAATATACATACGTTAAAAATTACCAATTTCTTAAAAGCGGAGAGATCTTCTTCAGTCTTATTTACACGAGGTTGATCATTTGAAGATGTGGGGGGAGGAGCACCACCTCGCATACGTGCTTCTAATTCCTCCAGGCTATGCACAACCTTTCCACCGACTTCTATAAAAAGAAAATTTCAACATCGTATACATTTATATTGAAAAATATAAACTATACAATTGAAGAGATAAAATAAATATAACATACTCTCACCCATATCTTTAATAGATGCGCTCTTCATCAATGGTACACCAGTATTAGCAACATCCCCTTGTCCGTTCTGCGTTGATTTGTTTCCACGCTGCAGCATTTCCAGCAGTTTTACTCCAGTAGCGGATGTAGTATTATTTGTTGTCGTGGTATTGGCAGGAGAGATAGGAGTGAAATAAGTGTTAGATTCAGTGACTGATGGAATTTGAATATTTGGCTCGGTAATATCATTCAGAAGATTATTCAGTATATCATCTTGTATTGAAGTCCGACGACTATCCAGCTGTTGAACTGGACTTTCTCTTTTAAACCATTGACTAAACCGGGAACAGGAACCTCCGTTCGAGCCAACTCCATTCTGTGTAAATAAAATCTAGTTTTCATACAGTGGTTCTACGTCGATCAAAGATAGCTGTAATTTACTTACTGTCAGAAGTCCAGGAACCCCAGGTAACGTGTCAGATTTCAGAAACTCATCAAGATTGAAATCAGGATGGCTGTCTTCTTGATTTTGATTAACAGTACTAGAGTTATCCGTACCCGCAGTTTCGGAACTCTGTTCGGTTACAGCGCTTTCGTTCGAATCGTGATTCGCTGCTTTCTGCGTAACAGACGACGATTCGTGTTGTTCGGAAATAGGTGAATGTGGTGCAGCTACGTTTATAGGTTGATCCATGGTGGTCGGCGTACTACGTCCCTTCGGACCGGCTGAATTATCGTTCTGCTTTTCATCTTTCTCCAATGAATTCTTCTTACCACGTTTCTTCTGAACCGGAGTTTGTTTCTTACTTTTGTTACTATTATTACTACTGTTGTTGTTGTTCAATGCCTTCTCCTCAGGAATATCCTCGAAACCTCTTAATTCAATGGTGTCATGCTGAGACGTTGGCCCGGATATAAACCATTCAGGTTCATCCGCATCGTTACGATTTTCGCTGTAAGTTCGTCTCCGATCGTTGCTGAATCTTCGCTCCCTTCCACGATCTTTATCACGATCTGATCGATGATTACGATCGTTCCGTTCAACACCTCTCTCCCGATCACGCTCCCTTTCTCTGTCCCTCTCTCTATAGTCGCGACCAAACGATCTTCGTTCGAACCGTTCGTTTCGGTCATCCCGATCACGCAAATTGTCGCGTTCCCGTTCCCTGTCCCTCACATTCTCCCGATCCTTTCCGTCACGCGTGTCTCTGTTATCGCGATCGCGAATAGAAGCACCACCGCTTGCCCCGGGACGAAAAGCAGGCTCGAGCTTTTCGTTTTCCGGTCTGAAGTCCCATATATCCCGAGTTAAAATTCTACCACTTCCGATTCGTCGAACGGATTCTCTATGGCCCACCTGTAAATTGTTTATCGTGTAAGCGATGTCATTCTATATTTCTACAATGTTTGCTATCGTTAGGTTCCTTACCGATGATACCTCCGCTTTTCCTATCGGACTTTCAGGACGTCGATTCGACGGTTGATTCACATTAACGAAACAACCTGAATTAAAACTTCTACGTTGAGGACTCAAAACTATACCATCCTGTTCTTTCCGAATACGTTCTCGTGGATCTCCGTTCCGACGTTTATTATGGCTTTCGGTTACTTGATCGGCACGGCCGGCTCTTTCATCCTTCGGAAGTGTATCGCTTCGCTTCCTACCCGAATGCCAACGTTCTGGATCCCATACTCCGCGCGAACTTGATCAAAATGAATCGATACAATTTAGAAGGGATAACAATGAAATTTTTTATACAGGAGTAATTCTTCGTTTATAAGACATACTTATTGTACGAGATGTCTAAGAAATCAGGCCTCCGCTTAGATAACGGCAAACTCTTTATCACCATTAACTCCTCCTAAAATGAATTCGTGTAAGATTAGTTCGTCGCGCTAATTAAATATATATACATATATTTTTTTTTTTTAAGTTAACAATAACAAGTAATTTATATTATACCCGGGAATATTGGAATTGAGGTCTTGAACGGCCCACTTCCATAATTGAAGTGTCGGTTACCTCCCCAGCTACCGACATGGATATAATTGCTTCATCTCCTAAAAATTATTTAAAAAAAAAAAAAATCAAAAAATATAAATTTTGGTAATTATACTTATTTGATTAATCAAGTATTTATGCATATAACATGAACATCAAATAACAATTTTCAATCGAAATTCGTTAAAAACGTAATTACTTCGATTTGTGTACAAACTTTCGTATAGGATAAATTGTTTTGCTTTCAACGTTTGCGTAGGTATTCGGGGAAGATTTGAACGCGCGATGTTTCTGTTGTTCTCTTCGTAATGAAGAGCAGAAATATATGAACCGTATATTAGCAATGTACTTACGAAAGGTCACTCGCTTAATGGCATTGACAGATTTATTTTTACGAAACCATCGACAAGACCTGGTTTGCATAACCAGAGTTGCGTCTAGAAAAGGAGATCCTGTGGGTCCTACCAGCGGACGTTTACGTGGTCGCCGGTACCAATTCGAACCGGTGATATGGGATTCTAATTTCATCTTAGCGAAATATTTCAATATTATCTTTCTTTTACAAACGAACACCTTCGACTGTCCTAAGCAGTCAAATATTTATCAACCGAAGGACGAGGACGGACGACGAACTACCGTTGAAATTCTTTAACGAAGATTATATTCGTAAAATAATAGAAAATAATGTCGAGATGTACGGTTTAGGAAGGAAATGAAACACGACGTCTTTTATATATCAAAGAATATTCACTCGATAGGAACTTGATATTCGGATTTAACGAACAATATTTTTATATGTACGTTGCGAACACGTGATATATTCGTACGAAATTAATTCATCGATTCGATCCGATCCGATTTATTCCTTTGATTATGAACAATGTAATTTCTTTGTCCCGTATAATGTCTCTAAGAAATTGAATTCTTAATTTTAATAGATACTACACGTTGTACGGTACGGTACAAACTGACTAAATACCGGCCGGTTTTTAGGCGAACAGTTTGTCTACAATCCAATCAAGTGTGTCCCTGAGAACGTTATTGTCAACTTCAGGTCTCATTGGTTCTGTTTGTAACACGTTTGAAAGAAATTTCTAACTGATATTTTCGAAACATTTAAAACGAAAATTACTTCTAAGTATAATTATTAGAGAATTACGATATTTATTTTGAGCATTTTTCATGAACATTATTTTTTTTCATAACCATAATAGTTTTCAATTAATACATTGCGTACACTCTAGGACAATAATGGTTTCTTGCATTTCAACATTAATGTATTTATTAGTCCTTGTATACTACAAATAATTCAATAATTATGATACCTAAGAAATATTAAAAAATTTTTAAATAAATATACCAGGAATAAAAAAGTAAATACTAAGTATGTAAATAGTACACAGATAGCTTTGATACATCTTGAAATCTGCATTCTATTTCATTTTTTTCATTGATAAGTTGAACATTTACAGTGAAATAATCACTTCTATGTTGCGATATGAGAATCTATACAAACCTTGACGAAGCTATTAATAAAACAATTGTACACACAGAAGTAAAGAAATTGATATGAAATTTTGGATGAAAATTCAAATGGAAAGTATATCAACAGAATATTGTACATATAATTAATATGCCTAAATATAAAGGAAACTAGTGAATCTCCTACCTTCATCTTTTGGAGTTGGTAGTTGCTTGTCATTTGTCACAGATTCCTGAGACATTCTGCTCTTGATCACCTTTATTCTTTGAACAAGGTAAATTCACAGCACTCACTATACAGACTTTTATTATTTTTTTTTTTTTTCTAGATCTTTTATGTGATCTATCTACGTCTCATATGCCATACATACGTATATCTAATTGTAGAGTTTATATCTAGCTATATACCTTAGTACTGTTTAGTATCACAGACTGGTTTTCCCTTCTATATTTTAGTTTATCTTTTAAGCGAGGAAAAAATTTCAATAGGACAAACGATCGTTCTTTAACTGCCCCTATAGTTCTAATATAGACAGCTCGGCCACTCTCACTCGTTGAAAAGAGAAATGAAGAAAAAGTGTTTACGTGCTACGAGTATACGAGTTTACACACGTTAATACAGAACGCAAACGCAAAATAAAGAAATTAATTGCGTGAGATTCGAAGCACGTGTTTCCCAAAATCATTTCATTACTTCGACACGTCCTCTTCCAATTACTATTAATCCATCGATTTATCACACAAAATGTACACACACAACACTAATTCACTGCTATGCAAAAATAGAAAATGGCGCACGATCCCCACTTCCGCCGTTGTTTCTCACTGCTTCCTCGATCCACAACGGACAGCGTTCTAAGCTTACTACAATCTTATAGATAGCACTACGTCATCTGTATGTAGAAGCATTATGTGGCGACAATCAAATGCAAGCAATATTATAAACCAAAAAGTCTCTAGATCAATTAGTTCGTAAAAAATAGGTTAGAGTTAGGTCGAAATTGAACCTGGTTTTCGGAACACTGTATGTATTATTTGTTCAATGAATAATACTTGTCATACGACGTGTTTTCGTTCATTCAGCGCAGCTTCGTCTGCGCAAACGCATTATGGCACTGCGCAGTATACCCAGTGGCCTTATATTCAGTATAGTCCCCGACCTTCAATGCGATCGTTTGCTTCGCTTAATCATATGTACATACATACATTTGTGTCCACCGTATATATGACCACGAAGTTAGAAATAAGACGTAGTTGGCCTCCCTGAGCTGCGCAAAACAGGTATGTTCTCTTGTTGAACGAAGAATACATTCTATTGTAGATGTGTAAGGAATCCACGAAAGAAACCGATATCAAGTTTTCTTTCCCGTTATTGAGTATATATTCAATGGTATACATGTGTAGCGTAGAAAATAAAATAGAAAGTATAGCGATATACTTTAAAGTATAGATGGTTATTTTTTGACAAATGCTTTGAAAAAATAGATTGATCCATATCGCAAGATATCGATCATCACAATAGCGTTATCTTGTTAGCGCCATCTTGTTAGATATTTGTTATAAAAGATTACCGCCAAAATTTGTGCTAAACACTCGTATTTAATAAAGAAAAATCATAGACATTTTTTATGAATAAAAGATATATTAATTTTGATACATTGTCATCCTATAATCCATAAACGTCCCGCATAGTGGAAAAAAAAATCAATACTGAATTTTAATACAAATACAACATGTTTTTAATACTAACAATGAATTTTAATTAATTACAAAAGCATAAGAAAATCAAAATACATTTTTAACTAAAATCAGAAGCCAGAATAACCAATTGTCTTTATATAGATATACCTATTATATTATATCAGCAAGAATATAATTAAAAAAACAATACATTTTTGTCAAACATTGTAGTAAAAACTGCCAAAAAAAATGAGCTTGCTCATTTTTTTTTTAATCATTTTTAAATATTTCCTTAGTCCTACTTTGAAGTACTCAACCAATAATCATGTAAATGTAATAAAACATTATTAGTAATGATAGTATTAATTCTAGAATGACAGTGCATGTTAGTTTAATATACTATGTAATATTAAAAAATATGATTTATTAATTACTTTTCAATCTTAAAAATTTTGTAACATTTTTTAAAGAATTAAATGAAACACAACATCGAAAAACACTGGCATTCTAGCGTTAAAAATGATTGAAACTCGTGAAGACTGATGGAATGTTCAATGTTGTTCAGCCTATACTAGTCATATTCTTTTCCCTGAAACTCAAGATAAGTAAACTACTTTAAATACATTATATCACTAAATAAGTGCTTACATTTGTAATTTATGATAACTTTTTCTCAACTATAAGTCCTTATGTTAAGAAGTGGATGTTCAAACCTATATTCTGCAAAGTACTTTATGGAAAATACAAATAAATATTTTTGAAACAATAAGAAACCAAAGTGTATTGATAAAATTTTACAACAGGTGTGTTGATGAATATTTCTAAACTTGGAAATACTCGTAGATATTTTTATCTTTATCAAATATATTAAAATATTAATGATATATTTTTCTTTCAAAAAACAGATTAAATAAAAGCAGAACATTCACCGTTAATTTTCTTCTTCGTGTACCGTTGTGCTCAAATCATCTTGATTTACTTCGTTTTTAATTGTGATGGTCTCATTTATTTTGTTTTGTTCTACTTCAGCACCTTGTTCTTTGTCATCATCATCTTCCAATGACTTTTGTACATTGTTATTGCTTGTTAGAATTTCAGCTGAATTTAATGCATTCTCCTCTGCAGCGGAATTCTCTGAAACCTTTTCCCCATTTTCATTATTTACTATAGTTGTACCAGCTCCTTTCTTTCCTCGTCCTCTTTTGGCAGCTGTTGTTGATACATTTTCCTTATTTGTTTTCTTTTGTGTGTCCTTAACTGCTTTTACTGTATCGCTATCCTCTTCATTTAAGGCAGCATCGCCATCTTCGTTCAAAGCAGCATTACGATTACCACCTTTACCTCGAGTTTTGGTAGCTCTCTTTTGAGGAGCAGCTTCCTCTTTCTTTTTCAGATTTCTTCCTTTCTTCTGTGGTTGAACCAATTCTGTTGCTTCTGACTGATCATTCTCCTCTTGATTTTCATTATCGCTAGTATTTATTGCTTCCGAAGATGATTCCTCTGTTACTTTTGATTCATCGTCATCTTTCGATGTATCTTCTACAGTAGCTCCATTTTTACGGCCTCTTGTTTTTCTGGCAACTGTTTTTGTAACTTTATTATCTGTTTTTTTAGCTGCTTTTGCAGTTGTATTTATTTCTTCTGTCTTATTAATATCATTTTTAGACTTACTAGTAGTAGTGGCTTTACTTTTATTAATGGAAACTTTGTTCTTTACATCAACATCCGCGTTAGCTTTTTTTTTTGTCGCTTTTGCTTTGCTTTCTTTTGGACCTGTATCAACATTTGCTAACCTTTTCTTTTTTGCAGCTGGTGCTTCTAGGCTTTCTACACTCTCAGTAGCTGCTCCTTTTTTCGGTCTTCCTTTTGCTTTTGCCTTAGCTGAAACCATCAAATAATACAATTATATGTATTAAAAAGTTATTTTAAAAATGCATAAGTTAGATATAATTCATTTTTTACTACATTTTTACATAGAAATATAGAAAGTGATTCGATTCCTTATGTACGATTGCACGTGTTTACTATCTAATCGGAAATTTATTATTACAAGATTATTACGTTACAGCGAAACGGAAATAGTAAATTTCAATAAAAGTTGATGCAATTATAAATTATTTTTCATAGAAAATACACAATATTATTGATACTTTTAAGGAAGCTCAAAAACGTACGCTCTTCGTCCACATCCGTTCCCGCCTTTTTTGTTGTAGCTTTTGTACGTGTCCTTTTCGTTTCTGTTTCTTCAACAATCGTCGCAGTTTCTATATTTGTCAAAGTTAAGTTGATTTTCTCCTCGGTTTCTTTATTTTTCTTCGCTGCTGTAGATTTGATTTTCGTATTTGTTTTTATAGCGGTCGACGCATTTTTAGGTGGTTGCAATATCTTATTCTTTGCTTTTGCGTTCTTAGTCGCGACGGAAGTCGTGTCTGGGACTTCAGTTTGCTCGGTTTTAGCCGATTTTGCAGCTCTTGGTAATCTAATTTGTTTTTCCTCGTTGTTTTTAGTCGTAACCTTTGAGACGGTTTTCTTTCTTTTCGGCGGCGATACATCGCCGGCTTCCGCGGCTCTGTCTACAACCTCCGAATCGGAATGCTTTACAGGTTTACGGGGTGCCATTTCGTTCAACGATTACGATAATTATTTCAAACAGATTTCGACGCAGTTGATTAATTATAACTTCGTACTATATTTATGAGTCTAAAACAACAAATCAGCCACGGATGTCGCACCTATTCACTTTAGATTACTAACCGGTGTCCAACGTGCTGCAGTTATGAGTGTTCGTACGTTACATGACTAACATAGTAGCAGATCGGCAGCTTCACGTTTCAAATAGCTTTGATAATCGACATTCGATTTTTGAATCGAGAAATGGCGTCGAGATATTAATTTAGAAAATTTTACGATAATTTTCTAATATTTAAATAATTGCACAATACGTTGCACGACCTCCGCTAAATTATCGTTATCGGACATCATTTAAAAATCAAGCCTAAAGCTTTGTAAGTTTGCACCCTTTATACACGATTCAAAATCGTTTAGTTATAAATTTATAAATTTATAAATGTTTATATTTATGTACAATGTTATAGTATCATGGTTTAATTTATTTTTGATAAAATAATTATATAAAAGAAAACGAAGTCTCCACTTTCCTTTTACTCATCTATAATCCATTTATGTGTTGAACTACTTGATTACTATGAAAATTATTATTAATATGAATATAATTGATACATTTCTATCTATATATTTATTATTTTTCGTATATTATACACTTATGACAATAAAATACTCAAGCGTACGCTAAAATTACGTATTTTAAAAAGTTTGATATTATATTGTAAAATAATACTCCCTTAAATAACAAATGTAAAAGTTACTTATACAATATTTATAATCATTAAAAATGCTTTTAAATTATATAAATAGATAGGATTATGCGATATTTATTTATTTTTGTTCATTTCTGCCGATTAAACATAAACAAGCGTTCCAAATAGGTGTGTGTTACTTGACGTGACATTCTTTATATGAATTGTTCATGTTTACGCATATTTATAAATATTGAATTATTAAATATATACGATTCATAATTGTATGAAATAAAATTGAAAAGCGTATTTTAGTATGTATTGGAATTTATTTGACATACCAAGTAGAATTATAAATACGATTCAATTGTAAGTATTAAAATACATACCATTATAACCTAAAATTTCATATGAATAGATTTTAGTACAATGTTATTTATTTATAGCAAAATCTTCTTTTAAAATACATTTCAACAATGAATAATACCAAAAAGATCAACGTGAATTTTTCATCTTTGGTGGGTTTAAAAACAGAGTTGTTAAGAAAGCAACATGAAGTGAACGAGGCAAAATTAAAGTCAGAAACCACTCAGGTTGATTTAAAGCTAAAGAAGAAACTTAAAAAAGTTAAGAAAAAGAATGTTGATAGAAATTTAGATAAATCAGAATATATTGAAGATGTTAGTACTCATAAAAAATCAAAATTAATGTTAGAAGCAAAAGCAAGATTGTATAAACAGTTAAAAAGATCTAGAACCAATAATGATAATTTTCTTGTTGATTTTAAAAGCAAATCAGATGAATCTGAAGAAGAAATATCACAAAAAGAAGAAGACAATGAAAATGATGTAACTTTTGGAAATGAGGATGATTGGGTAGAGTATGAAGATTGTTTTGGTCGTACAAGAAAATGTTTACGCGAAGATCTACCTCTGATGCAAGAGAAAGATAAATTAGTAAAACAACAAATTGTAAATGAGAAGGGCATTGACTCAAAAACTAAAGATAATGTTGAACAAAGTATTATAGAAGATGAAAAAGAACCAGAAATAGAAGTTATGAGAAGAAAATGGGAAGAACAGACAAAGAAATTGGCTGACAAAGCAAATATACATTATCAGGATGTTTTGTTTGACGAGGCTAGAACTCATGGTGTTGGTTACTATGCATTTTCACAAAGTGAAGAAGAGAGAATGAAACAGCAAGAGAATTTATTAAATTTAAGAAAAGAAACAGAACGAAAACAGAAAGAAATAAAAGAACTTAAAGATTTGCGGGAAAAAATGGAATATAATAGATTGAAAGCAGCTAGAATTAGGCAGCGTATCAGAGCTGGGTTACCGGTAGATACAATAGAAGAAGAAGAACTTAAACAAAAGAATGACAATGAATCAAACCAAGATAAAGTAGAACGTGAATCCAGTGTACATGCAGAAGAAAAACCAGTTGGAATTAATGATAATAAAGAGAAAGAAGGTAATGAAGAAGACGAGGCAGTGGTTAAAGAAAATAAAATAAAGGCTTTAGGAGAACTTCTGGGCAAAAGAACTCATTGGTACGAAATGTCACAAGAAGAATGGGTTGACAAATGTAGAAAAGAAAGAGTTACTGAATTTGCTCCAGTATACAGCGATTTCAAAAGTGGTGGTTATTTAAATTCTGAAAATACTGATGAATCCTCAAATCATCAAGAGCACCAGAAATCTAATTCAGATCAAATGCTTATTCAGAATGATGAAATTGATTTAGATTCTTATTATATACCACTTCCTCCTACTTTGGTAACAAACAGTTCTACTGCCGAGTGTGATAAGAATACTTTAATTAGAAAAAAGGATAATGATCATAGTTCACATCAAACAATTGATACTACACAGTATGAATCTAATAATATAATAGAAGATCAAGTGAAACCTACTGCAAACATAGATGAAGAGAGCATATTGGCTGGTTTACGATATTTGAGAGAAAAATTTGAAGAAAGTCAAAATAGTTAAGGCGTTATATAGCATCGTTAATTGTACATATCTGTAAATACTTGTACTTTGTGCAAGCGCATATATAGCATTTCTGCGTATAATTTAAAAAATAAATATTTTAAATAATAATTATTTATATCAAATACATTATAAAACATGATATATTACGTTTATTACATTTTTATTAAGTATTTATGTTTCATTCACATTTTGATCTGTTCATATAAAACGCATATCGATAATATTTAATTAAAAAAATATATTTTTATTTCAAAGTATAAAATTAATACTTTAAACTGGTAAAGAAGCTTAATCAACATCTGTAATGACACTGTTACAATTAGGACATTTCACACGGTTGTGAATCATGGCAAATGTATTTAAACAGTATAAGTGCAGTAAGGCTTCACAGTAATTACACTTGTTTCCCTAATTAAAAAATGAAGATATTAATAATTAGTAAAATTATATAATTAAACATTTCTCTTACAAGAACTTACATAAAAGATAACTTGTTTACAAAGGCAACAGGTGCTTAAATTATTTTCATAAGTAGCTCTAAAGTATGGCATTAACTCTGTTATACTTCTTACACCTAAATAATAATAACCATCCTGTAAATAGTACAGAAAAATAATTCTATTGATACAATCATGTTTGATTTATTGTATTAAAATTTTACCAGTACCTTATAAACCAACCATTGTCTTTGAACTATATCATTTAAAAATTCTTCAGCATCTGTTTTTGATAATTTTACATCTGGGGAAGAACAAAAATTTAAACATATTGTACTTTGTACACATCTAATGCTTGATGTGATAATTTCAGAAAATATATTCCTTAGTAATGCCAGTTGTGCTTCTGAAAATTCAGTCTGAAACCTATAAAATATTGATAATTTTAATAAAAATGTTTAAAAATGTTTTTATTTAATATTCAGTATATACCTGGTTACTTCATCAAGTACGGTACTTATTAAAATCCAATACACCTGACCGGTGATTTCACATTGTCCTTTTCTAATTAACATATTTAAAGGGTGTAATTGTTCATTTATCCTATTTATTACTGCCGACACGTTATCAGTATCTAAAATGCATAGTTTTCTCCATAACATAAAAAAATTGGGATATATAAAAAATCAAATTAAAAGTTAAATAAAAATGTATGTACCAAATAATTTAATAACTAAATCTTTTGCTTTATTTTCATCTATAAAACCTTCGTGTATAATAGTTTGTAGAATTATTTTGTGTTGTTGATTATAAGCCATTTTGTTAAATTACCGCAATTAACGTATATGTAAATATATATGTAATTTTTTAAACAAAGACCGTGAAGATTATTTTCCACTTAGGTATGCGATTCCATAGAATTCAATTTAATATTCGAAACGTGATTATTTCTTAAACTGATTGCTAAGCAACTATTAAGTAAACACGCATGAATCGAACATAAATAATCGTGTTGTAAAATATAACCAATAAAATTTACAAATATTTTTGAAACGTATTTTCACTTCAGTATTACTCAATTTATATGTCAAGAAATATATAAATTGCATTTAAAATTAACTTACAAAAAAATCACCTTTTTTAGAAAATTATGTTCTTTATATTATACATAAAACAAAATAAAAGATTGTAATATTGCAGTAACGATTTTATATTCTTTACGAAACTTGATAATACTTATTTAAGAATTATTGATATACCAATGTTATTTTTTTTTTTATGTGATCGCATTGATGGGTGTAACGAGTTCGAACGTTGAAGAAAAATAGAAAGAGAAATGGCAAATTAAAATTTCAAGATTATAATCCCAGATAGGGTATTATAAAATGCGTTCATCTGGAATAAGAAAAGGAAATATCGCAATACGATAAAGTGGGGTAGCTAGTGGGGTCTAGTAAGTACGTGTACGCATCAGAGCTATCTGCTGCATAGTACAAGCTGTACCGTGAGGGCGCGAGGCCGCGACCCTGAGCCCGATACGCGGAATAGAACGTTTCGGTAGCGGAATAGTGTGCGGAACGAATACGTGTCAAACTCTCGCGGTCCACGGATAAGCTTAAAGTGGAGCATCGTAGTGCACGGGTATCCGCTATCGTTTACGTGTAGAAAGGTCGAGAGTTCATGATCATTCACTGCTTTGAAACGATGATTTTACGAAGCGTTTGACGACGATCTTTTCTTTACTATCACTGCCGAATGATCAAAAACTACGAACAATTTTCGTTCTTCTTTACGGTTCCCTTTGACGAACATATAACCTGTTAACGATCAGCATCGTCTACTGAGTCAGAAATTTTCAATTTAGAATTTAGAATTTAGAGAGTTCAATAAGTGTGCGTGCCATTGAATTGTGGATACGAGAATCCGAAGATGCCGCTATTCAGTAAAAAAGATTCCAATAAAAAGATCAAAAAGGATGGGAAAGATGACAAATCGCCGTCTGTCGAGGACAAATACGTCCTCAAGGAGTTGCTTGGAACGTATGTATTTGGCTTTGTTGCGTGGACAAAAAAAGTAATAGAATACGATTCAGTTCGGATTCTTGTCTTTCTTTTACATTACGCATAAGATTTACAATGAAATAAATAAAATACATTAAACAACCAAAAATTATAATTTTATATGTTAAAGATCATTGTTATTATTTGCTGATGAAATTTATGTATGAGATTATGTAAATACCATTATCTTTTAATTACCAGATACATTGGAATTATATGACTGATTTATTTTTGTTACTTTTTGGCAACAATTTAATTACTTGTATATACATGTAGCAAATTTTGACTAGACTTATTTGCATATTATTATTAGAATGTTTAAATTAATATTATACTTATATTAAAACATTTTCATTTAACTTAATTAAATTACTTTTTTATATAAAATGTAATATCAAATATGTATGTATAATACTGTACAATATACACTAATTGTCGTATTACCATTGTAAAAAAAAAAATATGAAATACAATTAAGTTAATTACATATGGTTCATTATTATGTTGAAAGTCTGGAGGCTGAAGGACATGTTATAACAATGAATATGAATAGGTGCATAAGTCTTGGAGCATTGTTATGTATATTATGATGATATATATCCAATATTTTTTTATTTTCTCACCAATAAATGGATCATTATATATTATATACACATATAATTTATTTATGTTTTTTTAGGGGTGCTTTTTCTGAGGTACGTCTAGCAGACAGTAAAGAAAAACCTGGGCAAATGTTTGCTGTGAAAATTATTGATAAAAAAGCATTAAAGGGAAAGGAAGACTCTTTAGAAAATGAGATTAGAGTGTTACGAAGGTAAAATGTGATAATGTATATAGGAGAACTATAGAATTAATAAATAAAATTACATGTTCCTTTTTATAATTTAATTATGAATGTTCTGATTGTAGGTTAACACATCCAAATATTGTTCAGTTACTGGAAACATTTGAGGATAAGCATAAGGTTTATTTAGTTATGGAGTTGTAAGTATTTCTGTTTATATATAAATTATCATAATACAAGTTAGAAACTTTATTTAAACTTTTGCATTAGGGTTACTGGTGGAGAACTGTTTGATAGAATTGTTGAGAAAGGTTCATATACAGAGAAAGATGCCTCAGGTTTAATAAGACAAGTTCTTGAAGCTGTGGATTACATGCATGATCAAGGTGTTGTGCACAGGGACTTAAAGCCTGAAAACCTTTTATACTATAGTCCTGATGAAGATAGTAAGATCATGATTAGTGATTTTGGCTTATCAAAAATGGAAGATTCTGGTATCATGGCAACTGCTTGTGGTACACCCGGATATGTCGGTACGTTTGAAGTTTGTCCAATTACATATACAGATTCATTTAATACTAAAAAGGAGATATTCCTTGTATTTACAGCACCAGAGGTCTTAGCACAAAAGCCGTATGGGAAAGCTGTTGATGTATGGAGCATAGGAGTTATTTCATATATTTTATTGTGTGGATATCCACCATTTTACGATGAAAACGATGCTAACCTGTTTGCACAAATTTTAAAAGGTAATAAAATTATTCTTAGGCACATGTTTTTAACATTTGGAAGGACTATACTATCACTTCAATTTAGGTACTACGTTTAGGATCAACAAGCACATGCAGCTGTTCATTAACTTGAAATTTTCATTTTTAAGGTACTATTCTAGTTTTTGTATGCTGCTATGTACATGCTAGTGTAGTAAGTAAATGATAATTTTGTGTGCGTCCGCGTTTTTTTTTTTATGAAAGTCATTAATTGTCAGAAACTAGCATTTAAAAATCTAGTCCTAGTATAATAATTCGGTAATAAAAAAAAGATACTCTTAAAAAAGGTTTTTGTAATGAATTATGTGAAACGAATCTTTACGGAAATACAGTGTGAAATTAACAGTACTTCTTCCAAATAAAACATTTCATTTAAATGAAATAATTTCATAATAAAATCGTCTACTCTATAGCAAGAAGCTAACCAGATTGTTATAGGTGAATTTGAATTTGATTCGCCGTACTGGGACGATATCAGCGACTCCGCAAAGGATTTCATTCACAAATTGATGTGCGTCAACGTCGAAGTGCGTTACACTTGCAAGCAGGCCCTTGCACATCCTTGGTAAGATTACAATTGCACTCAAATATTGCACATCCATTTATCTTATTCGAAATTATAATGTTTTTTAATAACAAAATTATATTGAAAATTAGAGTGTATTTGTGGGTTCCAACTTTTGAAAAATTGTTTTTTAAAATTGAAGCAGTAAAAATTACAGGAACAGAATTGCCTTTAATAATAAGATATATATATATATGTATTGGAATAAGTAAGTAAAAGAATTATACATATCTTGTCATCCACTAATATAATCCATTTACAATGATATAAAAGAATAAAGTTTCCTTGACCTCATATTAAAATTCTCAATAATTCTCATAAGTAAATATGTTAATTTTCTAACACAATTTGTCAACGTCTAAACATAACTGTAAAAATATTTCGTCTCTAATGTAGTATCATGTAATTGATTTTTTTCAGGATCTCCGGCAACGCAGCCAGCAATAAGAATATCCATGGTACTGTATCGGAACAACTTAGAAAGAACTTCGCCAAATCAAGGTGGAAGGTTAGTACGATCGAATGATTGCTTAAAGGTCTGATTGTATGTGTTTGCTCGCCAGGCTCCGTAGGAAAGTCTTCCTCTTCTCTCATGGTTGCAGCAAGCCTATCACGCAGCCACGGTCATACGTCAAATGCAACGGCTGGCGCTCAGCAGCGGCCAGCAGCAGCAGGGCCCAGGGTCAACAGGCCCCTCCAGCGTCAACCCCACGCCATACCCCGATCAATCGCAATCCAACCCCAGTCATCAACCCAGATCGGTGGAGCCTCAGATCAATCTAAATTGAAGGAAATACGGGAGCCACCATTGCCCGTGTCAAGCTTGGTGGTCTCGAATCCTGTTCCCATTCCGATCAGTCCAAACTCACCATTATACTTACGCAACAAACGCTTCAAGCTGTGGGGTAGCACACGCACCGCTCTGTCTACTCTTTTTCAAACAAACGTATCGTATCTTAGAAAGCAAAGAAAGTATAAAAAAAGCTGAGTTGCGCCGCTAAAACTTTCTTCTATGAAAAAAAATATAGAAGTTGCCGGGTTGGCAACTTTATTCTCTTGTCGAATATTATTCAAATTGGCAAGAGTTTGTATAGATCCCAGCTAATCTGTTTTTCGTTGTGGTATCCTGTGACACGGTTACCACTGGTTATGTACATTACCAACTTATATAAACAGCCCGCACGATATAAGGCGATTTTTCGAATCGAATAACTTTTCGTTCATCGCCCCTTCTCGTTTCGCAAGCTTTATTCGAACAAAACTTATAAATAGATCTTCACTACGTTGGTACATATTCACGATAAAATTTAATATGTAGCCGTTAATAGAAATTTACGAGGATGCGTTAATGATATTGATTTGATCAAGTAAGATGTAGTTACGTATTTAGATGAATTAATGCAGATTATCAAGTTTTCATTGTACGAGAAAAATCTTGCTGGATCAAATCTGTTAATGTGTACAGAGATAACAAATGTGACCAGTACAACGACAAGTTTTTATCTTTTATAAAGTTTGGTGTAACGAATAGTGGTTGTTTAGATGATTCTTTTTTCTTTTTCAATGTAAAAAATCTTACTGTTTCCTGAAAAATATCTCTTTAATTGCCAGAAATCGGTATACAAACTTATTGCCCGGTACTTTTTCAAAAATACACAATACAATGGACATTTTGAAGTGTGAAACAAAAGACAAAATTAATAACAAGCTTTTATAAAAGAGATTAAATAAGTATCAAAGATCTTGCTATACTTTTGTTGCGAGACTGTGTAAGATCTGATTTTTATAGATACCCGTCTTTATGTTTCACCGTTAAACTAAAATATATATTTTATTTTATGAGATAACTAAATCTAACATGTTTATAGCAAGTCATGTACAGTGCACTGTATTACAAAATGTACATTGTGTATACAGATACACCTTCTGCTACATAGTGATATTGATACATTCTAAGAACTCCAAATCAGAATTCTATTACCTAGATCTAACTGTATGTATACATATATATCACTCAACGGATATTTTTATCAATATGTTGTATTGAAATTTCACGAAAAGTGTACATAATTCGTACATGATTTCCCCATCTGTCTGTCTGTAAGATGCAAATATAAAAAGTAAATTCTGTACTTTTATAATGTTTTTAAAAGGCAGCTCTTTTTTTTATGTTGATTTATGTTTTAAAATTTTATAGAGCTATTGTGTATATTCAAACAAATGAATGTACATACATATATTATTTTTATTAGTTATGTTTTTTATAATGATCAATATCTTATAAAGAACTTGATACAAAAATTTTTTTATTTAATATTTTGTTGCATAATTGTGTAAGTTACAAACAATGAAAATACAATGTCGCTATTTGTATTTGTATCTTATATATATATAAAAAAGAAAAAAATGGTTGATTATATACAGTACTTAGTATATATTTGAATTGTAACAAATACTTCAACGAAAAATTCGAAAATACTTTTAGTACTCGGTGGTATTACTTTATTTTTTTACGAATGATTGCAAACAAGTGCAATAATACTATGATCTTGTGATAACGATATTACTATGGTCTCTTACTCAATGATAAGTCGAATATAAACTATCACTAATGAATGTTAATTTTTAAAACAGAAATAGAATACAAAAACACTTAATTGGATTGTATAAATAATTTTTCACAAATAATCACATTTCAGTGTTTTTGGAATGTTTTACTTAAAAGTATCTGATTTTATAATGTAGGTGAAGAAATCCGTTATGTAGCGATGCGGAAATTGTATTCAACAAAATTTGATGTTTTTCGTGTCTTTTTAAACGTGCTTTTAAATAAATCTAAATTACATTCAATGGATCTAAATATCATGTGTTATATACTCGGATAGAGAAAATTATTGCTATTTATCGAGCGGGCACTCCTTTTATCATAAACTAATATCTTTCTCTTAAACTTTAAACATGATAATCACTTTGAACTATCACATTAGACATCCGTCCGTGTACCGGGCACTATTCGTGTAGTAAATATGTATTAAACAAAAAAAGAAACAGAAACCATTGAGGAATTTATAGAATGCTACGTAATAATTTTGAAATTGATAATAATTATATTAATTATAAGACAGATATTATTGTTCTTCAAAAAGTAATTTAGGACAGAAACGTATATGAAGGATGCTACGATACATGTAATAATCATTTATTTTTCTTTGAACATTGTAGTATCAAAATTCCAATTGATCAGAGGTCTTTCATTGCGCAAAATAATATACCATTCTAAAGTGCCTCAGATGATACGATGATGGAATATAAAAGGAAATATTTGTCACAAGAATTCTTAGATAAAATTTGTATGATTTTATATGTTTGGAGAGATTAATTTGTTAGCACTAATCATTATATAGTATCAGTTATCTTTATTTATGAATGGAAGATTTGTACTTTCATTTTAGTCGATACATTTATTTGTATTGAAATATTTACAGTTAATTTATACAATTTTGTTTCGTTACCATCATCGTTTCATCTAATAAGGAGCGTTCGCTAAAACAGCATTTTTTTATGCTATACATTTGTGCGTTGTCGATGAGCTTGTAATTTAAAGTTCTAGACAAAAGTAAAAGAAGCTTAGCTTGTACTTAGAAGAAGAAGAAAAGAAAAAAAAAAAAACAAAAACGAAAAAACCGTGCCACATGAATAAACATATCGGCAGGAATATTACAAATGTGATTGTAAAAATAAGCTGATTTTAAATAGCAATGAAAAGAACTTGTTACTGCAGTTTTATTGAAGAAAAACAATATAACGCCAGACTGATAGAGTGTGTATGAAAGCGAAGAAAAGAGTGAAAGAAAGAAAGCTAGGAAGGGAGAATGCACTGTTGATTATAATATTTTAATTGTTGCCTATAAACGTACTGCTCCTATATATATTTATTAATCGATTACAAAAGTAACTACTTCCTATTGTAATTTTCTCATTGCACAAGCCTTGCTACTGCTACGCTTGAATTTGTGCATGTGGGGATTAATATCAGATATTCTCGTTATTAAATTATATATCATGCGGCAAATCAGTGCTAATAGACGTTAATGATGAATTTATTACTCTTATGCGGAAGACCTTAGTAATGAGAGTATATTGAACTAGTTTAAAGTGCCAATGTTATTCATACTCCTTGAAAAGAACAGATCAAAGTCGCCAATTTCTTTTAAATAACTAATATTTTGAAAAGTAGGGCTTAATAAGAATTATTTTGTTTAAACGAACTGGCTTGTAATTAAGAGGATCATAGCAAACAGATAGCTGAGAACTTTCCAATTTAATAGGTTTTTCAATTTCATGATTGTGGTGCTACACAACAAATGTTCGATATTACTATTTCATGGAATGTTAATGAATAAAAATACATATATAGCTGATACAACCGATTACATTTATCTGTATAGCTGATTACATTTATTTAGTATAGTTATTTTTTATTAAAAAAACTTTGAAGTATAAACTTTATTTCGATCTTATAGATTAGAGTGTAAATGAAATAATAACTGTGTTTTAATTTGATATAAGTTTAATGAAATTCAATTACGCAAAAAGGAAACGCAAAAGGAAAACTATGGACAATGAAAATTATTACAACAATAATAATGATTATGATAACATTTACAAAATTATGTTTGTGCTTAAAATTAAGATATCATTTTATACAAATTATTTTAAATGCATTAACAATTAATATGCCTTATTTTACAATTTGTTAACTAATAATACATAACAGTTTTAGTTTTCATACAATAGACTAAACAGAAAATTTACATAATTGTTATACTTTAATATAAATGATTTATCAACAAACAGCGGCTGCCTTTGTAAATCGAAAAATTATAGATCAATAATATATAAATCGTATAATTTTAAAGTATAAACTTTTTTGCAGTTATATATATATATATATATATATATATATATATATATTTTTATATATTTTTCTATCAATCTTCAAAATTTGTTTAAAATATAGCTTATATTATAAAATTTTAATGACATACATATGTGTATATAAATATACTTGGTAAGAAAAGTCAATGATTAAACTTATATTTAAAATATTTCTATGAAAAATAAATTATAAAATTATTCTTTTATTTTATAATGTAGCAGCCATAAAAGATTAACATTAATATGGACATTCAATATATTACTATGCATTATTAATAATACCGTTTAGTTGATATTAATTATCTGTGTTTGGAAAGTTACATTTTATTCTGACCATTACTTTTCTTATTTGATTAATTGCTTCACAATGATACACGATTGTATTATTTAAAAAATACATAAAATATTGTAAATAGGAAATGTGTAGTCGTAGGAAATATATTCATATTTTTATACAGGGTGTTCGGCTACAGGTGGGCATCCTTGCAGGGGGTGCTAGCGGAATTTTTCATTAATAATTCAAAAACTAAGCCTTGATGAACATTTTAGTAAAGGAAAAAGTTGTTCAGTGTCACCCCTGCTAACACCCCCCGCAAGGAGGATCCCCATCCATAGCTGAAACACCCTGTACACGTATGATTCTTGGTAATAACATCTGAGAACAAATGATTGGCCCCATTTTTTAACTCATATATCCTTCTTCTGCGATTATCGCTTATCATTATTATAAACGTAATACATCTGAAATTGTATTCGTGATTTAAATACGAATACATACCCCGTATAATTTTAACGTGTAGCTTTTGTCTACTGTTTCGTATAGTTTACACATCTTAAACTAAACAGCTCGTTTCAATATTATACTGTAAATGAAGCATTTTTACATAACATTACATTACATATACATTTTAACTTTCATAAGCACTTAATGCTTCTCGTAATCTATCTACAATCTTTTGATAGAATGTAATTTGCTCTTTGAGATGAGTTTTCATGGCTTGAGTTAAATGAATTTCTTTCTCTGTTTGAAAGTGCGTTTCTTCAGCGAAAACAGTCCGCGCTATTATATCTGTCCGATGAGAAAGTTCTCGTAATTGTTGCGGTTCCATTTTGTGCTCGCTTACTAATCTTTCGCAATCTTTTCGTTTCTGGACAGCACTCTAAATATATTAAAAATGAAAATATAAAAAAATATGTTTAGAAAATTATTCGAACTGGAAAGTAAATTTTTCTAACAATTACCTTGTGTATATTTATCACGTCTGGGAAACTACTGATAATCCCTCTATAAATGTGAAATTTATCGGCAAGAGGCTCCCAATCAAATTTAGGTTGTTCTTCGTATAATTTACCTATATCATTATAAGCATCTCCTGTTACTTTTAGTGCATATGTTAATTTTCCTCGACTACTATCGTCGCCCTCCAATGCGTGACTTAACGCACTAAAACTCTGACTAATTTTCTGAAATTCTCTTTTATAGAGAACCTGATTTTTTTTCGTTTGGTCAACAGCCATAGCCATAAAATTTTTAACTACCGGATCTAATCCACTTATAAATCTACTGAAAGCATCCGTTTGAATCTCTACTTTGATAACATCCAAATTTATTTCAGGACATTGGACAGCATTAAAATAATTTACACCTAATAATTCATCCTTCTCGGCTTGCCTCTTTCCAGCTTTCCATTTTTTCTCATCTGTACAAGTTATAAAATGTTCCCAGACACGACTACGTGCTAGCACAGGATGCCTACAAACATAATCGACAAACTCTTGAAGTTGGGTACGTCGATGTTCAATAAATTGTTCCTCGTATCTCCCAGATATTTGTTTATCTGGTAGCGGTGGAATAGGAATAAAACAATATTTTTCTTCCAAACGTTCGTGTAACCAATCAAAATGTTTGTATCTTCTTGAAACTTGAATATTGTTAAACTATAATAGAAAATCAATATTAATTTTGATATTTTATTAGCATCAACATGAAACAGAGAAAATAATTTATAAATACCGTAGGTGTAAGTTGATAAACTGTAAAACTTTTAAGACCTTTTAATTTTGATTCCTTTTTAGGAGATGTGACTGCACAACTGTAAGATTCTCCTCTTGGAACCCATCTACAACGTCCTCCTTCAATTTCTTCAATAAATATTTTCTCACTTTCAGGAACATTAGCTACCCTCATTCCTAACAGAAAACTGTCTTCACCGGACTTTATTAATGTAGAAAATTTATTGTTTTTCTTTGGTATATTAGGTATAGGCCTTTCAGGTATTACGGAATGAATGATGGGTGTAGAAACTGTGTCCCCATAATCTACACTATGTTGTTGAGTTAACTGTATCATATGTTGTTGTTGTTGTTGCAGTTGCTGTTGTTGTTGTTGTTGAGGGACATATGCCTGTGTCTGACCAATTTCAGAATCATCATCCCAATCGTCATCCCAATAATCCCCAGAACTTTGTTGAGACGATGTCATAGCATCTAATGCATATGAAAATATGGATATAATTGATTGAATTACTACATTCAGGTAAAATTTATGTTTTTGCATATAAAAAAGTAATAAGTATACTTGAAGCAGTTGTTGCAGATTCATAAATCTGAACGTATGCTGCTGGAAACAACCCAGATTTTCCACTCTGATTAAAACCCTCACACCATCCATCACCTACATTATCTCTCATGACAGTTAACACTTCTCCTGCTGTAATAGATAACTCTGCTGTTCCTGACTCTCCTGTAAAGTCGTACAGCGCTATTACCTGTAAAAAAAAAGATCAAATGTAAAATTTTCAGAAACATATTTAAAATATCACAGAAATTATCTGTAACTGCTACATAAAAGAATGAGTCATAACGTAAAGACATTAATGATATTTAACAATGATACATCGATAGTTTTTGTTTTTACAAATCGTTTGCATACCTGGTGACCCTCCATTATAAATTCGTCCACTAATAATAATTTGGAATTCTGACTATTGGTGTAGCTAATTTTCGTCTTTGTTTCAACTTGTTTGATCGCACCCGGTCACATACCTATACCGATTCGCTTAGCCGAATGACTGACATTTACGTATTTGGTCTTTAACATGTGTGCGATTCCCTGCCACATAAATGTAAAAATTCAAACTAATAATGGCTGCGAAACGTAACACGCTTTCATGATTTTAGGAAAGTATATTTCCTACAATAAATATTTTAAAATTAAAATTAGAAGAAAATCTTTTATAACTGTAATAGCAAATCAAAATAAGACCACTCTACAAAGAGAATTCAAAGCCATTTTATTAGTTTAAGGTTAGATAGGAAAGGTAGGGTACGTGATATCACAATCCGCTACTGAACTTCGAATCCCCGCCTCTACAAATTAACTTGTATTGGTCGTTAAATTTTTCTTACAGACTGTACAATATCAACAAAATTAACAATATTGTTTATACAGTTGTAGATGCAAAAATATGAAAAAGATAAATGCGATTATATTTAGCATGATAAGAACTGAATGCAAATTCAAAATATTTTAAGATTTTCGTTTTAATGTCATTTTTCAGTTTTTAATATTACAAATGTCAGAAGTACAATTAAGATTATCTTAATGGGATGATTTTGCCTCCTTTGCATTCTGGAGACTTTGAGTAATATATAATTTTGCTAAGCTCTGAGCACAGAATTGTGAAATGTGTTCACTGTATGTATTAATCTGTCCAGCTACAATCATTGGATTCAACCTAGAGGGAACTGGCAATGGTCTTATAAGCTTGTTGATATCATCATCAGGTAGCGGAGGCTCATCCTTAGCAGCTCTAGCAGCATTTTCTTGGACTCTCTTAGCTAGAAGTCTATTCTTTTCTTGTTGCTGACGAACAACTAGCTGTTGATACCTATTGAACTTCATTGCTTCCTGATTCAATTCATCCACACGATCCATTAAGCACCTTAGTTGATTTTCTAATACTGTAGCTGTTCCAAGATCCAAATATTTGGTGCCTTCTTCCTCAGGAATCATTTCCTCAAGTTCAGACATCATTATATTAGTTAAGTTACTATTCTTTATTACAACTGGAATCTCAATAAATAAAGTTTCATAACCAATCTTCAAAGTACGTAATGTTTCAGGTGTGAATTCACCTTCTTTATACATCTGTATAGCTTGTGGAGTAAGTCTATAAGCTTTCAATGTGAGGAAACCTCTAGCTGATTTAGCTGTATCATATATCAGGACTACTGATTCTTCAATGGAAGTCTGATAATGGTATTGTGATTCCAATAATGATACATTTAAGAAATTTCCAACATCTGCACTTTGATACCATCCAACATGGAAGTGATCAACATTCACCCTATACAAATATTTTAATACAGTTACTTGTACTATTAAATTTTAAAGTAGCATGTTTAGATGGTACTTACCATCTAAGCCGACGCATCATAGCAAGTTGATACTCCTCTTCATCCATGATTTCATCGTTTTTAGGGAAAGGAAAACAGTTTGTAATTTCAAGACGATTTTGAACGACTAAACCAAGAAGAGCGCCTTGAGCAACATCCATATTACTCATAGATTCTTCATGACAATGTTTCACCATTTTCATAACTACTAACCCATCGCATTGAACATAATCTATACGTGGTTCCACTTCAGGAATTCTTCTCGTTTGCGTTCTTGAATTCATTTTTAATCAAAAATCTGTATTGGTTTGATAGTAATTAATATCATATGCTCTTGATCTCTTGTCAACCTCTGTTAGGTTAAAAGGAATTCCTAGCCTTCCTAGCCTTCTAAAGCTGAGCATAGTGACTACAGATATAAAAAGGCTGGACATACCATTGTTCCCGAGGGATCATAATTTTGGGGATCACAGATACCCCCAGGTGAAGTTAGGTCTGCATGTATATGCAGAGCACAGTTGGTATGATGGTCGTGCCTGTTTTACTAGACCCTCTTTTATTTTATTTTTTAGAAATCAGTCACAATCAGCGCAAGATCGAAAAATTATTAAAATAATTGTTTGACAAACTTGTATTTTAAAAAGATCGCCATAAATTAAATATTTTTAAAATTCAATCGTAGCACCATCTATACAAAAGCCTCTCAAACTACTCAACAAGTTACCGATCGAACAGAGACGCCATTTATGAGGGAATCCTATACTTCTTATATGTTTTATGACATGTTTACAGCGCGTAAATGTGAAATGATCTGTCTCATTCAAAAGAGGTTTATCCGTACATAGTCCGTTAAAAAATTAAGTATCCACTAGAGAAATGAATATAGAAAGCAAAATAAAAAAATGGATAGAATCAGTTCAGAAAGAGCAATTAGAAAGCGTAATAGAAGACATCCAGGTTCGTGGTCTATTAAAATCTATAAATGTTACGTTTATGAATGAAAAGTAATCAGATTTAAATTTTTCAGGAAATTGTTTCTACCAATATAAGTGGAAGAGCAAATAAATATATTTTTAAACTTTTATTATATCTGTCTCACACCGCAGACAAATGTGATAAAGATAATAAAGATATAGGAAAAGAAATTTATAGATTAACTTGTTTATTGTGTTCAGTTCTGATTGAGGTACCGGATAGTAATAAGTATGTCTCTAGCTTATATCACATAATTCGTTGTTTATTAGAAATGTATATGTTTAAAGAAGCATTTAAAATATGTGTCTATTTAAAAGAAGAACATTATGCCCGTGACACTGTGAATGATGTGTTAATAAAAATATCTCATCTATGGTATGATGCAGTTCGTTGTGTACTTGATTGTCTGCAAGATGAACCATCATACTTTGAAAATTACCATGTATTAAAAAACATTATAAGATATGAATTAGAAATGATACAAATAGCGCACAAAAATTTTACAAAGTATTTGCTTATGAAGATAAGTTCATATTTGAATGAAATTTTATCTATTAAACAGGAGCCAAATATATATTTTACTGATTTTTATACATTTGTTGTTGAATATATAAGCGAGACAGAGCTAGTCTTAAATATGGATGAAAAATATGTTATATCTCGTCATGTGTTTCATATAACAAGTAAAATTATATGTGAAAATATTAATGAAAAATGCCTGAATTCTGCAACAAATATTGTTAATACTATCAGCAAACATTTTAAAACAATGCTATTGAAAGATGAAGAATGTTATCAGTGTTTCTTGTTACTTGAGTCTATATGCCTTATACTTCTAAAACCAGTCGAATATTTAGAAGAATGTACCGTTAAAAACATCCAAAACTTTTGTGATAATTATTTAGAGATTGTTAAGAAATTTGGGTACATAGGATCTCTTAAATGGGCCACATTCAGTATTATTCAGATATTAGAATCACTGTTTATGTATTGGGAGATATGTGTAAAAACAGAGAAGAAAATATTTCTAAAGAATGATATATTACTGCAAGTAATGAATATGGTTTCACACATAAGCATATGTTTTATTAAACAGATATCAGATAAGTGCAAGAGTTGTCAAAATGAAAATTGTACAATCAAAAGGGACATGTACAATGCCGTAGTAACGAAGATAAGATGTGTCAACTTAATTAGTAAATTCTCTGCAGATGATTTGTCAAAGGATATTTGTGTACTTGCTCAAAAATTTTTAGAACAAAATGTAGCAGACATTTATGAAATGAAGAAGAACGAATGCAAATGTTGGACACAGTTATGGAGCACTTGTAGTGCTATGATTTATAATTTATGCATAAAGTTCGACCGCTTTTACGAAGAAAGTGTATCATTATGTTCATTACTATGTACTTCCATTATACAATTCGAAGACATACAATCAAAGTCTCGGTATATTAATCTTAAAAACCCTTTATGCTCTGCATTACACAGACTAAGTTCTATACATTATAATCAGGGTATGTACAGAGAAGCAATGACTGCAACAGCATTGAATGCTTTATTAAGTTACAACGATACAGATTCAAAAGCATTTCGAATGTGGGCAAACATAAAACATAAATCTATAACTTCCAAGGAAGTTGTAGAAATGACCATTGTAACGTGCTTAAAGGAAGATAAAGGAAGGATAAAAGAGCTAGGATTATCTGATGAATTATCAAAATACGACCTTATTGAAGTATGTTTGAGAGAAGTAGCAGATTTACAAGAAGCAAGAGTCAATCTTTCTGATGCTATACACAAAGTTCTAAATGAAATGAAAGCATTGAAAGCAACTCCAATCCAGTATGCTCGTGCTGTACAAATGTTAGTATGCCATTTGTTGAATTTTGATTACAACAAGGACATTTCAGAGTGTCTTAAACAAGGTATTTCGTGTTTGAAACAAATCAAGGGAAATAACTTCGTTTTATGTCTACAAGCCAATTTAGAATTTTATATTTTTATAAATCAGTTGAGCGCTGTGAATAAACAAACTCAAACAGAAATGGAAAATTCAAAATTTGCGTTACACGCTCCGAAAGTATCAGAAATTGGTGAAAACGAATCCCGTGATGTAGTGCCAGCTTATACAATGATAAATATTAAAGAAGACTCTAAACTTCTATCGTACTTGCAGAAACCATTGAAAAAATGGAGCAAATGTTTTCAGCAAAATATCGTAAGTTTAATATTTAAATATCTCTATAAATAAATTGCACGCTTTATATTAATTAATAATTTTTTATTTACAGGAGGAAATCGCATATGGCTATGAACCACTAATGACTCTCAGGACATTGATAACAGCCGGTGAATATGCCCATTTGCACCGGTACCAAGATTGTGAAATAAATATATGGAAACTTGCCTATGCATTAGCTTCTGAATTAAAAAATAACTATGCAATTATTTATGGTATAAATCTTTATGCATTACTGTTCGGAATTTCTAGACAAGTATTAAAGCATGCAAATTAATTTTGTATTATTAGTTATTGGACGTAGTATTTCTGTGAGACACATTGATTACGAATGGATTAATACCGGGAAAAAACTTGCAAATGAACTCGACGATTCTCAGGATAAAGATATAATTTATGCGATTGCTATTTTTTGGATAAGTTTATCAGATTTTTATTTTGAATGTAACATGGTAAGTTTATAAACCGTACATTATTTATGAAAACTTTACATGAATATATTTTTTCATTTTAGTACAGCGAAGCCAGAGAATTACTTAACAAATCCAGGAAACTGCCAGGAATTTCTTTCTTCAGCAACATAGCTGTATATTTGTACAGTCTAGACAGAATTTTGTACAATTGTTATTTATATGAGGAAAGCATTAAGCATGAAGAATACACACGATATATTATTGAAACTTTATATACTATGGTTAATTTGAACGAGGAGCTTTCTACGAGAAAATGTAACTTTCATTTAGATATGATTTTATAACATACACGTTCAAATTGTACCGCAATATCTTTTATAGGGAAACCTCAAGATAAATATTTGTTCGGCTTTGATATACTATTGTCCGCAACTGTTAATTTATCACCACGAATGAATAGTTTGCTGTCGTTCCGGGAGATTGGTGGACACTTGGTTCGACGATTAAAAACAGCACAGACTTTAGGAGCAGTAGCTAGAGTTGCAGAGATATTAAAAGCATTCTGCTACATTGATTTATCACGTTCGCAATTAAGCGATTGCGAAGTTAAGCTTCAAGGATTAGAACACATATTAAACATTGAAACATTTAAAGCATCGATGAACAGTAATTCAGCTAAACTGTTATCGGAAAATGTTTTGTTAACACCGGTCCGTGTAGTAGATCCTATTAGAGACATTCCTCAAAATGATGCTTCGCCAATACTCAGGAACAAAGTATTTGACTTACCTGAATTTATGCGTCATAAAGATTGTAATTGTTACATCTGTAAAAACGTGTCATATCATTATTTAGTATTTTCAAGCACACACATCAGAGCTCAATTGTATGCGTTACAAAGAAATATTACAGCATCGTTGCAACACTTCCACGGTGCATTTAAGATAAAAGAGGATTTAATGAAGCTAGAAAAGCGAACATCAAAAAATCAAAATCAGTACATCCCCTGGCAGGAACGCTTTTACAGTGTGGATTATATACTTTTGTTAATTAATTTTACTTATTTCATGAGAAGCTATTCAAGCTCCAAGCAGGAAGAAATAATAAACGTTATTTCATTGGCGATTCAAATATGCGATATGTACAAATTGAAGGGACATCCAATTTATATGGCTGTTAAGGAATTAATGATTGATTATCGTTTTCAACGGACGTTTGATAATTCAGCTTCTGCAAGTAAGTGCTTACACAAGTTTTATCGTGTACTGAATTTATTTGTAATTGAAATTAATTTATCTGTTGCAGCATTTACAGTTCCTGATCCGGCTGATATCGATATAAGTCCATATGTTAACGAGTCAAGAAAGGAAGCAAATATTTGCGTAACACCAGCTAACAATAATGTTCGAACGAAAAAGCCTATTACTCTTCGACGTAATCGAACTCCTCCACTTTTAAAGTTAACTAAAGTTAGCATGAACTTCAGCGACGATGAAGATAGTGATTCTTCATCTCCACCAAGTAGACACAAGAGAACTAGGTCACATAGTAAATTAATAGGAAGGAAAATTTTAGATGAAGAATATTTAGAAAATTCTACTAAAACAAAAGAATCACAGAGTAGCTTACTGTCGAAACGAATTAATGATGTAAAAGAACACAACGTTAGTAATATTTCTATGAAGGATATTGTTGAAAAAGTTACATCAGTAGTACCAGATGTTTCAGAGTATTTATATAAAATAGTGGACGAAATGGACGAATTCGCAACAGATAAAAGTATTCAAAAATTAATCGATACTGTAGAAGATCTTAAAATTAAAACAGCTTCACAAAAATATACCAGAAAAACGCGACTTTCGAAGCAGTTAACTTCGAGCGACTGTAATAAAATTATTCAAACAATTGAACTATTTAAAGACTTAACTATTACTGATAGAAAAGATAATGGAAAGGATATAACAGCAGAGAATAACGAATCCTCGTCGTGTAAAACCACAGAAGAAGGCAACACAAGTAAGTTAGATCAAGATAATAGTTTGTTTCTTAATCGATCTGATAAAATAGAAAATTTAAAAAAAATACAAAGGAATGAAAGTACCAAATTAAGAGCTACAAGAAATTTACTAAAAAGAGGTAAATCAAAATTAGAGGAAACGTGAAAAATAGTCATATAACGTAGACACTGCCAATATTTTATTGTGTATGAACAACCACAATTAATTTATAATAAAAGTATTAAAATTTGCCGAAAGGATGTTGTAAAAGCTCTATAAAAAAGTAGTATTCAAGAACGTTAGAAAATCTTGAATCCAGGTAAATAATTTAATAAAACATAATTTCTCAAATTTTAGAAAATATTTATTAAAATATTTCACATATGTACACATTTAGTAAAAAATAGTAAGATTTAAAGTCACTTAATATTACAAACGAAAATTTATATTTTTATTCTACCCATTTTCTGTTTGTTTATATCTGTAACATTTTATAAATACATCTATATTCGTTTGAATTAAATAATTTACAAAATTCATTCAATATTTTCGGAACAAGATTTTTTTTCATATTTAACTTTCTAAATATCACACAAATTTTTATCATTATTCGGTATGGTCGACAATAATAAATAAATTTTCACTGTACCGTCTTAAAAAATCAACTATTTCATAACTTTATAGCATGGAAAATGAAACATAAAAAAACTTGTATTAAAATTCCAGTTACATAAAAGTGATTTTTTAAAAATAAAAATTATTAAGAATATTTAAAAGCTGCAGAACTAACAGTTATTACAACAAATCTTTTCATTTAATATGCGAGATGAAAAATACAAAGTAATGGGAAAATAATACTTAAAATATTTGGCAAAGAAGATAAATGAACAACACAATGAATTTCTTATCCATAAATTATTTCATGACCTATCTTATGGTATGTTTAAAATCAAAAGTATAAAAGAATTTCTATTGTATATCAATACAATATTTTAAAACATTCAGTGTCATTGAATATTAAATTGACTACTAAAGATACAAACAAAGATTTATATTATTATAAATATTATTTGTGTTGCTGCATGTGTAATGTACAATAAGTACTTGTTTATGAAATACGTTTCATAGGAACACAGATAATATTTATAACTTGTACTGTACATATACACACGACGTTTGATTTTTCATATAAATTATTAATTTCCTATTTAATTTTGTTGTTTTTTATCCGCTCAAAATAATGAAAGTTCAAACAAATATAAGAAAATGTTGCATGCTTTCATTTTACGATCTTCTTTTCTTTACATATTCGTTTTGTTCAGAAAAATAAAAAATCATTTTTGTTGGTATTAAAAGGAAAAAAAGGCAAAACTCGTACCACTCTTAATATTCATAATGACAAGTATCATTAGATCAAGATTCTAATGAATGATCAATGTAAGAAATTGTAACATGATGATATGAACACAGAAATATAAAAAAAAAAAGATTATAAAATATACTACTCGATTGTATAGGAAGAAATGACAATGTTCTTCTTTTCTTCTTTTCTGCCGTACAAAAGTAGTGTAAAACTACAGTAATTAAAAAATCACAGTCTATAAGTGGGTATAATTTAAAGAGCATTCATCTTTGTTCTGTTTAGGACTAAAACTTTTTCCCGTTTCTTCTTGATTCTTGGCCAATTCCATCAATGCTAAAGCACCTAACCATTTTTGACTGTCCTCTGGAAGTGGTAACTTGATGGTACTATCTTCCTGTTTAACAACGACCACTTTCAATCCAGTTTCAGACTCGACCGATGGTAATTTTGACATGCTATCTTTGTTATTATTGTTGTTGTTATTATTATTATTATTGTTATTGTTAAAACTTCCAGCTAACATTAAAACAGTTGGTCTGGTTATATTTTCGCTATGAGAATTCATAAAGGTACTCTGTTTAGTTAATTCATTTTGAGCAAAATCTATAATCTTTACATTAGGTTTCGGGGTATCTTTTACCGAATTATTATTCCAACACCCATGATTTGGGTATTCAGGAGAATCATTAATTCTATTTTTCATTCTATGCGCATTATTTGAAAAGTCATTTGTATCTCGTTGAGAAGTATTCCAGATATTATGGGATAATGTATTCGACGATTCAAATGTATACTTTTGTTCTTCGTTTGCAGATGTTTCTAGAGATTCATTTTCAGGAGCTGTATCCCAAGATAGCTGTGTAGACGAGTAAGAGTAGACGAGTAATTCTGACTTAGGAAGTTCAATTACTTTACATTCGTTTAAACACGATGTAGATAGTAGTACAGATGAATTATCAGTAGCTGGACTCCACTGTATTTGATTACTATTCATTTTAAACGAAGTGGTTGTAGGTACATTAGTAGATTTACTATCCCAATTTAAAGGTTTAGCTAATTGTTGCTCTAAGCAAGCTTCGCGTAACCATCTTTTCTTTGGTTGAAGTCTGTCTAATGGTCTTCTCAAAGGCGTACTCGCTAACTTTGTCGATATTTCCTCATCTTCGGATGTCTGTAAGCCGGTACATGTTTCTACCGGATCTTCGTCCTGGCTCTCTTCTTGACTATCCTGACTCTCTCCGCAATACAATCTTTGATTGGTTGGTTTACAGTCTAAATTTTCTTGTTCTCCCGCTGCATCCATCATCAGGCCTTTTCTTGATTTAACTCTTTTATGGTTCTCAGAACTACTTTTCCATGTTTTCTTCTTACGTTCATTTTTCCCTGTTGGCGTTCTATCTTCCCTTTCCCTTAACATTTTATAACGTTCCAACCATCTGGTAACGTCATGAGGTAATTCTGTGTTTTCTGATACCGGTTTTAATACAAAATCATCAGAACGTGTTAGAGTAGCATACGGATGATCCGGACAATGCCTATTTGCGTGTGTAAATCTCATTTCACAGCCAGGTTCAGTACATAGAAATGGTTTTTCTCCTGTATGTAATCTTTGATGGGTTTTTAATTGTCCTGATTGTGTAAAAGCTTTTGTGCATCCAGGATAATCACACGGATATGGCCGTTCTCCTGAAAAGAAATATTTAATTATATTACACACATTGTTTTCCAATTGATTAAAAAAAAAATTGACTGAGAAAATGCAAAATAAAATTTTTAATGTTACTAATAATTTATTATAAGTTACAATAGATATATATAAAAGTTTTAAAGAATTCTGTTGTAAACTAATTTAAATACGAAAGTTTTGCGTCGCTTCTCTTTTCCATGGACAAAGAACATTTTACGATATATTACGCAAAAAATTATATATTCCATTAAACGGTTATTATTTCTATCATAATTCATATAATGCGACAACAAATTTAACTCGTTTATTTAACAATACAGCGTTGTTTTATTCATACAAAAGTATTATTACAAACAAGCCATTTAATTATTTAAAGTACGCATGATGGCGATTGGCGGGACGATGTGATCGCATGGAGTCGCACAACCGTTGAAATCATATAGCTGTATAAACTCGAAACAAAACGTGTGCCGACTTTTCTCACAGAAACTTCTATTAAATTAATTTATTAATTCCTTAGAAAGCATCAAACGTTGGAATATTAACCTAGAATAAGAAATAAAGCGTTACCTGTATGGGTACGTAAGTGCGCTTGCAGGCTTTTTTCCCGTGGGAAGACACGACTGCAATAAGTACATTTTATACTACTCGGCGAAGTACTTCCTTGCATCATAAGGTTTGAAAGGGCATCTGCTCTTGGTCGTCCACGACGGTGACTTTCGGAACCTCCGGAACGTGAACGAGACCCAGTACGCGCAGCCACCACGCTATGGTCTCTGTACTCTGGTGAAGAACACGAGCTGCCCGGGCTAAGATTCACATTTCTTGTTTCTTCGCCCCAATTCCACGGATAAAGCATGCTATCGCACATCGGTGGACTGCAAGGCAACGATTCCGTCAAAGGACGCGTTTCACGTTTTGGCGTGTGCAATTCCATTTCACGTTTTCCACTTCACTTTTCACCTTGCCGGCAAGCTTAAAAACCAATGTTAGGAACCTACTACTTACTCTCACTATCACCCTCCGTCTGCCGCGTGCAACTAGTGAACCGCCAAAACGAGTGTACCCGGTACAACGTATATGTATATGTATGTAAATATATGGCGCGTTTATCCGATATTTATAAAAAGATGTTTAAAATTTTATAATGTTGAAGGTAATTGATTAGAAGATATATTTTTGTTTGTTTAAAAGCACGAAAAATAGAATTCTTTTTGTTCCGTCTCCTAATGTTAGCATCGTTTTACCGACTGTTTTTACACGCGGCTTGCTTCTCATGCGCGCGCATTCTTTTCTTTGTATTAACATAACCAATCAGAGATTTGCAAGAAAAGAAACGCGCAATACAAAATTAGCCTATTAATAACGCTTTAATTTGTTTTTAATAATATATTGAAATAATAATATGCTCTACAGACAGAATTCTTGTACAGGTAAAATAAATAGTCGTAATAGATACATCTCATATTTACAGACACAAAGTGCAAGCGTATATCATTAAAAATAATTTTATATAATATTTACATTATTTTTTCATTTTAAAATTAATATGAATTAACTTTACGTTTTATAAATAATATTTCAGTTTTAAAAATCCTTCATCTTTAACTTTCCTTACGTGTTACATGAAAATGCCGCATAATGATATTATAAAAGATCTTATAATAAAAACATATATATTGTACAAACGTATACAGTTTAATAAATATACATATAGAGAGTAGGATGTAATAAATTTATTAATTTGAATATACGAACATGTAGTATGGAATTTTTTATATTAATTTTAATGAAAAGAAAGCATTAAAAATCATAGTAATTAGGAAGGAAAGTTAATATAATTCAGGAGATGTTCAATATAAGGAAATGTAAGGAATAAAAAATGTTCAATTCCTAGGTGTTACAACAATAATTACCATGCATGAAATACTATACCGATAGTTTTTATTTACATCGAAGAACTATGAAATATGATATGTGAGAAAAACAGCGTAATCGTAGGTATATAAATATTATTGCACACCAATAAGATAAAGCATAAAAGATAAGAAAATCTATTCAGTGAGCGTTAAGTAATTCATGGAAATAATGCCGATTTCTTTGAGTACGGCAACCATAAATATGCGTTTCCTTATTGCGGTACATTTGTTATTTTAAAAATGCAATGCGATTAAAATTAAAAATTTGAATTTAGACGACATTTTGCAGCTTGAAATCATATAAAATTAATGATATAAATAATATTGGTGGGGAGGTGGGGCGCTGGGTGCAAGACAATTATGCGGTCCCTCCCTGAGTACAGACCTCGTGGTGAACTATCTCCGACTCAGCCATATTGAAATATTGAATGTCTCTGTTACACAAGGGCTCAAGAGTAGCCGTGAAATTTTCGCGTGATCCTCGTCGAAGAGAGGATAAGAGACATCATGGAAAATATGTACAGCATTACTGTTACCAACAAATTCTCGTTAGCGTTGGGTGATGACGAAGATCCACTTGAGAAATTGAGAGAAGAGGAACTAAAGAAAGAAGCTAGGAAAAAGGAGAAGCTATCAGAGAAGGAGAATAAGAGTAAGCAGCCGGATGCGCAAAAGGGAACCGGTAATAAAACTCAAAAAAACCGCGTGATAAAGGAAGCCCAGCAACAACCGTCTAAGGTGCAAGAATCAAAGAAAGATCAAGGTTAGTAATTTTTCATTGCAATCTCGCCTCGTGCGCGGTATTATGGCCGTCGCTCTGTGCTCCTCGTGGGTCCATGTGCTTTTGATATTTTGCCGCACGTTCAATGAGTTTTCGCTTCGATCAACAATCGTTTCAAACAATTTATCTCTTTAATCGATGTTATTTTTTAAATGTAAACTATTAATAAATGTACCATCGCTCTATATTCATATCTTTCTGTATCTTTTTTTTTTTTAATTATTTTTTATGCTCTATAGGTATTCTTTTCGTACCTTAAAAATAGAATTTATCGATGCTGGCCTGACGTGTCATTTACTAAGGAATTCCAGTAAAATAACATGATTATTTATCAAAATTGTATTATAAAAAAAATTGGAATAATAAAAAAAATAAGATAAAAATTTAAGATTAATTAAATAATGAAAGAAACATCACAACCTCTTGTTGTTTAATAATATTGTATAAAGTTTTATTATTTTTCATACGAATTGTACCAACATGGTGTTTTGAATTGCATTTAAATAAAGATTTTCTATAAATTGTATATTTCAAATTTCTGATACAACAAAAAAATGAAATGTTTATTTGCATTTTAGCCAGTGTTAATGATTTGTTTTCTGCTCTATCGTAGGAGAGAAAAAGCCACCACAAGCGAGAACTGGAGGTGGAGATCGCAATGTTAAATTCTCTGCAGAGAGCAGAGAGGAACGTAACAACAGACGTAATCGCGAAGAGGGTGAAAGGACGCCTCGGGGTCAAGGAGAATTGAGACGAGGACCTCCTGGGTTTGTACAAAAAAGATATGCAAGCTACTTAATAAGTAAATAGTAGATGGTACATTAGCAATTCTTACAAGTAAACTTACAACAATATAGTATAATAGTATATTATATGTAAATAATATATTAACATTTTTTTTTTTCAGTGAGGGACGTGAAACACGGGAATTCCGGAATTCTAACGATAGCCAACGTGGGGACTATGGCGAACGTAGGGGCCGCGGTGGAATGCGAGGAATGGGACGAACACGTGGAGGCCCGCGTGGTCGTGGAGGATACGACTATCGCGGAAAACGTGAATTTGATCGTCAATCTGGCTCAGATAAAACGTAGTTTTTAATCATTATTTATTTCTAATTCAATTTTAATTACATAATGTACAAGTTGTTAAATTTAATTTTTGTTTAGCGGAATTAAACCTGTTGATAAAAAGGATGGTGCTGGTAGCCATAACTGGGGTACCCACAACGATGAAATTGAGTGAGTATTTCCCTAAGAAAATAAGTGCATAAAAATAAAAAGAGAATATTTTAATGTTACATTCTATGCTCAGAGAGAGTCTGAATCCGGAAAGTCAAGAATGGGCTAATGAGAAGCCTGATGCAGATACTACCCAAACATCATCTACAGAGGCAAAAGAAGGAGAAACCGCTGCGGATGCAACAGAGGAAAAGCCCGCTGAGGAAGAATCGCGTGAAATAACATTAGACGAATGGAAAGCGCTACGTAATAACAGAGCAAAGCCGCAGTACAATCTACGCAAAGCCGGTGAAGGTGAAGATTTGTCCCGCTGGAAAAAGATGTATGCTCTTGAAAAAAAGAAGGAAGGCGCCGAGGAAGATGACGATGAAGAAGAAGAATACGATGCCGCGGCGGAATATCCTCAGCGCGTTGGAAGGCAGAAACACGTATTAGGCATTGAGATACAGTTCAGTGATTCACGGCGCGGTGCTGGTGGACGTGGTCGAGGACGAGGTCGTGGAGATCGCGCTAACGGCCGCGGATTTGGAAATCGTGGTGCTCCTCGAGATGGAGAGCCACGCGGTCCTGTAAGTATTTTTTTAAATCGCAACGTTCTTATAGGTCTAAAAATTTAATGTTTTTTTTTTTTTTTCCTCAACTTTTAAACTACAGGCTATACAGTCCGAGCAAAGGTCACCTCGGGGACGCCAGAATGCTCCAAAAGTAGATGACGAGAACGACTTCCCATCATTGGGATAGGTGGTTTTGCTCTTCGTCTACACAGTATCCCACCATTACCACCACAATCAGTACTGCTACCACAGATAAAATTACAACTAATACTAAAAATATTACTATCAATATTTTTGCGTCAGTGACAACGTTATTAATGCATAATACAGTAAACCCTTGCAAAAATGAGATACGTAATTTACCTAAGTAAATTGTAGCGCTCAAACGCGCTCTTACATTGGCTCGTTGATATACAGGATGCCCGCGCTAAAGTTGTTACAGTTTCGTTATTTCTTAAGGATTGAGGATACAAAAAAGAAAAAATTGTGTATATGACAGTTGTATGGTACAAAGGGGCAAATATATTGACGGAAACAAATTTTTTTAAATCTTATTATTTTAAATGGAACTATACATTTTTTTTCACTTCAGTCTCAAGCTGTATTGAACAACTTATACATTGAGATACTCTGCTTACAAATTTATTGATTTGTAGCGGAAGAAAACTACTCGAATAGGAAGTACCGATGGTGGTCAACCTTTGGGTCTGCCAATGCTGGCGCAGACTTGTATCTTATTCAAGAGACAATATTTAACGTGGACGGTGTATTAAATGATTTGAAAAAAAGTTATATAGTTCCACTAAAAAAAAAGAAAAACTTGCTCCTTTGTAACATGTAACTTTCATACTAAAGGTCTTTCTGTCTTCGATACTTTGCAAATAGTAAGTTCGAGGCTGTAACAACTTAGCGCGGACACTTTGTACACACATAAGAAATGACATGATACAAAAAAAAAATGTAGATCATGGTCCTTTTTTGTACTTTTAATAACTCAGTTTGTTCGTAACTAGTTCACAGATGGACAGTAATAAGAACGAGGCTGGATATCGATGGATCTATTAAATAATCTTGAACTTAATTAATATTTGATAAAGAATGTGGCTGACTTTAAGCGGACCAGCAGGAATATATCATCAAAGAAAAAGAAAAAAAAAGAAAAAAAAAGAATTCATTTTACACGATAGTTCGAAGTTTAAATCCAAGTAGAAACATACTAAACGGAATGGAAATAAGATTCCATCTATAATGCAAAGGATAATGAGAGAGGATGTTCGCCTGAATTTTAATTTTGATGTCGTATATCGAAGGCCTAAGGAGGCTGACCGTAGCACCGACTCTACTGAACACGTGTGTAATAACTTGTTAGGCGGTAAATTTTAAACATTCTTTCTGTTTTATAATTTTTATACGGTGTTTGGAGAAGCCTTCCTTGTAATCGACGCGATCGTTGCCAGTCGAGCATGAAAAAAAAAAAATAAGAAAAATGTAAGAGACTTTTAAAAAAGCGTGTATTTCTATCCAAGAAAAAAAAAATATCTCTGATATTAAAGTGTCTACTTAGGTATGCTAAGTTTGGCTTATACTATAGAAGTGTAGAGATTTTTCCTTTCAAAGAATGTAACCGGTCTGTAAGAAGTTTAACATTTAAGTAAATATTAGAAAACACTGATATACAGCTTTACATATATATATAAATATATATATATATTGTATAACAAGTTAAGAGAGCGATTGAGACACGTTGAGAGGGTAGATAGGATGATTCCAGTCTTTGCGTAGTTACGTTGTACGTCGAGCATCATGTTCTTAATTATGACCCGCTATATTACTTATCTATTGTATTTGTTACATGTAAAATGAAAGATA